CATTCCATTAGAACGCACTATCCCATGTTTATAGAAACACAGACGATACATATCCATTGGGAGCCGTGCGATCACTTTTGCGACGATTTAACCCCCGTGCAAACCAGTTATAGACACTTTGGTGCAAACAGGATTGAACAAAGGATGGTCATGTTTTCGAGAATATATTTTATCTTTCCGCGACATGTCGCTGGTAATCAGTAGTTTATTTCCCGGCCAATGTGAATGTGACGAATACGCCAATGTGAACGTGATGAATCCACAAATTTAACTTCTATATTATTGTAAACTTCGGACGTCTCCAATAAACGTCTCCATTTTTTTTTAACTACGAAACAGAGTACGATCTGTCTCGGATCAGTGCTACATTGACACGCCATATCCGAGTCGTATCGATAATAAGCTTCTTAAACATGTTTCCGGGTAGACATTCATACATGTAGGGCTCCCGTATACGTGATGTAAGACACCACATTACTTCCACCCAGGTCTTCCGCGTATGCTACGCATGGCATAGCACATAGTTAGTTAATAAATTATCTTTTAATGCTAACAAGACTAAATTTGTATTATTCCATCCAAGCAAGCATAGTGTGTGAGTTGTACAAAACCACTGCTGCTCAATGGCAATGAAATTGAAAGACTAAAAGAAATGAAATTTCTAGGAGTTATCTTTGATGAAAATATGTCTTGGAAATCACAAATATTGCATGTTATTGGTAAAACAAAAAGAGACTTGGCAGTTGCTGCCAAAGTATCCCAGTGTGTTATTCAATCAGCTTTATTAGCAATGTTTCAGTCACTACTACTCAGTCACATCCGATATTGCTGGCTCCATGGTAATGAAACACTTGTCTTAAAATTGTTAGGTATTTGTAATAGTTCTTTAAGAATTAATATTAGGAAAAGTAACCATTTCTATAAAGTTGAAGATATAATGAAATTTGAAGTATTATCATTAGTCTATGATTTTCATAACAATTCCTTGCCCAACTGCTTCGACGACCTACTTACTAAAATTCCTTCCAATCGAAGAAGTAGTTCCAATTTGTTCATACCTTTTATGAGTACATCTGTGTTATACTGGGCCCAAGCTGTGGAATTCTCTTCCCTTGAATTTGAAAACATTGGAATCCAAAAAATCCTTTCAGAAGAAATTGTCGAGTTCTACTTGGTATTCAAATATCAAAAGGTAATATTTCAAAACCACACTGATATATATTTCTCGTATGTAATTAGCTACAACCTCCAAAGAAATACCATGACATAAGTTGGGACAGTACTCACTTGCACATACTTATTATTTTCATGAGAATGTTGAACAGCCATAATATTGTTATTGTACCTGAGATTGCTAATTTATTTTTGAACAAGCAGTTAAATTCTCTCCATCTGTTTTGCATTCTAGTTCGTCATTTAGTTTGTTCTATAGCATGCATAGCATAAGATTTTTCTTCATATGGCTGTTCACATTCTGACATCTGCATGCGCATGTTTCCTTTTTTTTCAATGTTGGGTTTCAGTGATGGGATTCGAATTTTTTTTCAGCCGGTTCCTTCACAAAAGCCATATTTTTCAGCCGGTTCAGTTACAAACAGAACATTGACAGTAACCAGAAATGCTAACCGGTTCGCTGATCTAACAAAATTCCTTGAGACGGTTCTATCTGTCTATAGAACCGGTGCGAATCGGCAGAATCCCACCACTGTCTACATGTATGATCTTTGTTTTCTATTTGGGTGGTGTGATTCTTTGTGAGGGTTGTAGACGGTATAATTTAGCTCCTGTACCAATTATTGTAATTAGGTGACCAGTCGAGCTATATTTGGATTCTCCCCTACATTTTAACTTGCTGTAGTAGGCTACTATATGCTGTGTCCTGCGTATATACAAAGATTTTATCCTTGGTCGAAGTTATGCTGTGTAGTTAGAGCAGTGTTCTCCAACCTTTTTAATCGTGGTATACCTTTTACATTTTTCAAGAACTTTGTATACCTTACAAATACCAATGTTTATTTGAGGCTTGAATAAAAATTCAATTTTAAGCACATATTGTACTGCAATATAGTCATGCAATCTAATAGGCCAGTGTCCGTAAGTTATAAATTTGACTGACGGCCTTAGCGTCAACGGGAATGATGTGCAACGTATATCAAACGAAGTGCAAGGCAGTTGGAATCACCAACCCTATCTATAATGTGATGTAACAATGTGCTCACGTCGGTTCTTTGCTGAAATGGTATTCTGTATTTCATGTGCGCTGCGTTTGTATTGTTGTCTCCGTGGGTGGGATTCAAATTTTTTGTCAGCCGGTTCCATCACATATTTTTCAGCCGGTTCTGTTACAAAAAGTTATGTTTTTCCAGTAATGCTAACCGGTTCGCTGATCTCATAAAATTTCGTTAGACGGTTCTATATAACCGATGCGGACCGGCTGAATCCCACCACTGGGTATACTACCGTATACCCGGTTGAAGACCACTTAGTTAGAGCATGCAAATTTGTGATGGTTAGTGTGATGTTAATAATTAAGATATTCACCTACATGAGTGTGGTTTGACCGACATCGAAATGTGTTTGCATGGTTTGTGAACAATTTGTCTTGTGTCCCAACCACAACACCGCCACCTTATTTTGTCCCTCATATGTGTTTTCGAAGATAGCTTGGCGATCTATGCTCAAAGTTTTTCCGGTTATGATTTGCGTACTTTGGACGATTGAGTTATGAATTTTAATGACTGTTGAACAGCTAAGAAAGATGTGTGGGGTTGAATCAGTGGGTCTTTTACAACAAAATTTGCAGGCTGGTGCTTGGAGTTGAAAGTTTCCAACGTTTGGAAGCAGGCCGTATTTTCACTTCCTATGTCCGAATAGATACGCGTGTCGTTTTATTCTATACGATACTTCTCGCTCATTATTTGTGAAATGAGTCTTTAAGTATGGGCCTAAAAGATTGATTTCAGACCAATCCATGGTTTCTGTTTGGTTGTACTCGTATATTTTGTCCTGCAACCTCCGATAAATGAACCTCATATTCGCATACTCCCACTCATTGGGTTATATATCTGGCAGATATATAAAATATGCTACCAGTGTGCGTGAATTTACACCGCATGGAGTAACGAATTGCTATATGAGATTCTTTCCAAAGTTCCACTTATATCTAACAGTTTGCTTGTTATAGGTAACGTAAACTTGTAGCATCATTCGTCACGCTAATAACCGAATTGCGTAAGTCATTTTTGGCGATTTTGAGTTTTTTCATATAAAATAGGTATTTATGTAATGCTGCGCACCTGTCTGTTACCTCAGATTTTATATTAAGAATTCTGAAACCCCTAAAAATGAAAATTTAGGATGACATGCACATTTGTGCAATTGTTTCGTCATAATGAATTATCATTGTTACCGCGGGACTATTGTGACGTCACAAATGCAAAATAACCTCGGCGAAGTATTTTCGAGTTTTTGCATCTCGGATTCTAGCTTAGCGCGTATTAATTTGAATTTATACTACAGTATAGAAAGACGTGCACTTGTGATATTCACTGTCCGAGTCCAATTCACCTTGGTTGGCTTTTATATTGGGTGCATTGCTGTTTTATTCTTTATATTATTTAATCTTATTTCAGTGGGTGTGCAGAACGTGTTATATTGATGAAAATATATATTTTTAAACATAAAAAATAGTGTAATTGAAACTGATTAGCTATTTTTGGAATTAGACATTGTAGATACTGAGAATTACATTCGTTTTTGGAATATTTAGTTTTCAGGACTGGTGCATATAGTAAAATATTGCCGAGAATACCACATTTTATACCGATGTGTAAATAAAAGAAAACACTAATAAAATGACATATCGAAATAAATAGCCAAGATGATTATTGTTGGACACTATGAATGCTAAATTGTTGCAATTACAAATAGGCGTCATTAAAAATCCACTGTCAAGTCATTGTAAAAAAACAAAGCAAAATGCTTGTACTGTTTGTATATTTTAATCTTCAGTTGAGAACGTCAAATATATGAATCGAAATAAAAGAGTAAAAAAACTTCAAGTTAGATGAAAGTCGAGGCAAATCTTGCGTTTGAGACGAGTGTCTTGTCGCAGCTGAAAGTAGAGTCTCCGCGCCAATCACCGTGCGACTTGAGTTGGAGTGTTAGATGTCGCTATATACTCAATATTCATCCAGCCAAACTGGGATGGGGGATGGCGTTTCGCGGAACCAGATTTTTTGTATATTATTGGGACAAATGATGTTTATGTGTATAGTTTATTGAGTCAACGCCACATATTACCATCAAAGTTGAAGGAGGCAGATGCCGTCTTTATTTAGTCATTATGGAATACGTAACTTGAAAAATTCTAATAAGCTAAAATGTTGACCGTTGAAACAGTTGATTGATTGAACGTATACAAATTACATTAAATCTCTGAATGTCTATCAAGCATTATATATATAAACATCAAATTTACAATGTTACATATAAGAACACATTGTGAATATATATCTTGAATAATAATTTAATTACCAACTATCTATAAATATGTGAAATAGTTTACGAGCGTATAGTTCAATTTTAATAGATCAAAAAACAATAATAACCAATAAAATCTTAGTCTTAGTGCAAAATTTTCAATGACACTAGACTTAGAGCCTCTATAAACTGTGCCATAGTGCTGTACAATTTTCTTCAATGTTTAATGGTAACAATATCTCAGTCTGTTGTATAACCAATAAATATAAAAAGATTGCGCAAAACACGAAATGATAATTTCATTGTAAAAAATGTGTTCAACGACAATTCCTGCAGATTACTTTATTCGTTACCTTTGCAAAATTATAATAGCATCTGATTTTTTATCATTTACGTTTTTTATTCTTTATTATTTTAGATGAGTATGATATATAAATATCAGTTTTGATGTGCTTTTCTAATATGTTGTAATGCTAGTTATTTAATAATTATTATATTAATATTTTTTTTTTTATTTAGCCTTGTGAAAATGAGAACTATTTCTTGCGATCCGGATAGTTTCTATATTGTCGATAAGGTAAGTAAGTACCTCTAATTTAATAAATGGCATTCGCAATAAGTTTTGAAATACAGCGGTAAGTATAAAACTAAATTGTACAAATTCCCCTCATTCGATCCAAACCTCTAATTGAAAAATGCCCACTGAATGAGTTCATTCAGTATGGAAAATCGTTTATTATTTTTTGTGTATAACTTTCCCAGCCTTTTGAAAATGAGAACTATTTTTCGCCATCCGGATATTTTCTATATTGTCGATGAGGTAAGTGCAAATAGCGCAATATATCTAATAAATAATCTTATGAATAACTTGAATGACTAGAATCAAAGTCGGATCGCTTATGGTTGTTTTTGCACGTCATGTCTAAACGATTGCAACAACCACAGAAAATGTACTCTCAGCTATGGTGCTTTTCCGATTTTTTTCTCTCGCTGAAATAAGTTAAACAAACAAGAGTTATTTTGCGGAAGACGAACAAGCTTTTTGCAATAAATACTGTTGAGAAAAGCAGGTTTTATTACAGAGTAATCGTTCGTCAGTTAGACAATTCGAAAAGTTGAAATTTACTTCTGTAGAAATTGAATCTACGAGAGCGAACATGAAACTGACTGTGGCTTACTTCATTGCAACGTTAGTTGTGGTTCAAGGACAATTCCCTCTTCGAAGACGGGGTAAGTGAGAAATTAAACAAATTTGATTTTCGAGTTCTAACTAATTGCTTCTTCGTGGCGACATATTAGGGTCATCAATATTTTAGACTTGACCTCTTCAATTTATCCTGATAATTTTGTTGATGTGCATATAGAAATTTAACATAAATTAGTTAGATATTATTTCTTTGTTTTTAGTTTCCTTCCGTGATACAGAATCAATAGTTTTCACAGCATTTAACAGAGATGAAGCAAAGGGATCACTTCACTATGCACCAGTAGGGTTATATTTAATTTTTTTTCTGATTCATAAGACTAATAACAACTTTCTCGAGGAAAACTATACAAATTATACATAAAATTTTCACTTTAATTGTATTATGAAATCATAATAATACTTATATTTTTTCTCACAAATCTTCATTCATAAAAGGCCGATCCTGATTCCCAAATTGTTTCTGATGACTTTTTGAACTCCACAAGACTCGTTTACACCGCAGACGACGATCCTACCGAATATTGGGGACTTGCTACAAGCTATGAAACTGGACAGATTTTCTTTAACAATTATGTGTGAGATTACTCGTACATATTATTTTAAAATATTTCAAACTATTATGAGCTCTTCTACATAACTTAGAATTCAGACTATACATTTTGAAGCAACTTTCATAATTGTTTCTTCTGTGTGTTAATTGTTTCTTTTTGAAACTTTCGTGCAATCGAAAGAAATTCAAAGTTGTTCTAACAGCAGTTTTATGTCATAGTCGTATTCCATATGATTGCGTAGTTTAGTTCTCTTCCAACTAAGTAATTCTTTAAGCATTAGCGGCTTTTCTTAACAATTTGTTTTAAGTGCACTAAGCATGAGTATTCTTAAAAACTTTGTATAAAATTGTCAAATTCTTTGACCTGATTTTCATAAAGTCTGTCATTCATATTGGCGCAAAGTACACACCCGGAGGCGTATTCATTACTAGAAATAATTTGTCTTTCACGAACGTATTTATCTGAAATGGTATCACTGTACCAAGAGAACCAAAGTCAGTCAACAAAAAATAACACTTTCCCAAATTCAATGTCCAAAAACATTGAAGTACGGTTTGTATGATACTGCGACTGGTGGTAAATTTTAATTTGTTTACAGGTCTTCTCAACTAGTTGTTTTAGACGTGAGTACAAACAAATTGGGGATTGTTGCTAATGATATGACATCGCGTCTTGACAACATAGCCTTTGACAGAGTTACAAAAATATTGTATTGGACGGATACTGAGAACAATAAAATCATCGCCATTGAAAAAAATTATAGATATTTCACTGTCATCGCGGACTTGGATGACCTCTCTCCTAATGCTCTTACTATTCATGTCACTAAAAGGTACTATTTGCTATAGATATATATACAGGCATCGTAATTCCTGATATAATGGGTCACTGAGAAGTACATTTTCCATCACTTTACGTCTATTCTATTTTGCGGGAATATATTATCAGTAGTTTATGTGATTTGGCATTTTATTTTATATTATCTTAGTGACCCTTTGAATATATAAGCGATCATTAATTAATATTAGATGTTTTATTTAATTAAGGTATAAGTAATATGTCGTTTTCTCAAAGAAATAAGACTGTGATCTAACGAGAGCTAACAAATATATTTGATAGTTTGTTGGAAGAGGTTATATTCTTCTTATCAACCACTTTAAGACTATCTTTTTCAAGCACCCTTATGGCAATGGGTACATAAGGATCCATTAGAAATAGAAAATGAAAAATGGCCTGCAGTTAACACACAATATTTTAGTACTCCTCGATCATTGATTGATAGGTAACTAAACTCCAAACGTATTCTACAAAGTTTGCAGTAATATGTATAGTTATATTAATTTATTAACATCTTTATTTCAGAAAAATATTTTTCTCTGTCACAAAGAGAAGCGGTCAATATATCTCTGGTACCGAACTACGGAAGTGCAACCTCGATGGGTCAGGAATGGAAACTCTTATACTATTCCCAGATGTTATTTCTCCTAGATCAATGACAATTGACTACTCAAATGATAAGTATGTACACTGTACCGTAATTTTCACTCGTGAATTACAATTTTCATCAGGCAAAGGGCGAAAATGATGTTTTGTTTTATGCAATTATGCTACTATATTTGAACTCCATAACCTACAAGCAAAGCTTGAGTCTAAATACTTCCTAATTTTTCAAATGTTTTTAATTATATATATGTAAGCTTGTTTGAAGCTATATTTGTCAAGGCAGTGTGAGTTAAACCGGGACTCATATACTACTATATTGTTCACATATTTATTTAACGCTTTGTCCAGTTTTTTTCCATATGAATTCTATATAAAAATGCCTTGTCTTTGTTTCACCTCAGGCTTTTCTGGACGGATCGATCAATATTTGGAGATTCAGTTGTCATGGCTAGTGACCTGAACGGAAAACTAACAAAACAGTTCTTTTCGACTTCTACTGGAAGTTTTTGGGGCATCGCTTATTATAATGTATGGACTTGATTGAATTATTCTAGCAATTAGTCGTTTTTTTTTTATTAGAATGAAAGAGTCATAAATAACATGTGTTATAAAGTTAGTAATATTTAAAAAGTGTTGATAGTGTGATGGTTATTTCTATAAAAAAGAACCTAAATCTAACTTTGCTTTATTTTAGTGGTTTAAATAGTTTTTTTTCATGTTTTGACGGTTTTTCTTAAATCGACACATAAAAACTAATTTCCAGTATTTGTTTTACATTTCAGTCATACTTCTACGTCACTGACATGGTCAATAGAACTGAATCCGAATATGACATTCACATTAGAAATTCGGATGGAAGAACTGGAAAAGTAGTCAAAACTAAAACAAGGCCAAGAAACATAGCAGTATATGCTCCAAACGAAGTTTCAAAAACCAAAAGTAAGTCATGTATATATTATCATGAGCTTCCTTGAATCTTTCTAGACTATAAATTGTATGCGTTTTGGTCTTTTAATAAGTACAATTATAGACTGCGTAGTACGTACATCAGATTTTTGATCGAGTAGATTTTTGGGATCGGACCGATGGTTGCCCATAAGCCCTCTGAACCTACGATGTAGCCACATAAGTTACTGTCATCTTTTTCAGTTCCAAATGAATGTGAATCGAACAAATGCAATCAATTATGTCTTGCATCAGCAGCAGGTAGAAGTGCATGCAAATGTGCTGCGGGATTTACCTTAAAACGTGGAACAACATGCGAAGCAGGTGTGCATTCTTTTCTATCTACGAAACCTCATGTATATATATAAATTTGCAAAGAAAATAACAAACGAGCCAAAGGAACGAGGCTAACTGAAATGCCCATATAAAATTTTGGGACCTCCTGAAGTGTGCGAATCAAGATGGCGCACAACCTGAACTCAGGTTGTGTACCAGGTTAGGGTTCAGGTTATGCGACATCTTGGTGCGCATACTTCAAGAGTACCAAATTTTGCTTGCTTGTCTTGACATATTCTTTATTAAATACACAATAATAGTATCTCTTTCTACTAATAGAGTTTCTCTTTTATTTCCAACTTGTAACGTCTTGTTGAAGTATGTTTTCAACCAAGAAAACCTATACCGGTCCAGCGAAACAACTCATAAAATAGAAGATACGTTTATCAATTGTATATTTGTAACGTGTCAATTGGGTCAAGTTTGTTGGATAATCCAATTATATATATATATAAGTAAATGAAAACATCGACTACAAGGAAATGTTTTCATGGTAAAAATTGAACCACGATTTTGTCTTTTCAGATGCTCTTGACGATAACTATCTGCTTATTGCTGACCTTGCTCATCGTCGATTATTTCAACTTGGTTTGACAGAATTTGGATCCAACGATATTGTTGCTGTTGACATAAAAGGCAAATACATTTATTGAAAACCTGCAGTGAATAATCAACCTTCAGTTCATCATAATGAGCTGACAAATTAAACTAAAATCCTATTCTGGTACTACTCTATCCCTGGTGTATGCAGTCGCGTGGAAAACGAGAAATTAGAGCAGTATGATCCTGGAATAAGTCGCTGCCTATACGGAACTTGTATCGCAGTAAAAATATTATCGAAATTGTTCTTATTTCTTGATACAACATTATTGCTTATTTATTCAAATGCTCTAAAGTTAACAGAAGATTGAAACGTTTTTTTTTTGTTAATTTTTTTTTTTTCAAATTAGATGCACCGAATGAGAAACTATATGCCGGGGTTGATGCAAGCAATGGCGAAATTGCGTGGTATAATCTCGAAACGGATGAAATTGTATGGAACGACAAAAAATTTTCGTTTTCTGGGGCTGGTAAGTAAATGCTAAACTCATAAAAAATAGTGACGGATGCCAGAAACTGAAATTTATAAATCCTTGGTCAGATTCCGCCACTCAAACCCCCCACCCCCCAAAATGTTTGAATAAATACAAGTTTGTTAACGAAAAGAGCTTTTATGCGGCATTGGAATGTTTAAAAAATATCGCTTCATACAAAGTCACTACTTATATTTTATAAAATACTGTATTCTTTATACTCTTGTAGGATTTTGACAAGCGAAACAAATCATTGCTCGACACTCGCTAATGGTATACTCTGATAAATGCAATTTTTTTAGTAATCAGCTTCGTTGTTTATCATTGCGAGAGGAAACTATACTGGTCGACAGGGACTGGAATTTATAGTTGGGACGGAAGAAGGTTCTCATCTAGTACACGAATATACAGCTTGCCTTTTTTTACAAGTTCCGAAGTTCGACAAATAGAAATAGATATTATTCGTGGGTGAGAGTTAACAGTTTTTTTTTAGTGCTTTACTTAATACCGATAAATAAAACTTCCAATTTTTCAATGAAATACAAATATGTTCTAGACATATATATTGGGTTGAACATGATCAATTAACAAAAAGAAGTAAAGTGATGAGAAGCAATCTCAAAGGAGAAAAACAGGAAACTGTTTTAAGAGATATTGCAACCTCTAAAGGAATTACGATCGATTATGAATGTAAGTAGGGTGTTGGTTGGCAAGAATTTCCATCACATCTGATTAACGGTGTTTCCTATAGTAAAATTATATTTGAAATATATGTATGTTATTGAAATAAAATTACCATGATCGTTGGTTGGCAAGAATTTTGAATACATCTGAACTACGGTGTTTGCTATATATATATATATGTTATTGAAATAGAATTATTATCTTTTCTGCTTCTCGTTTATATGTAAATGTAGTGAGTTGCAACGTGCTATACGCTGTAATGACAAATCGGTTACCACGGTTATGGGACAAAAAAATAAGTGTTGGCTACTGATTTATCTTTTTACATGCCATAAAGAAAACCTTAATTCAACATTGGTTTGTAACTTATAGTTTATTATTAGTTTTAATTTTTAGTTTTCAAATAATTCCTACCTTGTAGAACTTGCTTACAAATAACGTGTCCTTGACAATTTGGAATTGAATAAATATATACCAATGTAGTCCTCAGAAGTAATGAATATATAATTGCCAGCCCGTCAAATACCGCCTAAAATGATCCTGTCCCTTGTGGTCTAAATTGGTAATTCAAAGTGGTAATTGACTTTGATTAATATTTAGGAATTGGAAAAAAAAAATTGATCAAACTCAGATACAATGCAAACATGATTTTATATATTTCCAGCTTACACTTTGTACGTTTTGTCGATGGTTGCAGGAGAATTGTATTCACTTCCACTAAAACTTATGGAGAACATACCATCGCAATCTGCTGGTCACTATCAATACAAAATTATCAGACTCATTCCTATTTTGAAGGAAAACACCTTTGTGCTTTCCGAGTAAGTGTTGCAAGTTATTCACTGTTTTCGCGGTATATGCCAGTGGTTTTCAATATTTTCAAATGGATATTATTTCTTGAGCCAAATCATTATATAAAAAATATGAAAAAACATACTAAGGTAGAATCTAAAATATTTAAAAAGATAGAAAATACAAATCACATTTTGACAAAGTAGTATTTCAATTCAGTCGGTTTAATTAGACAATATTATGCTATGGTTAGTATAATTTTATGCTTCATTTTTATTTCTAGCCTCGTTGTGGTCAACGGATGGGTATACATTTCTGACTCCCGTTCAGCAAGCATACGCCGTTTTAACCTACGCTCGGGACCCTCATCTATGGAAACATATGGCCCAAAGGCATTTTATTATGTGCCGACTTTAAAATTTTACAATAGACAACATTATATGAAGAACATAAGTGAGTATCACATCATTAATATAATAATATGATAATCCAGTAACTGAATATTGAAAATAGTATTTAACAATATTTTACAAATTTGAGATGTTAACTTCAAGCATTGAAAATTTTATGACATCTACTTGATAAGTAGTTAAATTAATAGATCGGGTCTTCTAAAGTCTGTCTAGTGGGCTTTGCATATTCCAGATCAAAATAAGCTGATTTATCAATTGAATAGACAAATTCTGATGATTGCCATTTGCTTGCAAACATGAAAATACTCCAAGGATTAAAGCGACTTGTAATTATATTATATGGCACTTCGGTCTTGCTTTTTTACTAAACTAATGTTAAAAAATATTTAAGGAGATAAATGTCCCGGCGCAAGAACCGCTACCACGACAACAACAACCACGACTACTACCACCACTACTGCGTTTACAAGAAGATTTAGAGCACCAACTACACCAGAAACTGTAATTTTCACTAGACGGCCATCTAGAAGAAATCCGCCGAGACAACAATCAATTAAGACGAATCCCATCGTTACTACCAGTGCCCCCCGAAAATCAGTAGTCGAAACCGGAGCTAATTGTGACCCTCTCTTGAATTCAGGCAAATATATGGATTATCTCACATGTATGCTTGCTGCTTATAAGCCGTAGCTTATATATATATAATATGACTACACCAGGCTGTTTCATTCTGACTAACTTCTATGTGTATAACGAATTTTCTTCTTGTCTGCCGTTATTTGTCAACCAGTGTAATAAAATGACAACAGTCAGTCTATGGCCTTGTATGTACCGGTAAACTTCAGCGACTAGCTCTACCGAGTTTTGAATCAAACATAGTGTTACAAATGAGTGGATGTTAATCTTATACAGTTCATAGACATTCAAACACGCATCTGAGCAAACATAGAAAAGAAATAAAAAGAACTAATTAGTTTAGAGTCAGACATAGGCCTACTACAGGGTTGAAAGAATATCATTCCATTTGCCATGGGCTTTAGCAAAATATTACTACCCAGCATAAGCTCGCAATAAATAATTGTAAAGTACATTGGCAGGAACTAGAGGTAAGATCGGGCCCAAAAATCCAGCCCGGCCTGACCCAGGTATGTGGGTATTAAACCCACTCGAGACCGACTAACAAACTGAGTTTGCAGGCGCGAGCCCGAAACAAGCCCGAAATTTCATATTTTATTTAGGAGTTCTTCGAATTGTCATTGAAAAAGATTAGTACAGTACTTTTTAGTGTTGATGAGGTAACTTCAGTTTTTCGCTTGCAGACCACGGTCTCTCGTGGCCAAAACGCTTCAAAAAAAGTCAGCGGTAGAGAAGCCCGACCCTACCCGAACGTAATGATTGACATTCCAGTTCGGGCGCTGGCTCGGGCTTCAGATCTTAGCTCTAGCAGGAACTGCTTGTACATTAGTCATTTACCTGACCTGTACATTACTTATATGTGCTTCATCGCCTACCCTAATTTGTAATCACCCCGAAAACAAGAGAGCAATGCTCAAATACAAAGACTGTCGTTCATCGGTACCGGTAGCGGTAAGGCAGGGATTTTTTATAGAGCTGTGCCCTTCACCAGTTACTACACATTTTATGAACAAACAATCTAGAATCCAGTGGGGTATATATTATTGGTGTTGGTCACTCACGAAATAACCATCACATTGTAGTCATTCAATGATTTTAAATAATCCTTTGTACTCCAATTGTACCTTGTAGAAATTGTGAATATACATGAATATCAAATTAATTATTGCTAGTAGTACTGTATATAAAATTACCCTAAAGTTGGTGGCCCGATCCTACAGGACATAATGGATTGGAAACGCTGGGATGGACAAATCGTTTGATATATATGATTCTAAATCACAGTTAAATTATACTTAGAGGTGTTTTTTAAAATGCAGATAACCTTGGAACGTTCGAATATTATTTAATAGATGTGAAAAATATAGCGCGTTCACTATAAAACAATTGTATATGCTATTTCATTGATGAATATCGAAGATATTGAAGCATCCAAGCCTTCAAAGCCGAGGAATGATTCATTTCAAACTTAAATATTCGCTTAGTTTTCGTACATATATATTATTTGGAGAATTATAATATATTTCTTTCGTATAAGCTCACATTAATTGGAATGCCCGTGCAATTTTCGATTTTTCATTATAAACATTTTGATTCATCTTAGAAGAAAAATAGATGTTTATCAAAAAATTCGGTGTGAAATCCCTTTGCACGTTTATCAATCCCGAAGGGCAAAACGTCTGGGAATGGAGGTGTAGTTTCCGAAAATTGACTCTATCAAGGCTACCATCTGTAGGGGCAAAATAAAATAGCGAATATATTTATTTTCTGGATTAAAATGTGAAAAATATTAATAATATCTCCACGATTTTCTAAAATATTTATTCTAACAAATCAAGTAACTAGTAAAACCAAAAAGAAAGTAGTTGAGATACAAATTAGGCCCATATATGTTTTTTCAATTCAAAGTTTGATATGACTGAAAATTTCATTTTAAACAGGTTAAGTGGTAATTTATTTTATATTAAGACAAAAATGTTTAAATGATTCGGTAGAGGTTTTGGTTAGGTAACCAAAAAACAAAACATGTACACTCAAGATTCAAAGAATAATACCATGCTGTTTTAGAGTCCTGCTTTCAAATATAATATGACCATAAATAGCAATTTCAAATATTATATTAGGTCAAATAATATAAAAATATTTTTGAGTCCAATATTTCATAAGCAGCATATATATAGATATATATATTGTTTTTTAAAACTTTTTTGCCACGTCTTCCTTGTTTGATCCTATTAAGAAAATATTTTGATGAAGTGATTGTTGCGCTAAAAAATTATATGAATATAAAATTATAAAAATATTATTCAAATTTCATCCTATTGCAAGTTACGGCATTTGAAATAATAGCCAAACGCAATTTTTGAAACATAAAGAGGAATGACTTGCAACTTTCTGCCCTGGGGCGAAAACGTCCCCAACGGTGAAAGCACACTTTCAAAATATTTTATACCCGAACACAAAACGCAAAAACGCAAGAAGTCAATCAAAATGTAGAAACGTTATTTCTCAAAATATCATGGTTTCACAGAAATACTAATTAAGCCACACAGAAAGTGGATTATTAGTGGACACAGTAGTATTCATTGCCAATTTTTAAGAAAAACACTAAGAGCGTTAGAAAAATCTTCGCAAAATGTCTGTTTACTCGAACCTGATTGGCGGTTGTATTGAGAACAATTTATAATTGATCGATATTTTAAAAACAAAAAAAAACAGAGTTTTTAAACGACGGAAACAAATCTTTACAGGGTGTGTGTTAAGATGCAACTACGCTTTCGTCCAAGGGGAATATTTATCTGAGCGCAAGAAGTTAATTAAGCTAACAATAACAGGAATGTGAAGTTTCTTGAACGAGACTTACTTGACGTTTATGATTTTATTAAAAAAATAAACAGATCTGATACCGGCCTCTTCATAATAAAAATGGTAATTCACCTGTTTATGACCAGTTAGGTATTATTGCATTTTGCGCGCATTCAAATTTTACATGTTTCCAACAAGCCATATTAAAAAATATCACCCAGCGCATGAAAGCTTTTGACTGTTTTGAACAAATGTTATAAAAGTAAATATGAAATAAGAGTGAATATTAAACGAAAGAGCAAAAATATATGGAAACGAAGGAGAAAACAAAGTAGGTACCAGTATCTAATCTTTCACAGTACCGGTGCTGGAGCATAGTCTTCGCGACTAAGATTGACCACCAGTTCGCAACGAGCGCGAACGCGAACAGAATCCCACAAGGTGTCTATATTTTCCTATTTTGATAACGTTACCACGAACAAAAAAAACGAATCCCATAAAAATAGAGCCACAGAAAATTTTGGAAAAATAGCCTTCTATTTACAACAATAATCTTTAAACATTGAAAATTACTAACAATTGGTCCAGGAATTACAGAGAGAGGCGATTTTTGATAACAACAAGACAAAGAATACTATCAATAACAACAATCTTATACCAAAACGATCTATGGGTTCACATCGTGTCCAATAATAAAAGGCTTTATAATGCTTAAACAAATTTCACCAAAATTTTCAAAAATTTTACATTTCCAAATACTCGCGATGTGCTTCGCCGGCCGAAATCAGCTTTTTACGTTTGGGTCAGGATTTATTACAAAAATGGAACCACCTGCTCCAGTTGGTTTTTAAATTTCTAGTTTGATTTGATTTGCCAGATTGATTGATTTGATTTGATTTGCCATTTGATTTACCAGAAAATATGGAACCCGTAACTTTTTTCAATAACATTGTTGAATAGCCAAGTTTGCTTTTGAATGCTTAATGACAGATATAAAAGATAGATATTTTTTTGAAACTGTGTTTTCAATATTGCGGACGTTTTCTCACCGGGGCAAATAAAGTTGCAACTCATTCATCTTTGTTTTTTCTCAGGTAGATGGATGTTTTATTTTGCGTTTATACCAACTGAGAGGAATGCGGTCGGCACTTCATTAACTACAATGAAAGCGTAAATGGGTAATTGGTAAACGGATAAACAATTTCATTTTGATCAAGCAAATGAGATTTGTATATTTTTTGCCCATCTGAACCATTACCGCCATATAAGACGCGTTCAAAGAACTTTACATTCCGTTAATTGCTAGGTTTAACTTTTTGCCCACGGCTAAATATTCCCCTTGGGTGAGATTGTAGTTTCCAATAAACATGTACCATGCAACGATCTGTACCGGCAAATCAAAAATCCTGTAATTTTAGTTTTTTAAATGAACGATAAATGATAATATATTTCTCATTTCGATTACGTCCACCAATCAGTTTCGAGTAAACAGACACTCTAGGAGGAGTTTACAAAGACATGTTGCAATACTGCGGTTTTTGCAAGAATCGCTGATTCCGTATTACTTAATCACTATTTCCGTAAAAATGCACTGTTTACCAAAAACGAAAGCATATTACTATTCAAAAACAACATTTTGGAATTTATTTTAAAATGTCTTTCCCCCTTAAAATTACTCCAAAACTCATTATATCGGGTATATTCTTTCTGCGATGCTCTTAGTCCTTCTTTAAAATTTTTCCGTAGCATATTTTGCTAGGTGAGCATAATGGAAACAATAAGATGTCGTAATTTATTACGTTTTTTTTGTTAATATCACGTCAACTGCGGATTTATTGTAATTAACAATGTACCGCTTCATTGCAGTAGATATTGGATGCAAGTGTAGATTTCTACGAGAAAATCAAGTCGTTGTGAACTAATAACCATGCTCGTATACGAGGCAAGCATAATCTGGTGCGTGCTTATAAGAAACGAACAAAATTTTGTGATTACCACCTTTTTTAAAACATTTAGTCAAGCAGGCATGATTCAGAACTCGTAATACCTAATTTTTGGGGGACACAATATCGCCTTTTTCTCAGATAGGCGGGACTTAGGCGCATTAAATGAATCTACTTTCAACAATGATGTAATGTGATTAGAAGATGAATATTTTACAATTGCCGATGTCCGTTTAATGTTGTCTGTTTCGAAAGAGGGGAAATTTTCTGATTTAGTATTTTTATTTCCAGTTTTAATTTTTGATTTTATTTTCAGATGTCGATTTTTGTTGAAAAATATCTTACACAACAATACTTTCCGATTAATAAAAATACCCTTATCTGAGAAAATGCCAATCAAAAAATGTGATTTTCTTTTATACAATATTATATAAACCATTACTTCATTCACTCCAAAGAATGAGAGATCACTTTTGGTTAATTCCAGTTCTCGTCGGCATTTTGTCACGCGACGAATCTTTAAATCGGTGTTTTCTACAGAATTAATAGGTTGATAAAAAACAAACAGTTCAGATGAGCCGATAAATGAAATGAGAAAAACAGCATTGACAATGAGCTATATATAAATTTTGAATAAACAAGTGAAAACTATCATTTTGCACTGCAAAGCTAAGGTGGCACTACAGCGACAGGTCGTGGATGTGATATTTGACAAATCATGACTTTGACGAGATATGCAATCATTATTTTCAGCCTTGCTGGAATTTTTCTGTCAGCAGTACAAGCACAAATCGGAAGTTCTCGTAAGTATCCTCAACTTTATTTTAGATAATAAATTCTTCATTTAAATTTTAAAGTTATAAGATTTACGTATTGGAAGCATTGTTTCCGTTTTCCGCTTTAAATTTGTAATAATATCAGGTTTCTTTATTTCAATATTTAGGAGATTTCCAAGACGAAGAAGCTGTTTTATTCACGTTTTATGATCGATTAACACAGCAGACATATGTTAGATACTCGCAGGTAATTTCTTCACTGATATATATATCGCATTTTATAAAATAATATATATCATCACCATTCGACGTCCACATTTCGAATATACTGGGGATAGGACTCAAGACAAACTTCTACATCACAAGAAAAAGTGCGCCATGCGCCAAGCCTGTATTTATATTAAAGAATATCGTTGATGCTCAAACCATTCACACAGTTGTAAAACAAGTTTTATTGCGATACCTATTTCTGTATTTAAAACTCCAAAAAATATAACGTGAGATAGAAAGGTTAACTTCTAACAAAATGCTATATTTTTAGGGTGCGGGTGTGGGACTTGGAGGGACGGCATCGAATTTCAGTGTTCTCGCAACTGCAAGTGACAAACGTTCCGAATTTTATGGTTTGACAACCAGCTACAAGACGAAAGAAATATTCTTTCACGAACATGTGTAAGTAACTGAACTAATTTTCAATTTTGTGTTGCAGATTTGATAATCTAACTGGAGGAAATTGCTATTTAAACAACTGAACCATTGTTAAATTCAAATCCTTTTTCCATTTTTCAGCCATTGAAAAATAATCTGATATGCAATAAAAGATAATTAAGTATTAAATTATTGAAAATATGTTGAGATAGCAAATAAATATAAGTCTGTTTAATGCCCTTTCGGTTACAAAATTTTTTCCCATTTAGATCTGAAGAACTGATGGTATATGATGTGTTGGCGGGAGATATCAAGAGAGTGGCCAAGTTTATTACTGGTGGACTGAAAAACATTGTGTATGATTTTGTAACACGGGTCTTGTACTGGACTGATTCAATCGAAAAATCGATTATTGCATTAGAAAAGAATTATCGTCACTTAACAAGAATATATCAAACCAATGAAGTTGGAGCACCTCACGGATTAGCAATACATCATATAAAAAGGTACAGCACGCTTGATACCATCACATAATTCATATTTATTTTAATGTTGTGATAAAATGTAAAATCTTCGGATAAATATATTTTGTCCTTACATATATTACTATACGTTTGGATACAAAGAGGCTATTGTCATATTTACTTAAAGTTAAAACGATATACTGTGACCAATCCGTCGATGATGATTTAATCGACATGAATTAATTCTCTTTATATTACGAAGCCTATCAGCTTTTAGTGTATTACACAAGAATGGCGTTTCCATCATTGACTTACATCTTTTATCAAGTAACAGACAGAAGTGTAGTTGAAATTGTTCCAAATTCAATCCTATTATAAAGCAGCAAACATACCCGAATCTACTAATAAATCCCTATATCCGTATAATGTTTGCAGCAAACCATTTCTGAGCGTTGAATTATTCGCTAATATAATTTACTGCCGCGAGGCATAACTAGATAATGCAAATTAAAAGAACAAAGCTGCGGTCAGAAATTCGGTTTTTATTATTGATTAAGATTTAACATGACATGATAAAAGTCACAAATAGGTAAAGCGATATTCCGAACTATAAACGAAGCATTCAAAATATCCATTCCGCTGTGTCTGTGTCAATACGCTCTTGATATATCTTGCACCATACTGTTTTCCATATTTATCTGTTTCCCTGTGCACCGAGACAGGAGTATGTGGTCCCATTGGTAATGATCTTTGCAGTTTTAGGTGATTTTTTTTCAAGTTTGTGTTAGTAATTCAGCAAACTCTAAAAATGAAAAATGAGCTAATATTGTGATCTCATATAATTCTCATTCATATTCATTATTTTTTACTTTTAGAAAACTATTTTTTTCTCAATTTTCCCTGGATATTGGAGGAATTGACAAGTCGATGATTGCAAAATGCGATTTAGACGGAGGCAACATAGAAATAATAATGAGATTTCCGGACACAATCGGAGCTCTTGCAATCACGATTGACATTGATGATGACAAGTAAATTCTTATCTATAGATATTTTTTTATTCTCAATTTTGCATCCCGAGCTATTTGACATTGATATATGATCACGTGATCTGTGACCCACGAATCAAACACTTTTAAGACATGGCAGACCACATGAATTGAAAATAAACTTTGCCAGAAAAAACATTCCATCAAATTACATTTTAATACATGGAATTTTTAAGTATATATTTTTAAACTAAATGTGATGAATAAATCTCAAATACCGAGTACAAAGATATATATCAACTGTGATCACGCCGAGCTATAAAGTTTTGAATCTTAAACGACCTAAGTTAAATTGATCAAATTTCCTTTGTCTACCGTCTCCGTCTATATATATCTAACCATATCTCAGTATCCCAACTGAATAAGCATATGGCTTTTAAAGCGTCAATGGTTATTGCAACATCCATATCACCAACGTATTTTTAAACGATGCCAATTCACGTATTTTGGTCCAAATATGGCTATCGATATGTACGGAGCTGCTGTTTTTGAACGGATCGCAATATTTATGGGTCAACATTGCCTACCAAATTCAATTTATTACACCCAATGTATTTTATATTTGCTTCCGGTAATGATATCGCGGTTTATTATATTCTAATTTTAATCATTTACAGACTGTTCTGGTCCGACATGAACCTACTTGGTCAAAGTGTGATTATGGGTAGCGATCTCAACGGAAATAGAAAAAAACAATTCTTTTCCACTTCTACCGGAATCATGGTTGGACTTGCATACTTTTCGGTAGGTATTTGGTAATATCAGCTAGTTTTACCATAATTTATCATATGGAAAGTAAAAATTGTTTCTATATATTTTTTAATCCAGAGAAACTTCTATGCAACAAATTCTGGAAGTAGATCTTCTAGAGTGGCTAGGACCAAAATTCATATTCGTTACAAGGACACATTTGGCGGAACTGATCTAATAACGAGTGCTGTTCCCAGAAATGTAGCAGGATACGGACCAACAAAGGCGACCAAAGCACTGAGTAATTATGTTAAAGAATATAAACTGTTATTTGATGTCAACATTGTAATATTTCCATTTATTGTCCAATATCGGTATTCTTTGAATGCATTCTGAAATACCCTCGAAATTGCGCATTAAATACAGATTTTGTCAAAAACAATATTGCAAATTTTAATATGTAGATACATTTTTCATTTAAGGACGGTTAGGTATTTATTTGTAATCTATTGTATTGGTATATTTTAACTGTATACGTTTGGCTGTGACGTTTCAATTAAAAAGAAATTTTGTCTTCACGTTTTATATTATGATGCCACTTATTTAATAATATACGTCACGTCCTCCAAATATTTTGTTCCACAATACCACTATAGCCCAAATACTAAATCATCACTTGATATATTTACAGTAAACAACGAATGCAACAATAAGTGTGATCATATTTGCTTAGCATCGGCTAACGGAGGACACGTTTGTAAATGTTCGCCTGGTTATAAGCTTACCAATAGAAACAAGTGTGAAACTGGTAAGTTTACAACATTTACAAATTGTCAATTGCTAGTTTATTTAAAATTCACTCTAACAAGATTTCAACCTAACAACTGCTGAGCAATTGAACCTTAAATCGTCTTATCCTATTACGTCCATTCTAGTCTAATAATAGCTGGTGACAAGATGCATATATATATATTGAAATTTCCATAATGATGGGTCGCCATGTTAAATTTATGAATTTAAATTACAGAGTTTGCTAATATAAGAGCTATTGCATGTCAGTAATTTTTTTATATAATATTTTTAAATATAATACGCTCTACCATTTTTCAGAAATGTTGGATGATGATTATTTAATATTCTCCGACCTTGGCCAGAAGCGACTCTTTCAGATGAAGTTAAGCGCAGATTCTGAAGATGTTACAGAATTCAACGCTGTTCCTCTGAGTGGTAAGAACGATATTGTTTGCCCTTAAAACTCGAAAAAAGTTGATTGAAATGAACAAGTTTTTGAAGCGCTGTTTTGTGATTAGCAACAATGGTATTAATTGTAATGAGAGTAGCAAGGGTGTGCAGTCGTTGTTTTTTGATATAAGAGTCGGAGTTGGAATAGTATCTTCAAACTACTGGTTTTCATGGAGCCAGTCTTCTATTATTTTTCATCACATATAGCAAATTGTTTCGGATGAACATAATTATTAGGGGCCAAAATGTGAAATTTAATACTAATATAGATACTTGCTACATCATATAGCCAAACTAAACTGGACTTTTTGTCGCAAATGTATCCACAATATTCTCTTCTAGATGCATATGAAATAGCCATCGTAGCCAAGGCCGTGGATGCCAGCAACGGGGACGTTGCTTATTACGATGGACGAAATAAAGAGATACTGTGGAGCAGGAATTCAATACCATTCACGGCAGGGGGAGTGGCTGGAATGGAAATTCATCCATGTGAAGGAAAGCTATTCTTTCACACATTGTCAGGAATATATAGCTGGGCACCTGGAGATAAAGCATACAAATCATTATATCAATTACCTTTCTTCTCATCTTCTGATTTATTCCATGTAGCATTGGATTTAGCAAGAGGGTGAGAATTAATTTTGGTACTAAAGTTAAGCACACGCTCATAAATAAGCCTCTTTTTTTTCAACAGGCTTTCAATATGTGTTTATTACATTGACAGTCAACCAATGATGTGTTACAAACATACTAGTATGTAATTGACAAATTATAATTCTTTCGGCATCACTCCCAAATTTTGTACAGCCTAAAGATGATGTAGTATTCCTAGTCGTGGTTCAACATTTGGTCGGAGTTGTTGAAGCTATTTCTTTGTTACGGACTATATATATCCAATCTTTTCATTTTAATTATCAGGCATATATATTGGACCGAATATGACGGATTGGCAAAAATGGGAATAGTACGCAGAAGTCTTTTGGATGGATCGAAAAAAGAAATTGTTTTAGAAACGACACAGTACATGAAGGCGATCACAGTGGATCACGAAAGTAAGTCGTTTAATTAATACTTAAGAAATCGTGTGATTTTAGTAATCGGCTAACGGAGGACACGTTTGTAAATGTTCGCCTGGTTATAAGTTTACCAATAGAAACAAGTGTGAAACTGGTAAGTTTACAACATTTACAAATTGTCAATTGCTAATTTTATTAAAATTCATTCGAACAAGATTTCAACCTAACAACTGCTGATCAATTGAACCTTAAATCGTCTTATCCTAAATCTCTTATCGTATTACGATCATTTTTGTATAATGATAGCTGGTGGCAAGATGCGTAAATATTGAAATTTCCATAATGATAGGTCGCCGTGTTAAATTTATGAATTTTGAATTACAGAGTTTGCTAATATAAGAGCTATTGCATCTCAGTAATTTTTTTCTATAATATTTTAAAATATAATACGCTCTACCATTTTTCAGAAATGTTGGATGATGATTATTTAATATTATTATAATATTATAACAAACTAAACGAAGGAAATAAATTTTTCGTATTTGTTTCAGCTTACACCCTCAACGTATTTTCAACTGCAAGCCGAATTCTGTATTCGCTGCCTTTAAAGATAATGGAAATGATTCCTTCCAAAGACCCAGAATATTATCAATATAAAAAATACGATCTTTCAACACAATTAACCAATCGAACCATCGTCAATGAGTATGTATCTTACGTTACTTTATTTATAGAGAACAATCTTTTCGTTTTGACTTATCTTTTCAGATATAGAGAAAGCGAGAAAGAGACTTATGTGAATAAACTTTAATTGTCGTGTATAAAACATCATCAATGAAACAGAATAATTGTCTTGAATGCAATTCGGTACTTACAGGCAAGAATCTGAGTAATACGGTCCATAAATTTTGAGTCACGATTTAAGTCCAAGTCCCAGGGAATTTTAAAGTTGGTGTCTTAAGTCGAATTACCGCATTCTCGATCAAAGGGTCAGGTCGCTAATGCTCCTTGCCACACAAGTCGTGTCTCGGGGCATAGTAAAACCAACGATTTTCAATCACAAACCATGATTTAATCATCTATTGGCAACATTTACACAAGTATCAATATGGTCTATTTAAAGTTATCATTGAAACAAGCTCGTTAAATTTTCTATTTTTTTGATACAATATTAAACGGCGTGCATGGTAAACCTTATTTGCAGGATTTTTTTCATCTCACATAGTCTAAATCTACTGTTAGAAGAAGCCATGTTAAAATGGATATAAAAGTTTGATATACTAACACTAATTTCATTTGCAGTATCTCTGTTTACAACGGGATGGTGTATTTAGTTGATACAGAACACGACTCAATTCGACGTTTTTCGTTGGTGAGAGGACCGTCATCATTAGAGAATTATGGTCCAGGTGGATTCTTCTACGCCATAGCAATTAGTTTCTACAGTTCAGAACATTTCATGAAACACATGGGTGAGAATGATTTTATGACAATTGCATTTTAGATTAGTCCTACTTTTATTTTATAGTGAAAATAGCAATATAATTTAGTTGGAAATTTAGACGGTATAACTAAGTAATTCGATCATCGCCTATTGGCACAAAGTAAATTCCGTTTACCAGTCAAAAACATATATAGATTATCATAATTTGAAAGTAAAAGTAAAAAAAAATATGCTAGAGTTATCTCTTATACCAGTGGTTCTTAAACTTTTTCGAGCGCGACCCAAATCTGAGTTTAAGAATACTCGCGACCCAATCCTAAATAACGCAAAATGTGTTATTGTTAATGTGTTATGTATTATTATTAGTGCAGTTTGACTCAAATACAGACAACTATTTATTAGAAACAGTCCATTGACTCAGTGAGATTGATGAAACTGAAATTTCCTTTTCAATATATCTTCAATACACAGCTCTATTTTACTTAACGCAATACGCAAGTTGTCACGGGTATCGAGGCGATTGCGAGCTTAGTTTTGTTAACCGTCAGTGCCAAATATCCTCGCTCGCACAAGTGCCTTGTCGCGAATTGTAGCAGAAAAGGCGCCCGCTGTCCGTCGCAAACACGACATCCTAGCTGGCCTTCGGTATCTCTCGCAACATACAACTTTTTACTCATCAAATGTGCACGCACTGCTTCGTTCGCGGTAAATGGTGCCTCGACATGAAGTCACATCTTCTCTAGATATTGAATAATCTAATGTCGAGAAGCGAGCTTTTTTTCATTGCGTCGTCTGTTACAATTTACATTACCAAAAAGACACCCATTTTTGGTTATTCTAATCCACTAAGACGACATTCCACGCGGTCAACACAACGAATGCGACGTGCATGGTTATTGGTTACCGATACCATAAAAATAATACACGTGACTGGAATATCAGAATTGTGATGTAACAATGAGCTCAAGACAGTTCTTTCCGTGAATGAAATTTTATATTTCATTATTTTTAAATACCAGAGTTTAGAAGCTAAATTGAAACATTGGGAAAGCTGAAAATTCGTCCTTCTCTTCTTAGATTGCCCTTGCATTGACGACCTTGTCGCGACCCATTTTTAAACCTTCCGCGACCCATGTTTGGGTCGCGAGTCGCGACCCATACTTTAAGAACCACTGTCTTATACCATACCATCAAACATTCCAAACAGGAAAAACGCGTTGGGTGTATTGATCAAAATGCTTTGCAACTACGCAATTAGAAAATAATAAATTCCAATTCTATTGCCAACGTTTGGTAAATTTGAAACTTATATTGTTACAGTACCTCTACCAAGTTGTCAAAAATTTCGACCAACAGAAACAACAACAACAACAACTGAAGCAACAACTCCTTCTGCAGCTCCAGCAGTTGGTGGATCCAACGTAGATGTTTGTGATGTAGTTTTGGATAAAATATCAGCGAAAGCAGACATCAGCACAGCAATTAAAGTTTACTTGTCCTGTCTTTTCCGGAGCTCGGGTCCAGGTGGATTGGCAGGATTAGGACTAGGACGGTAGAATGATATTCGGGAATGGCGAATGATAACATCATCCCGCTTATTTGATTTCAATGTTTTATTTGTGATCTCATATTTCTGTGTTTACTATGTTTCTTTCTATTCACGATCGAAATAAATTTGGCAAGGTAACTCAGTTATAACGAAAAAAAAAACGTTTATTTAATTTTTATGGGGTAAGATATAATATAGTCTATTGAACATACATTGAAACTAAAATATGGTTAGTCTGGAATGGTCTATGACGTTAACAAAATCTGTAAATTGTTCCTATTTCCGTTTAATTATAGTTACTTGACCCAATATAACAAGTATAATCAATTTCTACCATGTGTCGTCGTGTATCTATCACATCACTTCTTTCCACTCTCACTCACTTGTCTTCTACATTGCTTTAACCAAGATGACAAGTTTCTTGAATAATGTAAAAAATAAAAGGAATTCAGATATATACGAGGTGTGGCTAAAAAGAAACGAGACTGACGTCACAGATTGCGCAACACGATTAACCATTGGTAATCAACACTTTTACAGTGTGGTGTAATATGTGTTCTTTGTTCAACAGCTTTTTTGACACAATATCGCAATTATTTTTGCTCTTTAGGAGCCATAGGTGAATGTGATTAATTGCTTGTTGAAAAAAAAATTGCCGTGCGAGATCTGATTGAGTTTTTTGGCGATAGGGGGTTCAATTGCAGAATGACGATTGAGCAATGAATTAACATTAAATTTTGTGTCAAACTTGGAAAAACGGCGACTGCGACTTTGAAGAAATTGTGTGATGTTTATGGAGATTCTTCCATGTCCAGAACAAGAGTTTTTGAATGGCACAAGCGATTTGTGGGATGCAGGGAGGATGTGGAGGATGATTCGAAGTCAGGAAGGCCTTGCACTTCCACAACTGATACCAACATCGAAAAGGTATCAGTTGTGAGTTCAGTTGTGAAAGGCAGTTGATTCGCAGCGACCGTCGCTCAACAATTCGCGTCATTGCGAAGTTGGAAAAGACAAAAAAAAACGGTTCGCACCAGTTTGGTTGACACTTTTGGCTTGTGAAAGGTGAGCTTATATGTGGCTTTCAACGCATTGTGTATCAAATATGTAGGCTGGGCGCACATCGTAGGGGGATCTCACAACTTAGTAAAGCCTCAATTTTCTCGCAAAATCGCGGATGGCATTATCATTTAACATCGTAAAAATTCGAGAGGTTGTTTTCGGACTATAACATAAGTTCTCGTAACTTCCTCATTTCTAACTTTTAGTGGATAATGAGGACGAGCGTTCGCTAAATATGTTACTCCACTTCAAATGGCGACGAAGCCAACTGATGCGGATGAATGATCAGGAAATGATGTTTTTTTAACGACGACGTGCGTAAGATTCGGAGAGAATGTTTGTGACCTTGTGAATGTTTGTGTCAAGTCTTCACGAGATCCTATGAAAGAAATTTGAAAGAGCGCATTTGCGTTTTTGAGAGCCATTTCGCAACGATCTAGAGTTTGAAAACATAAAATGCTCAAGTTACATGTAAAAGACAATGGAATGGGTGAATCGCAAGGAAATACGGCGTAGAATTTCGTAAAAATAGGCAAAAAATGGGTATTTACTTTTATGATTATTTTCTAAAATTGTAGTTTGCCGGATTGGGTAGTTTTTATATTAACTGGATTTTGTGTGAGCTTTTGAAAAATGTGAGAAGAAGGCACTTTACGAGACGTCTGATTTGACGGAAAATATCTCTCCAAAATTTTTTTTCGAATATTAACGTTAATGGAATTGAATATCAATTTATGGCATTACAAGAAAGTTGGCGATTTACTAACACGTTAAATGGCAATGAAGTCTTGCAAATGGACCCCTAACGTTATGAGAAGTATAGCAAATGATGAACACCCAGAACTGTATTATGAATCCCGTAGGCCAACGTATTGCAGGATCACGAAACGTCTCGTGGTGACCACATCAACAACATTCGATTACGAATTTACACCAACCATACAGATGTATCTGGTAAACTCCATAAACAACATGAAGCTATTGTGCCATCCAACACAGTCTTCGTCTGACGTTAGGCTGCACTGAAGGCGAGTTATGTACTTTTAATATCATTTGAATTTCAACTCACCAACGTGGGATAATTTTCAATTTCTTTTTCTAAAATTGGAAGGTTTGGTCTTTCATTTTCATAAGTCAGATGTAATTCACTCGTAATTTGCTTTAGAAGATCACGAAAAATAAATTGTTGCTTCAGCAATCCTTTACTCCTCTGTGATATATATATTGATTGAGATACATTGTGTAATAACAAAAAACAATTAAGTGGAATAAATTGCAAAAACTTACTGAAGAAAATGATCCAAACTTTGCCGCATGTATCTAAGAAAAGAATGGAAGCAATGTTATAACAACTGGCATGGGAAATTTGAATCGTCGATTTTCTTAAATAGTTATGACAAAAATATACTCTTGGCAACAAGTTGGTAACCAATAGTTTGCACGCATAGGATAGTAATGGACGATTTTCCTAAATTGTTGTTGTTGTCCTAAAACCTTAAATTGATTTGAAATTTTCAGTACTTAAAGAAGTTGCTAGGAAGCTATAATTTTCATTTCTTTGAAAATATTTTCCGGACAGACCCGATCCGATATTTTAATCAAAATCATGGTGTTTTACTTTAAATCACGAAAATGCTATTTTTTTCATTTGACCTTCGTTGAGCATTGGTTTTTTGTTTAATCAATAGTTCAATTTGGGTTTTATTTTAAAATATGCTTCAATGAAACGTTACAAAACGTCGTCGGTGCTCCAGAAGTATGCACACCAAGATGTCGCACAACCTGAATCCTAACCGGTACACACATACTATGTTTAGGTTGTGCGCCATTTTGGTGCGCATACTGCAGGAGGTCCACATCGTCATTATATATGTGGGTTATAATTGTTCCACATGCAGTTAATAAGTTTGAATAAACTATTCACCTTCACTTGCGACTCTAGCAAAGCAATTCCAAGCTCTTCTAATCTATAAACAGGAATATTTGTCTCATCAAAGTTGATGATTTCAAGTTCTTTTACGTGTGCAATTAGTGTTCTTATAACATGAATATCGCTCCGAGATACTGAGATGCGTTCCATTGTAATTGAATGCAAATTAGAGTTTATAATGTCGTGAATTCCTTCGTGACACTCGCTCAATGCATACATAAGATCAACAAAATTTCTTGAGTTTGTATTTTCATTTGCATCTGTTAGTTGTTCGGTAAGACTTGCTCGTAAAAATCTAACGGACTCATCTAATGATTCCTCTGTAAAATAAAGCATATATAAATGATATTGATTAAACAAAATTTAAAAATAATGAAGTACGAACGTCATTTATTAAACAGTATACAGTGAGATTCAGCACGATATAAACACAAAACTAACTACTAGAGTCTACTAGTCTAGTGACAGTCTACTCGAGTCACTATCACTAGGCAGTAGGCTACTCTCAGACAAAAGAGCCCGGGACAAGTACATTCGCGCGCGTTCCTCATTATTGCGTCATAATCACCCTATGTAAGACAACGTTAAGGAATGAAAATCCATGTTACAATACTTGCCTTTAACTCTGAGAAGGCTAACCGCACTTGACAATCCTCTTGCAATTTTTCTTGTTGTATTGTTCAACAAAATACCACAGACTAGTCTTCGTATAACTGCCCACTTTGGGTTGTGCAGGTAGGTGGGGATGACCTTTTTAAATTCATCGTACGACAACTCTACAATATACAAAGCCGAAAACGCCTCCTGGAGCGACTGGTGACAAAAAAAGTACACCAGGTTTCCTTCCAAAATACTCTGCATCTTTCCCGTTGTTCCCGGAATGGGTATAATTAAATCTCGTTCAAGAATTTTGATGGTAATATTTTTTGGTAATTCATCCCACGTGAAGGTCACTCTTTCATTTTTGATACCTTCGAATGACATCCTTTTTAATTGATGAATGACCTCAACAATGGTCATTTTGTTCACGTGTTCGTCGGAAACAATTAGTTGCCTACTCAGAACTAGCATAAGAATTTCAGTCAAAGTCTGAGGGGGTGTCGGTTCGTTCATGTGATCTTTGAGAGCTACAACAGTAAAAACCAAAAACATTGGAATTTGACATATATTCAATAGATCAGGTGATTTCTCCTGTAAATGATTCCAAACAGCAGTACCATACTCTCCTCCATAAGCTAAGACTAGCGTTTCTACATCTTCTAATTTCAACCCATTCAATTGAACGACTCTCTGGGGACGAAGGGAAACTCGAAAATCCCTTATGGCGTGTTCTCTGGATGAAATGAGGAGACGCATACCGGGAAACAAGCGTCCTTTTCTATCAAATAAAGCATTTAATATTAAGGTTGCTTCGTTTCGACTGTGATAATCAGTCGGTATAAAACTTTCACCCAACTTTTTCGGATATTGATCCGCACCATCTAAGACAAGCAAAAACTTCTTTGGGTGTTTTATAATCCAGTTTATCAGGGTATCAATTTTTTCTCCGGTCCACTCGGGGAAAAAACGACCAAATAGTAATTGACCAATTGCGACAGAGTCGTCACTTGCTAATTCCCTGAACGTAATTAGGTGAACAGCTTCCACTTCATCCAATTCTTCTACTAGTCCATCCAACACTTTCAAAGAAAACTTTTTACATAATTCTGTTTTTCCATATCCAGCTCCTCCTATTAAAGCAACATACGATATACTCACTGGATTTGGGTCAATATCAGAAAATAATGATATTATATCCATTGTGTCTCCTTTTTGTTTTGGAATTTGCTTACTAAATTCACGATGGATTCGATATTCGGGTCGATTGGCAGCATCTTCATAATAGTTCACAGCTGTTAGTTCGGGATAAACTTCAAAGTTTTGTTCTGAATAATTCATAAATTTAAATTCAGAGGCCATCTCTCTTGTTCTTTTGTTGATTTCAATAACAAAATCTGGATCGTCTGTCAAAATAGTGGATCAATTTTAAAATAAATATACAACATCAACTTATATTACAATTGCTGGCCCTGCTCTGGGCTTGCAACGTAATTTATACACACAGTGAACTCATAAATTTGTGACATCCGTTAGTTACTACGGCATGAAACTATATCATTGAAGAATCACACCAGGAGTATATAAATAAAAGAAAATTGTAATGTATATATATATTATTACACTGAATAGTCAATATCCGTGTCCCGTTCCACAAATGCCCAGTAAATAAACTTTTCAGAATATTTTCGGATGTGGACTTCTGTTTGTGGTCTGTAATCCATTCTCCTTGTTTCAATATATTTTCAATACTTTCAATGCCATCTATGATAATCAGAAACGTCGTGGAGTCCATGTTTATTTCATTTATTCCCTGTTCGGCGTCATCTTTGCTGATGTCTGCAAATAGCAACTCGCCCACAGAGATAGAGTTAGATTTCGGTAAATCGTTAAAATTAACACGACGAGTGTACTTGATGGCGTTTTTACCAAGCGTGCCATTCTTTAGTACATGTTTAGTGAACGAGTCCAGGAGTGATAATCGACATCCAGCATAGCCGCCAACGATCCCAACAAATCGAATTTGTCGATTATCTGTATCCGAAAAAAGGTCGCGTGGATCTTTGATTTTCAAATAGTTGTTAAAATTATGATGTTGAAGTAAAAGTCGATTCATCATGCTTTCTCTGTCTTTACAAACTTCAGAGAAAAAAGTTCGGATAATTTTATTTGGCTTGGGGTTAAAGTTCAGTGCTGTTATATCTTTAATGTCAGTTTTACACTTTGACAAGCTCGCTTTGTTCAAAAGGTTTTGAAGGTTTTTCGAATCTGAAAAACATTGCAAATACGCAAAATTTCAATTAGGTAGCCTACCTGCTTCGGTACACTTTTGATTGCCAGATTTGAACAATAAAAAGTTTCAAAAAAACCATCAAACGTTCGAATAATATATATGTAAACAAATGATATTCTTAAAGAGGTATTTGTATTTGAAATGCATTGTATAAACATCGTATTTAATGCCTGGCTCAGGATCAAGTCACTCAGTAATATTTGATTCTCTCAAAAGTAAATTCACTCAATTCCGAGTAAATTCCTTCTGCATTTGTGACTGGAGTTGTTTTAGACCCTTGCAGGTCAGTAGTCAAATTATAATGCAAATGGTCCTTATCAGAAGTTGCGCAACGAATTACTCCACTAGATCGCAGAAAAATAAAATATCACACTGCAAGTCGTGAGACCCTGTTTAAAATACACACTAACCTTTGAAAACTTTGTTTCCGTAAATTAAAAACGCAATCGAAACAACTATCCCTATATATGCCAACACCTTTTTTGTTCTGGTATAAGAAGAATTGCTTCGATCTGCAAACGATATGATAGTGGTAATAACTACTTTTGCACTCATTGAGCCAAATTTGTAATTCGGTTAGATAATGGTTCAAAATAAAAATCAAATTTACGAAAGATTACTTACAAAAAAGGACAACACGGACATAGACAGTGACTACGACCGCATAATTGAGGAATGGTGTGCCAACAACCACGAGATCTGACAGTGAAAAAATACAATAGATTACAACATGTCAGTAAAATTAACAAAAACTACCGTATTGAAAATCAAACACACATATTTATATATATAAATAAACTTTTATTTAGTAAGTATTTCGAATATCGAGAACACATTATTATAACGTTGTGAACTTGTGATCATTTACCAAATAAGAGAGCTACGCTCAAATATATGGACATGTAGCACCTAGTGGCAAATTCGGATGACGTCATAGGACACACAAAAATAAACGAATTCCATGCAGCTCACTGGAATATTTGAAATAAATAAAAGTAATAGCCTTCTAGTGAAAAATTTAATCTTCAAGCACTGAAAACTTTAAAGAGATTGGTCCAGTAATCAAAGAGAAAAGCGACTTCATAAAAACGTGTAAAAAAACAAGAAGAGTGCCAGCATAAAATGCAAAAATATCGTTATGTCCACTGACGTGTCCAATAAACGTGAATCCAAATTTGAATAAAGGAATTAAAAATGCCATTTTCAATTGAAAATCACTCACAAAGAAACACACACTTAATTTCGACTCCATTTATTACCTAACAAATTCTCTAATTGCCAAAATTGATATTTAAGTAAATAATGAATCCTTGAGACGTTTTGTTTGACACTCTAAAGTCAAAATGCCAGAATGGAATTGATAGATTGCATCATTCCATTAGATTGGTGGCGAGTGAGCGTGTGACACAGTGAGACTTTTAAACTTGAACGGAATTTTTATATATATTATTACATAATTGATTTTTCGTGAATTTGATCATTTACAATATTTTACTTCGACATATGCTATGTACATTAACTGGCATTCATAATCCCATGCTTTGTTTTTCGGCAACAATGCATTTGCGTACTACTGCAGATTGATGGGAGCAGGCTACGTGATCACTAAAAAACTTAGCTAAAGATATGAACTTTATGACTCAAACAGACTGTTAGATAACTTAACATACCCACCAAAGCTTGTTACAATTTGAGGAAATAAAGCTCTCACCGCAAGGACAGTCACGAGAATCTTATCTAAAAAGGTAATAAAAAGTGCTGATACAAATATGAAACTATTGAAGGCGAATAGCACGCAGGGATCTTCAATATGTTAGTTAATGATGCTTACCTATCTCTGCCTTCACCACTTCACCGACTTGCCAGACATCAAAGATAAAATCTGCCACTACCGGACCACAGTTCCGTGTATGCCGAACACACCACGCCACTGCTAAATATATGATGAGTGAATACAATTTACAACAATCAAATTTTATTTAACTGTTGTTTTGTCCTCACCTCTAATTGTCCTGTGTCGCTGTTTGGCAATGACCAGAATAATAAGAACAGCAATGATACAGCCGGCGAACCAGATATCGACATGATCTGAAAAAAAAAATCCTATATATGAAGGCACCAATATAAAACGATGATAACAATAAACATGCGGAACAAGATTGAACACAATGAAATAAATATTTATTCGTTCTGAAGCTCAACCATTTTATCAAAGGCTTAGTAAACAAGAATTCAAATTACCCTAAACCTCACCTTGTAATGACTTCTTTTCAGTCTCATCTGACATAGTAGGCTACCCAACTCCACCTGTACCCAAATCGCTTGTTGATTTGTTTCAGTCCACCCACTGCGATATATTGCTATATTCAGTTCTAGTAGACTTCGTGTATTGTTATTCATCCAACCATATACCGTAACTCGATAGGCATTACGCGACTCTGGTATACCTAAAGGAACTCTTGTGTGATATTTTTTGCGGCTCCCTTCATCTCGCAGTGCATTCTTGATTTGGGTTTTACAGTGTAGGATAGGATTTACGTAGGCTTACCATATATCTAAAGCAAAAAAACGGAACAGAGTGGATAGGACAAGTCAACCTCAGTTTCATTCTATAGGCTTAGTAATATTTTAACATTTTCCATACCATTGTGGGTAGATTACAGGCATCAAAATTAACTGTAAATTCTATTAAAATATCCTCTAATGCAGGGGTTCTCAAACTTTTTGTGTTGCGGAGCCTTTAAAAAGGTTGACTATTATTAACGGAGCCCCAAAATAAATGGTAAAATTGTTGTTTTCCGATTAATATTCCTGAGTAAGTTAAAAAATACTTTACTCAATTTAAACGCTAAACCTTTTTTATCTGGGTTAATACAAGTCATAAATAAATCTAAATTTCAAAGATAAATTATATATACTAAAGCTGTAAGCTTGACACTTGGCAAACATATTAATAATTAGGGGTCGAATTTTTTCCCTTTTGATATTTTTGGAAGACTTAAAGGGCCGCTAATAACGTTCGCGATTGCATTTTGTTACAATTGCCGATTGTTTTCGTCAGCATGGCGTGTTTTTAAACCTTAAACATCTTTACGCCGGTGTCAATTCTCCCTAAATCGAAAATTTCCTTTGGCATATATATAGCCTACATGTATTGTTCCACAATGACGACGACAATTGTTTTTTTGTTCTCGTGGGAAATTATGTGTTCAACGTGAAAAACATGTTATGGTCATCGGCGAATAAATGCTAAAGATAATAATTAATTAAGAGTTAAATCCGCAACTCAAATTTCTTGATTGAAAGACGGCATTCTAAAATATTGAAACTAAAACTTAAAATGAAAGATCACACTATAAGTTTGGTTTCAGCAGACCTCAAAACGCTTTTATAAACATTGTTAATCACAAAATTTGGTGTTATGTTAGGTTTTCTTTGGTTATTCATCGTAGTAACTGCGAAATCGAAACACAGTCAATTGTGCGCGCGATGTAGGCTACCTATTTTCATTCTGAAACTACCGACGGAGCCGCATGCATTAAAATAAATTTCAATCATTCGTATTTTGCCCAGACCTTGTGATTTTTTAAACGCAATATCTTGCTTAAAAATAATCTCGAGTGCGAAAGAACAAATCAAGTTTGACAAATCCCAAGATCGAAAAAATACGACTCCAGTTTTGTGTATAGTTGGCAGTTTATCACGTATTTTAGGTTATTTTAAAATAGTATTCTTTTATTTTAGTAATCCGAATAGTAATCTCGAATCAAACGTGAGTAACGATGAGCACAAATGAATTATAACGACAAGACACTTTAAATGCTCGCATCGGTCACGGATTGAATATTTTACGCAACAGAAATCTTGTTATCCTTTTTAATCGCGAAGAAAGTTGCGCGGAAATTTCCTATTCCAATTTTGAACCCCCTCCCTCCTAGGAATCCTGGCTGCGCTCCTGCCTATAAATAATGTCATTTTTTAATTCCGCCTCTTTGCCATATTTCGAGGCCATATTGTTGTCAAATTTTATTAAAGCTGTTATTGCTTCGTTGAACAGATACAACAGTTAATTAGCCAAGTCAGTATTTTGGAAAATAATCGAATAGCTCGCGGAGCCCCTGGGTTTCCCTCGCGGAGCCCTGGGGCTCCGTACGGAGCACTTTGAGAACCTATGCTCTAATGGTCTTAATAGAAATTGTTCAACTCATTAGATAATTTGCACTCTGTTTTCGGCATTTAACGACAGTGAAGTTGGTTGTTGAATAAACGCTTGGTTCATACTTCATATATATCTTAGTTATGACATAACAATCTTTTCTCTATCTGAACTAGTGAAGTGAGACGCAAATCAGTGATGAATCGGCTACATAGAAAAATTATTTATGACTGTCATACTGCAAAACCGGGACATTTAAATCTACCGCCGGGACAGCGGAATAACTTGCTAAAACCGGGACTGTCCGGCTAAACCGGGACGTAAGGTAAGTCTAGATTTACATATTTATACCGGGGGAGTGGGAAAGCCGATAAAACGGTTTAGTCATATGGTGAACAACGACATATCATCCGTTTGTCAGTCTATCTCGGGTGGTGACCGTACATTCGAACCCATGTGTATATCCGCGGGCTCAATCTATATGCGGGTGCTAAAACCCATGGGTTAGTATGGGTTCAAATATCCGTAAAACAAAAAAAACATCTACGTAGGTGCAATAGCATGCAGGTGCAATTGCCGTGGGTTCAAATGTAATGAAACCATCTAGGGTATGGGATGATTAAGCCAGTTATTTATTTCCAGATGCATGTAGCCTACTTGATGGTGAAGAAAACAATAAGTGAACAGCGACGAGTTCAGAAGTCCTGTCCAGAAGTATTTTTTTTCGTTATAACATTTATATTTTCTTTCCAGAATTTAGTCGATTTAATTATATAGAAGAAAAATGGCTAACCCAATTTTCGACATTTGAAACTTATTATTTACAAAAGTAATGTACGTATTCTAATCCATAGCACGATGCGCCACACCGCCGCGCAATAAGGATACGGATTTATATGAGTACATCACGTGCAAAAAGAAAATAATGATTTAAAGGTTCATTGGAGGTCGTTTTCTATTCGTATATGTTTACTCTAAAACCAGCCATGCATCTGAAACATATGTTATTCCAGTTTATAGCAGGCGAGAGCCCCAGTCCACGACACATCAAACCGTCTCAACACCTTTTCCCCCACTGAGTTAATTATTAAAACGCTATAAAGTCATCCAGAAAATCCCATGCGAGCATACTCGAGGTATCATGTTTTAAAATTGCAAATATCCAAAACCTTCTCCATACAGCTAGAGTTTACCAAAGGCTTTTGGGTCCAAAAACTAACCGGATAAACACCGTGCTCTAACAAGTCCCTTTCTCATTGAGTAGGCAGATTAGCATTACTGGTATTGCAGAACACAAACTCGAGTAGCCCAAGTAATTCGTAAGACAAGCCACCATGTTTAAAATATGATTATATGTGTGCAAAAAAAGTGAATTTAATTCTACTAAATCCAACGTAAATTACCGTCGAATTATTTGACACACTAACAAACTAAATGATGTAAGGAAAAATGAGATATAAATAAGACATGGAAATTCAAAGAACACAGTATTTAAAAAAGATGCAAAATGGTTAATCACACAACGAAACAATGCTTCATCAAACAATGCTAACAGGTGCTTCACTGAGCTGAATGAAAAGAATGGATTTAAATAACAGTCGACAGCCAAAAAATGATATTTTTCAATGTATTTTTCCTGGAACTAGAAAATAAACAATACTGATTGCAGTAAAATAATCTTTTTTCAATTCAAAATTCATGTTTTAAAATCACGAAAGATAAGATACAACTACTAATAATTGACCAGTGTACTACCAGGACAGTATAGAGTTGGTCAAGATTAACCTTAAATTTGTTGGTTGTATGAGGGTCACTTGAGGCTATATATAAAAAATGTTGGTTAAGTCATAATAAATGTTTGAATTTAAGATGTGTTCACAACCCAACTAAGTGTTAAATCACCATGACTTTACTCAACAGAACTTGCTATTTGATTTTAGGGAGAGAAAAAAAAATTGTCAAAACGGCGCTAAAATCATGATATAGAAAAGATGTGATGCTGTGTGAAAAAGGAAAATAGTCAAAAAATGGCATTGAAATTATGATCTAAGATGTACAATATTCACAACAATGGTATCCATAGTCTGGGTTTAACTTTTTTTGCTCATAACTAAATAGAAGATGATTTAACACTTATCCTGAGAATGGAGTTAGAATATTGTTCATTCATTGAGCGAAACATCAACTTTTATTCGATTTATAAATGAGGGTATGAAATCATGGCTTGAAGCATACTCGGTTTGGCATGTTTTTATCGATATTGGAATCACAGTCGTATTTTCATACTGAAGTGAAAATTGTGAATTTCGAAATTTAAATCGTGATAATCAAGGACAAAATTTTCATCAAAAACCATGAAAGTGATTGGGCATTCTAAACAGACAACTAAAAAAAGCTTTCATATACCAAAGTTTGTTATCAAAATTTGGTTTTCTTGTAGTTATGCAAATATGGAGTCAAAATTTGCTTCAATCAGGAGTACATGAGAGTTTTTAAATAGCCTGAAGTTTGGTGTCAGTTTACTCGACAGAACTGTATGGAATAACTGGCAATATAATTCTCCAAATAGCAAATGAGATTAATGGCAAGAAGTTGTTTCGCAATTCGAAATGTGATGCTAAAGTCCAGCAAATCTTGGACCCTATCGACATAAAAATTGTGAATGACATCAATGAATGACAATATAAATACAGTCAATTAATTCTGATATTGAACCATCAATATAGCATCAGTAATGTGGGGAAATGAAACAAATAATTTTTTTTATGATTGAGGGGACTTACCGGTACTAATAATATACAAATCTTGTCAAGCTTCCACAAAAACATATGAACAGTGACGTTTCTCACCATTCTCCACTGATAATCCATACCATTGAATTTATAAAAAATGTTATCCTGACATATATCTCTTATATTTCTGTTTAATACAAAAAGTTTAAAACTGTTTAAATAATTATTTCGCGAACTAGAAAATTACAAATATATATATATTCGCAAAAAGACAAAAAACATTGCAACCAAACAATTACAATAAAATGCATAACTCTGAATTCAATTCAAATAGAATTAAAACATAACAGAAAAAAACATCTATTTACAATTTATAATTGCAGCCGCAGTAGCACCTACACAGGGCAGGTATTTCGAAGTGAATCGAATAAAGAATATTTAAACCTGGTAATATCTGATTTACTGTATAAATATATATATAGGACTTCTGGAAGAATTTAAAATGTTTTTCAATTAAAATACTATATTATAACATAAGTAAGCATTTGAAACCTGATCGTCAGATATTAAATAAACAGAAAATCTATAGTATCTAAACTAATCTGCATCACCAAATTCTATTAATTTACAATTTCTCCGAGTTCTATTTTGAACACAAGAGAATATTCAATGCTTCACATTTAATAATATTATTTTCGTTTGCAATTGGGAATTATTCAATTTTCCTGCACGGGGCTGCCAAAAATAGAATGACAATATTATGATTCCTTTCAATTCGATATTTAATCACGCCTCTCGCTCCGAATGAGGTCCTATGCAAGCTGCCACTGTTATCCAACGATATATAATGAGCTAATATTATTCGGAAAGATCGAAATCCTTTGATTCGGTATTGTCAACCCCTCGAGTGAGGTGGGGGAAATTGGGATTCAAACTTAATCATAGATATAACCAGAACACTTTAAAATTTGAAACAGACAGTCTAATCATCCTAATTACACCTGATCTCAAAATAGCTCATAAATATCATAAGCGGTAAATTACAAATTATTTTTAACTACCGGTATCATATTTTCTATCTAAAAAGATATGAAAAAGTAGCCATTTTAGAATAGCAATAAGCTAGATAGATATAGAGGTATCACTGTAGAGATTGTTACCCCATTCCGAGAAGAACAAAGAAGTCGAATATAATTTAATAAATCCAAAACTGAGCAGCAAACAGTTTTAAGTCGTCATGAAATTGAAAATTTATTGGAAAGAGTCATGCTGAACATTAACTATTACACAGTAAGGTACATAAATTCCTTTTGTCATAGTATAAAAAATACTCTAGTAAATTAAGATTTGAGATAACGTGATAAAATTATTTTATAATAATAAAGCAATGGAGGGAGAATAAATTTAAACTAGAATACTCTTATGATGCTTCCTCAATGCTGGTTTACAAAATGGGTATTTTGCCACTCAAAATATAACAATAAAACAAGAACCATAAAAATCTTATGGACGAAGACTCAAGACGGATGTCAATGTTACACGCAATCTTTGCATAATGCTACTTGACCCTGTAAGTAATCACGACATGGACATATTCTCTTCATATTTGTGTATCTTCCAGCACAACTGAAAAGTTTGTTGTCTGACTGAAGAAAACATCTAAATACATATAATTATACTCAATTTAAAGTGTTTTGTCATAGTGAAACTATGTTTGAAAATGGTTGAAATACCAATATAGGTATAGAAATAAATAACTAGTTAATTGTTCTACAGAAAAGTCAAAAGTGAACAAAATATCTGTAAGCTGGAACTGATTGTGTCTAATATGTAAATTTTGAGAATAATATAGGAAAGAAACAAGTATTTAAAAAAATGAAGATCAAATCATTATTCACTTAAAAATAGACTCAAATTCATAAATATTATTTTAGCATGTACTCGCATTCTGAATAGCAGATAATTTGACTTGAAAATCTGTGTGAGGGACAAAAATGTCTGAGCGGTTGCTAAAACGTCTATTGTTACATCACTTTTTGCATCTCACTGATTATTTAATGTTGCGGAAGTAAACAAGTAAGTAGCTATCACTGGTTCAAGATACATAGCTTGTGTAAAGCCTGGTTCAGGGTGACATATATAAATATATCGTATACAAAATTAATTCAAACAAGTCTCTAAATATAAAGAAGTTTGTGAGAACTAAAATCCTCTTTATTAGTTTTAATTAGCGATTTGAAAAATAGTTTAGTTGGGCTGCTGATGAACTTGTGTACAAGATATTGACAGTCATCGAAAAATGATAAAATTAACGGCAAACTATAATAGACAAAAACATTTATTGGTTTAATAACATTACAATAAAATAACAAATATTAATTTTTGTATATAAATTTGAATACATGAAACTAATACTCACGTATCATGAAGAAACGCTGGATAATCAATTTCCGTTTGCGGAACAGTAGATGGAAATTCCGAGCATGTTATATTTAACGAAGCAAATGTTGAATGCTTGTTCAATATGGGAAAATAGGACGGTTCACAAATAAGCCCGTTAACATGGCAAACATCAATACAGGACTGACTTCCATCAGTAATTTTAATCTGAAATACAAAGAGAGCTATGTGATCCTGTGTGAAAGGGTGAAAAGGGTGTATTTTGCATTAATAATTATTTACTTAGATGAGAAAATATAAGAGACAAAAATGACTTCAATTTTTAAAAAATTCAGTCTTGAGTTCCAACAATTTTTAATACAGTATAACCTGATACAATTTGGGCTATATGATTATTGGTTATTTTTCACCTGAAAAAAGCCACACAAAAATGTCCAAACAAGTTGAAGTCTCGATTTTATAGCATCAAAATGCAGAATCTAATACCATATATTACAAGTTATACTGTAGTCTAGCTACATAGAGTTTCTATTTTTTTGCTAATACAATAAATTCCATTCAGAAATGAAAATTGGTTCAACTTCTGAGAATAAATAAACATTTTTGTACAATACAATGTATTTATTCTTCTATAAATTACAGTAGAAAAAATTATCTTCATATCACAGAAGTAATCACTACACACCTGAAGAGCAGATTTTGGTGGCCATATTGATTTGACATTTCCAGAACAAAAGTCTTGTTTATCAAGATATAAGCTTAATCGTTCTAACATGCCACCGCATGTAAACTCGTAGGGAAGGTATGGCTTTACCTGTGACAAACATATACATCGTAAAAATATAGCACCAAAAAAGAAATTACACAATTCCTGTGAGTTGAGCTAATAAACTGTGTAAGGCCGTGTGTGCCAAATACCAATGTAGAGGTAACTAATTTTGTTCGCCTACTTTACATCAATTTGTTCAAAGAGAACCTATGGGCAGGGAGGGGGTATATGCACTTGGCTAACACAGACAGTCTCCGAACTCGTAATAGAACTAAAATAAAAAATCAGAATAAAATTATGGCCTAACCCTAGCCTGGTACACATACTACGGGAGCGCCGAATATTGTAACATATAGTCTCACTATAGACTTTTGAAGTTATTTCTAATATAGTAAGAATTATTATATTTGAGACCACGAAACAAACTCTTTTCACGTTTTTTTGATGCGACAGTAAATGTGGTAAAAACAGGATAAACACACTATTTTTTCAAAATTATGAAAATTACAAACCTCTTCTTCATTGTTTATAATTTTTTTTACAATTTCTTTCAATGATTCTAGATTCTCCATATCAACAGATTGTACATGAGGTTGACCTGGGTTTAAAATAGAAAATAAATTGAGGTTTAATCATGTCGGGAATGACTGATATCGCCAACGGTTGTGGGACATGCAACCACTTGTTAGGGTAGTGGTTTTCGTTCATGATGTGTGCCCTTTTCCAATGAATCATGAACCCAACTTACTTTATATTAATGTAGTTATCTCATTGGTACCCAGTTGAATTCTATGCTCACGGGTAGCCCCCTATAAGGACCAAGGTCACAGTTGTTGTTACAGTTGAAAAATCCTGGCTTGATGCAATAACAAAGTAATAGCTTTTAAGTAGTAGCTAATACAACTATTGTAGATTATTTGAAAAACAAAACCATACCTATGTACATTTCTGCGTATGGATGTTGCGAGGCAAGTTTCCTTAAAGTGGGTTTTCCCTGAAAATAAAATATATAATACAGAAAATAGTAAAAATCCTGTCTTAAAATGTATGAAACAACATAAGTTTTAAGCATGCAATAATATACAAAAACCTCCAAACTCTAATTATGGTAATTATAGAAAAAATATTTGTAAATTTGAACCTTTATTTAGCTTAAGTTTACTGAACTGTTGCAACTGTTAAAAAATTAAAGTTAAAAAAAATTAACAGGCAGACTATTCAAATTTCGCGATGCGATTCGAATTTAATGGTAATCGTATAAAGTAGAATTCAAAATAAGAATTCATGGGTTGAATGAAAATTATCCCACAGTAATATGTAACTCGTAAATATGATCACAACTTTGAAATATGCATTCCATTGTCTCCACACATACCAGGAAAAATGGAGTGTTCAGACTATTTTTCGGAGTAGAAAACTTGGGATTCAAGAATACAGCTCCATTTGCAATTGCTTCTAATGGAGCAGGTCCTTCATAAGGAAAACCAAGGCCAACAAAAATCTGTGAAATAAATGAAGTATTAAAAGTATTTTGAATTTGTGAAGTATTTTCTAACAAGAAATTAAATTTGACATAATAAGGTAAAGTATTCAAATCCTCAATTACAAAATGTTGACTTTATTTTGCTTTCTGATAGATATATTTAGGTTCAATCAAATCAGTTTAAGAGTAACCAGTTAATGCTAAATATCTTGCATGGGGCCTTATACCCAGCTGCCAAAATTGGAAATACTGTGTCTACGACCTATGAGAATGATATTTTTTGTTACTAATTATCAAGTACAATTATGTACGAAGGGTCGGAGGAACTTATTTATTGAGCAAATATCAAACGAAAAATAACATTTTACCTTTGCTCTTCTTAATAATTGATGCAACTCAAAACCAGGTAACACACCGTGATTGTGAACGTAATCTGGAACATTTTCCAGTTCTGTCTTATTATCAATGGTTGAATGAACTTCAATAACATCATGGAGAGCCGATATATATTCTTCTTTCTCCTTAATGAAAAACATGAATAATTCATAACGTTCAGGTATGTAGAATAATGAACACAATTGAAAATACCTGAAAACGAATGCGTTGATTTTGCATTTGCATCACGAGTGTTAAATGGATTAGACCGAAAGCTTTAACAAATCACATTTTCAAGAAAATAATGAAAATGAAAGTACCTCTCAAATATCAAACATGTTCTAATAAAATCAAGCAAAAACAATTATGTGTCATTCAATCAAAATTTAAAACCTAAAACTTCTCGACTATATCATTATCAAAGTGATTTCCTCAGTCGACTACAAATTATAATTTGATTTGACTATTGATTCCACATACAAGAAAATGCGAAATCATGAAGCGAATATAATATGCTTTATGTAAATAACGGATGTATGAAAAGCAAACCCATACGATTACATATAGATTATACACCATCTAACCGTTTACTGTGAATGGGGAATTTTTAATTCAAACTTGTTTGACTACGGAATTTCTTGGGTTTTATAAGCTGAGAGATTGAATTTGCAAATGTTCATGATAAGTCATATTGAGATTAACTTGTTCCCTCTCAAACAACTTTCAGAAGTTGCCTTTTACCTAAGAGTAAATCACAGCTAATACCAATCGATAACATTTGACCATTAGTGAACACCCATTGGTAATGGAACTAAGATGAACACATGAGCACATGTTTATATACATTTATTGTACATGAATCCTATAATTCCATTCGGTTTCCGTTTTGAATAGTTAAAGCTGGCCAATCTAGATCAAATTTGTTACAAATAATGATTCACCATATATGAATAAAAGTACCATTTACTTTGAGACTGAAATTTTCAAATCTCAAAACCAAATTCTCTGTGCAGTGTGCATCTTCTCCCTAACAACAGAGCATAAAATCTATTATGATATCTCTCAAGAATTCGTTAGTAAAACAAGTCGTTCTTACTTGCCAAAACAAATCTCTTTTCCCATATACAAGAGCAATATTCTCTTTTTTAATATCTTGAATTGAAGTATCGTTTAAATGTTCCTCTACAACAAATCCAAGAAATGTGTTATCAGGAGAATGAGCTGTAGGAGAAAAAGGAATCATTGAGAGAGAAAGTAATTTTTTCTGTGGTTTATTTGTAGTCGACTTTCTGTGGTCAACAAGGCCTATTTGAACCTAATATTGTTCCAATCAATTTCCGTTCTATTGCACTTGTAGACGAATTGTCTGACATTTAAGAAATTGTCAACATCTAGCAAAGAGTAAGTATTCCCAGCATAACTTGGGACAGCAAAGAAATTTATTAATTTATTATTTTACGAAACTAGAGATAAAACAAAATTTGATAGATCATAGATGTAAATGAATTACAGTAGAATGTAAATAAAAATTTGATAGATGATTGAAAATAATTGAGAATAGTGAATTTTTAAATACTAAATTATTCAGATATTACATCATTACACTTTACACATAATATTAATTTTATTACATATTTTAGATAAGGCATTTGTGGTGAATAACACCACCATTATTAAGTACCATGAAACATTGGAAATTTTCTAAAAAATGAATGGTACAAGCAGTACATCATACTAGGAGGAAAATGACAATCAAATAGTTGCTTATAGTGATAAGAGAAATAAAAAGAATACTTACGGAACATTGTGTTAAATTGTTTTGGATTTAGATTCCATTTTCCCCATGAACTTTTATGTGTTTTCTTACTTGCATAATTTACATGATTGAATTCTGGTTCTGTACCAAAACTATCAAGTACTCTAATGTTGCACCTAAATAGAGACAGGGTAAAATTCAGCAATTTGTTTTGTCAAGCATAACTTATAAAAGTTGAATGAAACCTGTATTGACTATGCTATATGGACATGAAGGTCCAATGACAAATATAGCCACTGCAATGTCATCGAAATGTGATGTAAATTGTAATGATCGCTGTAACTCATAATACGATATGTCCATAAATTATGAAAACCATGAATGGGGTGAAAAATCAGGCCCAGTGGCGTTCAAAGGAAATAGTAAAAAAAAATGGTGCTCCCGAAGTATGCAAACCAAGATGGCGGACATCGGAACTTAACATGGGTAACAGGTTAGGGTTAGGCGATAATTTTTTTCAAATTTTCCTCATTTTAGTTCTATTATCAGTTCGAAGACTAGCCAAGAGCCTCCCTTAGTATTTATCCCTAAAATTATGGCCTAACCCTAACCTAGTACACATATTACATTCCGATGTCCGCCATCTTGGTTCGCATACTTCGGGTGCCCCAAAAAAATAGATGATGGCTAGCAACATTTTAAATAACAAAAATATATTATTCATTGGTCCATTAGTTCCGAGAAAAGAGATTCTTCAGAACAACCGAAAACAGGTACAACAAATTTGCAAACTGCTTCGGTAGTAAATCAGTGTTCAAAAAGGAATCGTATAAATAAAATTATATGAGCTTTAAGCAGTCACAAGTCATAACAGTGGCGTCATTAAAAATGCTAAACAAACAAAATAATAATATTATTAGAACTCTTAAAATTTATTCTGAAATGTTGCTACGTAACAAAACAATATTTGCTATAAGGGCAATTCCAAGCAAAAGTTGAATTCCATCAATTTTTCAAAAGTTTAGTGAAAGTAAATTTTTTGTATTTTTTATATCAAAAGTCATAGAAATTTTATTGGACTGCATATATTTCACCGAAAAAGTTGAAATTTCACCCAGGTTTTTGATGGTTTATAAAAAAGGGCCTGAAATGTAAAAATTTTGGTATAATTGACATATTTCGTGATGATCCATGACACAAAGTGTTTGACAGTTATTTCATATGAAATAGACGCACTGAATTTAAGTTAATAAAGTTTAAATAATTGCAGTGCTGTAGGACATTTCTTCACCTATTTAACGATTTATTACCAGAATCTTAAGAGATGATAGAGGCCGCTGTTCCGAAGTGGAAAAATGTCTTGTAGTGTCACGTCCTGTAATGTCACATACAATATGCACATTATTGGCATGGATTTCAGCTACTGCACCAGAAAATATTATGGGGTCCTGCTGTACCATCGCAAAAATTTACAGCACAACACAATGTAACGTTAATCCATGGTAGATTTGCCGTCCTGTAGTGTCACGCTGTATTTTACTATATTTTTTATATCCACTAAGTAAGTCTCGTGTGTAACTTTTGTGCAATTTCTTCCATATTCAATAAAGCAATTGTTTGGACAATGAAACGAAACATGTAGCTGAAAATGTAAAAATATATTGCATCTAACAACATGCAAAATTTCTGGAATTGTCTTGTAGTGTCACTTGGAATAGCCCATAAATGACTATGAAGATGGCCCACAAATACCCACCGGTCACTGGTTAGCTGTGTAATAAAAAAGGTCACTTACTGTAACAAATGAAATTTCTTTGTTGCAACTTTCTTTAACATTCTCAATCCAGCTATATCACTGTACAATATATCAAAAGGAGTTTTCTTCAATGGACAATTGCTACTGGCTGAATTCAAATAAGGATCATATATTCTGATAAAAAAAGGGAGGTGGTAATTACAATGAAGCTAACATATTAATGATAAGTATAAACTAAAGGCGTTGCAAATACGGGAATAGGAATTTCACATTTATCCCGGGGGAGAGGAATACCGATATTATGGCAAACCACAGCCTCCAGACCGGTTACTAGTCCATGTTGGGTAAGGGAATAGTTACCCAGTTATTTATTTCAGATGTATGGACATAATGGTCATAATGGTGGAGGAAGTCGTAACTGACACAAGCGCTTACATGAACCACTCTATCATGACGACGAGTACTATTTATATTACTTTGAGAAAACTTCAATATCATCCAATTTGACACAGCAGACATAAAATCCACTTTCAAGTTTTAATTTACATTCTGCATTGAGTTAAAATTGCCTTCAATTATTACACAATAGTTTGACACACAAGCAATTTTAAAAATGAAACTGAAACTAAATCCTTAGAACCCTACAGCGCAATAGGAAACTCTATTGTATAATAGCCAATATCGATACCATTACAAAGGCAACAGAATGATAATTGTATCGCCAATATTATAACCCAGTATATGTTCATAGTGATGTAGTATGTAATAGCCTACTTGAAACATGATGTATTTTCTTTCCAAATCAAAGTTGAAGATTTGAAATATAATATAATTCATATACAGTATCCAGACATCTATAATTATCTATACTCCCATTTAATTTTGAAAAATACCATGAACAAAAGGTCGAAACCTGATACTAACCAGATTGCAGAAATTCAAAAATTTCTTCTGCACATGAAACCGATGTTATGTACCCAAGGAATTAACAAATGTTAATACAAGCCAGAATATTGCCATATGCATTGCATACATATGATCTAATAGGCTGTAGTTCAATACAAACATATGGCCATTGTAGTTTTGAAATCTGTAATATTGAGTTAGGTTTCCCTACAATTCCTATAGAATTAAGAACGCATTAACGACCAAGAGTATGAAATTGAGAAAACTTAACATCTTCATAATATCAGACTTCAAACCTTAAATAAATAACCACAACATACTCTTTTAGGTCAGACACGGACTTGGATAATGTTATATCATGTCCTAAAATATATACAGCTGAGATCAAGTCACTCCATTGAACAAGTTCACCAAGTGGTCCACCACTGAAAGCATTCTTCGCAATGTCCCAGCCTATGTCTTCAGATAAGAGTCCCATGTGAAATAAAACCTATATTAGATATAAAAAACATTATTTTGAAGTCAAATTTGAAACAGAACAAATGAAAAATTGAGATAGAAAATTAACATGTGAATTAGTGATATTTTAACAGAGTCACCACTACCTAGCAAGCTTCCCTCAGCACGAATCCTAGACAAAATGTCCATATTTCAGAAGCTAAATTGATATAAAATGAACTTTAAAATATGAATAAGAAATGAATATGAAACTTCAACATATTACAGTGGTTTACAGTGGATTGTCAAATAGGCTAACTTATTATAGTGTTTTATTCAAGTATCCTAATCCACTTTCTAATATTCAACAGCACTGAAGTAAACACATTCCAGCAAAGTTGTTTACCAAGTTCTTAATCATGCGAATAACCATAAATCGTGGGCGCAGTACGAACCCACAGTCAAACATAGGAATAACAAGAAATATTTGTATATTGCTTCAAAGAGACTGTAATGTTTGATTATTGGTGATAGCAGTGACAGTTATTTAGTGAAAGTCAAACATTAATATTGCTTGAAAATGTTTGGAGGAATTTACTCTTTGAGCAACTAAATTATTACTTCCATATTCACGATTTCAATACCGTGTGCAGCAATTTGCATGAAATTTCTATCAGGGAACAAAAAATAATTGTTAGATTTATGCAAATAAATTTGTTGGTTCCGGTCAGCAGCTTTGTCTTTGTTACCATGTGAAATGTATGACACAATTTCCTTTCATTATATTAAATAATTTTGCTTTGTAAATTCAATTGATAACTAGAGCTGCGTGCAGCTTTAACAGGCTTCCCGCGTAAAAAAAACTGAAGACGCGTTTTGCTCACTGGAGCGTGAAAGCGTGGTCAGTCATGCATAAAATTTGCAATTTATGATGGGGGACTTATTATCTGCATGTGATGTAAATTTCAAGTCTCTAAGTAGTGTCGTTCTCGAGAAGAAGATGAAAATGTAAAATCCTATATTGCTCACTGGAGCGTATCGCCGAGGTCACTCATGTGTATCCTTGACATATCGTATCCGGAACATGTCCATTAATCATTGTTATGAATTTCAACCCAATAGCATGTATCAATTTTGAGAAATCGCAAAAAAACTGAAGACGCGTTTTGCTCACTGGGGCGTGAAAGCGTGGTCAGTCATGCATAAAATTTGCATTTTATTGCTAGCTGAGAACTTCTGCACATTTGAGGTGAATTTCAAGTTTGTAGGACCAATTTGAAAAAAAAAATAATAAAAATAAATAAATAATAATAATAATAAATAAATATTAATAATAATAAATAAATAATAATAATAATAAAACACAGGAATACAATAGGTTCCCTGCTGACAGCAGCGGGAAGCCTAATAATGACATAGTTTCAACCTCTTTTTCCTATGTAGATAAATATCAGAAGTTCAAATCCCACCTTTTTTCTTTTCCGTCTCATGTTGTAAAATTTTTTATGTAAACTTCTACCAGCTTCAATCCAAGTAGGGGCCATCCTAGAAATTCTTGATTTTATCCATTTAAAATGTAAGCTGTCTCCCATTTGGGCAAATAATCTCGTAAAATCGCTCCGTATCACCGCCTGTAAGCGTAAATAATTCAACTATAGCAGCATTTAAATATTGTTCATTGAAAAACAAAATATCAGCTAGGTGATATGCAAAGATATAACAAATGCAAAAAAGAATTTGGTAATTGGTGAAAAATATACACATTGACAGAATATTACGTAAATTTGTCTGTCCTTCCATAAATAATTGAGCCTCATGAACTCTAAAATGGAGTGAGATTGAGAAAAATATTCAAATTGTCATGAAGGTGGCTATTTTACTTCACAGTTAAAGGTGTTAGAATATATTAAGCTAGGCTTTAGATCAAACAGGCAATTTCCAATGTTGATTTAATACAGTAGGCCCACATATAAGTTGAATATTAAATGAGCAAAATATCTAGATTGATCAATAGATTGAAATTTAACCAAACATAAAATTTTGAGTAATAAAGTTTTGAAACAGGAGGGGCTAACCAAAATGGAAATTTGAATAATCATGCCTTGTGAAATATTGAAAACAAATCAATCCAAGTTATAAGATGAAACTACGGTAGTATAAAGAGAACAGAGCAAAACCAGGCTTCAATGCCTTCGCTAGATCAAGTGGCATGCCTGGAAAATGTCAAAAAGATGTTTTATAAGTGAGGAAGATAGACTAATCTTTCACTAAGCATGATAGCTAAGTTAACAATGTTCAAATATAATGAATAATAATAGAATATTCTTATATAGATAAACATGTTTTGACAGGGTGCTTATAGATACCAGAGTCAATGAGTGCAAATAATGACTTTCCATTTCTATAGGGGATTTCTAACTAATCTTTCGATGACATGTTTAAGTCATGAAACATTTTTGGTATCACCGGTGAGTTATTTTCTCTGTTCCAAGCTTGAATATTTAAATTGATAATAACAAAAACTGAATCTTTTTCAACATCAGGCCAAAAAGCTATTAGGTTGGTTAAAGTATAATTAACAATATAATGTAAATTCTTGAATAAAATGTCATTTTGAAGAAAACTAAGTTTGAAACGAAACTGCTAAACTTAATCTGGTATATACACATATTGAAGATAATTTATTAGGACATGACATTGATGACAATACTAATCTCTGGTTCAAAACCCATATTAAAGCAGGAAATAAAATCTCATGTAAGGTGCATATGCTTGTTTTTTAATTACTTCTACGAAAACGAAAATAATTTAACACCTAAACTTCTGTTTGTGCATGATGGTATCCAAAAGTTTCAGTAATCTAGAACGCTTGGCACAAAAGTAGAATATGATTTAGATGACTTGAGTTCTGTTTTCTGGGGTCACCCCAATGGGTTCAATGTCAAAGCTGTTTCAGTGTTTCCCCCTCACCCCCTGTTACATATTAGCTCCCTATGTATAACAATTGTGACACCCAAAACCTTGTTCAGAGAAGTAAAATAACACAAGTCTAGCATGCTAGAACATATCAAATCGATTCTTGTCTTTCAAAAAGAAAGTAGGCTAGATGTCAATGTCAGAGTGTTACTCAAACCAAACCTGACAAAATCTTAATGAAAGGTTCTTGTATAAATCTTTGTTCCTGAATTGAAAAAGCCCCTAAAATGTTATTTCGAGACTCACCAGTTCAAAATCAGCTTGTGCTTCTTCATCCATAGTTTTATTGACTCTCCATGGAAAAGGAGGGCACCAACGTTCTTGTTCACTTAGGTAAACTAATATTGTACAATCTGAGCCATCTACACCCCATTCTGCATAACATTTGTCCGATTCCCACATTTCCCTCATCCATACAATTTTGCTTTCACAGTACGGCCAATCATCAAAACTTGGAAATGGACAATCTTCTTGCTCATTATTTAGTATATCTAAAGGAATATTGTGAAAATATATGCAAAAAATAAACGACATGAGAACGTTTACATATTTAGAAACTGTAAAGTTATTCAAAAAGCATTTTTGATATTGGACATGTCTGGGACAGAAGTGTTTGATCTTTGATGTGGCAAAAATTTACCCATATTTTATTATATATGTTTCCAAGTACTGTAATCAGATTCTATTTCAATTTTATTTCGCGTCCGAATGCTTCTAAATATTATTTATAAATATCAGAAATATTCAAAGCTCATTTAACAAATTTATCAAATACATTGAAAAAAAACAGTTGAGCTACAAGAAACTAAGCAAGTAACTCAAAAATTTGTTAAAAAGTACAGTCTTCACAGTTTCAAGTAGCATAACTTGTAAAAGGAGAGATGATTGTATAAGATTGGGTATTCTAGAATCTGCAACCCGATCAATTCAAATTTTGAATTAATCTAGTAAGTACCATTAGCTAATTATGCTTTGATTAATAATATCTATATCTATCTATTGTTCACATACCGACAGCATTGACTGCGACCATATCCTTCCTGCCATTTCTCATAACTTCTTTCACCTCTTTATCTTTAAAAACATGGTTTTCCAGCACCTGAATACGATCACTTAAATGTTCGACACGCACGTTTAAATCGTTGATTAACACCGCCAGAGCCTTTTTCAAATCTGTTCAAAGTAAAAAGATGGCAGTGTATAGCATTGGTCATAGAAAGAATGATGTAAATTAGCAACACACTTGAATTTTATTGGACCGCATTCATTTCACCAAAAAAGTTGAAATTTCACTCAGGTTTTTGATGATTTACACAAAGTGACTTGAAATGTAGAAATTTTGATATACCGTGAATCCGTGATTGACATGTTTGTGATGAATCGTAACACGAATTGCCCGTAAAGAACGTTTGGAAGTTATTTGTAACAATACTATTGAAGTAAACTTTGAAAAGAATTCTGTACTTTTTAACAGCATAAGACAGAGAAGGAATGAAATATTCACCATCTGACTACATATTAATAATATAATACAAGTGATATCACAAAGAGATGTTGTACAAATCCCATATGTATTGCTAAGCTCTTGAGACTTGAATGTGTAAGATATAAATTATTCAACAGAAAGATCAGAATATAATACTATACGGAAGTTGATACCTATATTAAAACCATTATCTTTTTACATTGTATACAATGATCAATGTGTTTGGACAATAAAAGTGTTTGTTCTGTATTGCACTGTTCTACTATTCCTGGCACTATTGTGGCCCGCGAACAATACAAAAACAATAGTGTAGCTTGCGAGGCCGACAACCTTGGACCACCCTGGCGTAACTGCTTAATTTTCTTTTGTTTTTTAAAAAAGTCTGCCTAGTGTGGAATTCAATTTTTGACAGATGTTTTCAGTTAAAATCAAAGCTACCCTCTTTTCAACTAAGCCAAATAGCATAGTGTTCCGAGCGGGACCTATTTTAAAAAATATAATAATTGGCTTGTATTTTCACATAACATTTGTGTTTGCCATTGTTTGAGCATTTATGACTTTTATTTTCACATAACATCTTTGTTTGGTTATTTAAACAGTTATGATGTTTACATGTTTACAAATTTATACATGGTATTATACTATGGTCTATGGAGTCTGGGAAAATTTACAAACAACCACGAATAGAGGGTGAAAAAAATTTGACCCCGACCCCAACGTTAAGACAAATTTATATAACAAAAATTTTGATGTTAGCATGACTTCTTCCATAGACTGTTAAAAATGCTTAGTTAAATTAAATGTTTTTCGAATTTTATTATAACGTTTTAATTTATTTTATCACCATTGAAGCTCTGCAATTACAATTCCAGAATTTTAACTCTCAGAAGTTTAAAGATTTGACTCCGGGTCCGACACTCCAATGATAATATGCTCAACTCCCGACTCTACAACTCTGGTATTATCACAAGTAACCCATTTCATTTGTAGCAATTCTTTCAATTCATAGACTTGCTTAGATTTTTATATAGGTAAATGGGCCTCTGAGTTAACCAAATTCACACACAGCTGTCTCAACCCATTGATATAAATTGTATAAATCAGCTGAATAAAACTTCATTCTCACCATAACCAGTATACGGATATGCTGCAGGTCCATCCTCGACTTCCACAAGTTTGTTTGATAAATCCTTCACATATTTTTTACTAAGTTCCAATATTTCTTTACGTGCAGCATTGAGTTCTTCAACACTTTTCACTAGAGGAAATAACAAAAAATGAGAATTAATATCACATTGAAATTTTATAACTAAAATAATTATGCTATTACAGTACAGCAGTGACAATATTATCATAGCTAGTTAGACTTATTTATTTCATTCATCGCAGCATTTCAAGGCTCATAATATTTCTCTGCTAGATCAAGACTTAAAAGATTAAGCAGATACGCAGAAAAGAATTTGAGACTCTCCAATTAATAACGTTTATAAACTGTTCTGCTGTTAGAGACAATCACATTGCTGCATCGGCTTTTAAATTGTTTATGAAAAACTATTTAACCAATGCCAGAATGCTGAAATGCGTGACTGCATGTTTGTCATTCAATGACACATGCATTCACCATTCAGCTATTTGGTGCTATAGCCTACATTTTAAGATTCACTGAACTAATGCGACTGAAATGACTTAAGCTATAAAATATTGAAGTTAAAACTTAACCTGGTTTTATATTGGAATGTCTTGAATAGAAGATGTTGCACAAAAATAATACAGCAATCACACTCACAGTCAAGACAATTTTGCGCGGAAATATGCGGACTCGATTTCCCAACTGTAGTACTTCAAAAGCACGACAACTCATGCCGTTGCGATAGAAATAAAAGAGCAGTGTGACAATCACATTACTATGAAGGCATCACATTATTTTATTTCCGTCCTTGCCACAAATGATACGAGGCAAAAGTCGGAGCCGAAGAAGCCCAGCCCGGCAGTGAACAGATCTTGCAGAAAGTGATGTTGTTATTTCCTTTCGTTATCGGCTTCCCACGCGGAAAAACAGCTCCGGATCGCTGCTAAAAGAGTGTGCCAACCATTGAGGTGTGAAAAAGTCACGAATGGCGAGTGACTACTGGCAAAGAGAGAGAGAGATTTATTTTCGTCAACCAGAAAAAAAAAAATACTGAAACAATAGCAACAATACAAATATATTCAATGACATGTAGAGTTTTTCGGTATAGACTGGGAGGAGCGATACGACCATACGGTCATCAGAGTCAGCTCCCCCCATGTTCACTATTTTAATTATGCATATAAGAATTCTTGAGTTAGTATATGGTATAATGTATAAGGTTAGTATGGTATAAGAGCCAGAACTAGGAGATATATACCGGTACCGATAACCTATATTCGTACAACGTTGCTGACATCCTAGTAAGTATGTAAGTTTAGTTCGATTTTCCGTTACAACAAAACCAAGAAGCCAGATACCAAGTATTGTAACTGGGCGAGCAGTCGAGCTAGGGATAGGATAGGATATTTTACATATTTATTTCGGGGGAGAGGAAAGCCGATAAGACGGCTTATCCATATGGCGAACCAATTGCATTCTGCTCTTTGAATTTTTAATTTTGTGTTGGTGATTTTAGTTTGATTAATGTAAGCATGCACTTTGTTTTCAAGTAAGCTATTGCTGTGAAGTTGACTTGTTGAACAAAGTGTAGATAGTGTTATATGATCAAAGTTGAATGTTTTTTCATGGTGTGACAGTTTTGACCCTAACAGAAATTGCTTTTGGATCCCCAAACACCAATATAAAGTGATAAGAATTGAGTGATCAACAATACCTCCTAACATTAATTTAACAATTTCATTTATTTCCTTATAAAAAACAGGTCACTATATATTCATGAAACAATCTTTTATACACCTACTCGCAGATTGTTTTTCAGGCTACATCACAATCATCGAATGACGTAAAATATGTGAAAAAGTTTCCAAAGACTGATTCTGATGAATCTTCTGTGTTAATCCCAAAGGATCCTTTGAAAAAACATCTTCAATTTTTTTTTTATCCTTGATCACGATCCTTATAACCATTAAATTCCAATACCTACCTCAGTATCAATACTCTAATTTAATAATAATAATAATTATACAAGAGAGCTATGCTCAAATATATAGAATAGTAGCGTCACCTAAAGGAAATAATTTTTATGACGTCATAGCAAAAAATAATAATAGCTGGTTGTGTGTGTGCGAGTGTGTGAAACTTGATTCAATAATTTTAGGTGAGTAAACACGTACCACTTCTTTTGGCAATACCTTCCACCTTAAATTCTGTACGTTTTAAGCCATATCCAAGGTTTTGTTTACTCTCCTGATTTCATAATCAGTTTTTATTTATTGGACACGTGAATGGACCTATGGATCGTTTTGATATTATGTTGTTGTTCTTGTTGATATTCTTCTTCTTCGTCATGATAAAATCGCATTTTTCTTCTGAACCAATTGCTTTAAAATTTTCAATGGTTGAAGTTTTATTTTTGCCAGAAGGCTATTATCTTTATTTATTCCCAAATTTTCTATGAGATCTGATATTTCATCCAGAGTTTCGCCTTATTATTTTTTACTCATAGGAACACGGTTTTAAATTCTGAATCATGTAGCCCAGATCATCTTCACGGGGCCTGAAAACGCTAGGACAATCCGCGTAACGTTAATCTGATACAGGTACTGTGGCTGTTCAGGTTCGTACAGGATACCGTATGATTTTCGGAGAATTGGTGGTAAAACATTTCGTTGTTGATTTCGTGTCCATATATTTGATCATAGCTATCTTGTTAGGTATATATTGGTTCTGTATTTTAAAGTTAACAAAGTCGATGAATTTTGTCGTTCTGTATGTCATTTTGTACATGTAGTCCTATTTAGAAGACACTAAATCTAAATTTAACAATTTTTATTGAATTGTATTCCAATGGGAATCCCATGGGATGGGACAGAAAAAATGTGTCCCATGGACGAGCCTGGGCATTGGCCTCCTGTTTTTAATCATATTTCACGGAGTATTTGAAATTTCATGCTCCCAAAGTTGAAGTGAAAGTCACATAAATTTTAACTGACTTATCTTAAGTGTTGTTACGCCATAGCCATTTGTATTAGTCCGGCAGAATCGGGCCTTAACATTGTTTTGGGACATAAAGTTTTTTTTATTGTTTAGATACAATGTCGATGACATAAATAATGATACCCAGGTGGGTGTGGAGTATATAATGTTGAGCCATTTTTTTGTAAATGGATTTCAAGTATTCGTACCAAGATGACACACAACCTGAATCCTAACCTGGTACACATACAATGTTCAGGTTGTGCGCCATCTTGGTATGAATACTTCGAGAGCACCTTTTCGTTAAAAACAATTATTTCATAACCACATGGGTTAAATTTGAATACATAGTAACATTGCATCTCCTTACAATGTCAGAAATTCAGTTTTAGTAGAATAAATGGTAGTTTATTTCACTAATATAAGCTTAGATCCATCGACAGCATCTAGCCACTTTCTTTCGCGCTCGTCAAACTACATCTGTGTTGCTGCGGGCATTTCGTTTTCCTGCTTAAAACTTAGGGAAATATTTTATTAGTTGAAATGGATTGGAATATTCGATCTCGTCTTTCACTCCGAACAAGGTCATGTAAAACCATCCACTGGTATATAACGATGTGCAACGTGTTTTCTTTTTGAAGAATCGGAACCTTTCAGGTGTAGCATTGACTTTGGCCAAATTAATATATCCTTGTAAAGATAAAAGGTATGCGTATGCAAAACCGAGATGTGCACCTGTTACGCCAACATAGTTGAGTCAAACATTTTGTTCACTAGTACATCACACCCATTTTCATGCGTGCTTCTGTTGTACGTAGTAACGCGCATATTTTTGCGAACATGCATCAAACTCCACTTGTTTATTGAGCTATAGGTTTTTGACGAGCTTTTGTGTATGATTTCGTTCCATAGAATTTGTATGCTGTTTTAAAGAATACTACTTTCAACTTATTTTTTATTCATTCAAACCGCGTGTTGGAAGTAAGTTTTGTAATACTGCGTGTTGGTTTTCAAATGGTTTATTTATATCCATCACTTGACATCCTTGGATCGGTGATGTCAGTAAATCTTTAATACAAAAAAATCAGTATTATCTGCAAAAAAAAACAGCAGTAACTACTCAAATGATAGTTAGGGATGGATACTCATATTATACGCTCCATCGCGTGCCTCTTACCAGTTTACATGAGTGCCAATTGGTATCTAAGCTCAGCCACAGACAAAAAGTTTCGGACTGCGGTTGGCGTTACGAAATAATTTTAAATATATATTCCATAATACGATTATTTGATGCATATTACTGAGAGTTACGCCTTATATGTCTTTTACCATTGCACTATTCCTTTACTGATATTCAATAATATGACTCTCATCTGACATAGTTTTTCAAGTGTGTAGATAGGTATAATCTTTTCCATGCTGTTCAGATGGGAATGCGCGAATATATCTGAGAATCGCTAATATTGGTTTGCAATGCGATGGAATCCCATCTTGGTATTTCTGCCTCTCGCAATTGCTGCGTATATTTATCGGAGAAGTTCTGTGGCGTGGTTATCAAATGAAGAAAACCTTTGGGGTATTTTTTCCACTTCTCTACTACTCTCAAATCTTGACATTTTGTCAAACCTTTTTTCCATTCAACCTTTTTTTTGAAACATCCCCAACAACCACAATTAATTCTGTCACTAAACTTCCGAAACAAACAGATAAAATCATCAACAGATGCATATCACCAAGTCCTAAGTAAATATTGCTAAATTGATTTTACCCTTTTCCATGTAATGCTTTTTGGTAAACCTGTTATTTTTCGTAAATACAGCCCATTTGGCTATGTTGTAGTGTAACTTTTTTGGTCTCGCATTTTTGATATTTGTTTTCAGATCTCTTGGCCTTGGGGCTCTGTCAAACAAAGTTACATATAAAATATTGGTTGTAAGTTGCAAAACATGATCATGTTGTTGGAATAACTCGGCATTTTGTCACCCGTATATATATCATTTATTGTCGAGAATAATAATGAAATCATAAAATCTAAAACCCGTTTTCGTGAATTTTTTGTTGTAGCTGAATTTGAGGGACAGCAGGCACGAACAGCACGGTAGCCTCTTATAGTTTATGACAGGGTTTCCTAAAAGCGGACCCCGGCCTCCTTGGAGGCCACTGATCGGTTATCTGGGAGCAAGAACAAACAGATGGAAATGCGAATATATAATAACAATGTATTTTTATAGAAGAGAAGAAGCAAAAGTGTTGAAAGTCTTTGGTAGTTTGAAAAGCATTGGCATGGAACATAAGAATGAACTACATTCTTTCCCAGGGATATACCATAAAATGTAGCAATTTTCTCCTTCTTGTTCTCGTGATAGCATTATCTTTCACTAAATCGTCGTGATCATCCCGCTGCATAACAATCCTTGCTAGCAAATAATTGACTTTTCTCCACCGGGTGTATATCCACTTGAACCACTGCCGACTGCATTAGCAGGCTTAAATTGTTAATTGAAACAAAAGCGGGTATTTTGAAATAGTACTCTCTATTTTACGCGTATGTTTCAACAGTTATTCCATATATATGGGTCGCGACCAAAAGCTGGGTTCAAAAAATACCTAAAAGTTATTGATTTTCATTTCCTAGTAAATTTGGTGCTTCTGTAGTTTGTGCACCAAGTTGGCGCACAACCTGAACATAGTACTGTAACAGGTTAGGTTTCAGGTTGTGATGGCGCACAGATTTGATGAAAAACAATAACACAAATATCAAGCCGTAAAAAAACTGCTCAAGGCTGCAAACTCCACACCCATGTAGAAATGATGGGCAATAACCCCAAGATGAATAATCACAAATAAAAAAAACTTTATATCTGAAAACAAGGTTAGGCCCAAAAAGGCCCCTTATGTGCAGGACTATATCAGAAAAAATGTTTTTCGTAGATTCTGGAGTCTTGTGGTGACAGATGTTTTCATAATTCATTCCACTGTGATCACTTTATTTTATTTTTTCTGCTTTTGATAAGTGCCCCTTCTCTCAATTATTTTTTTTTTTCTACAAAAGTTACACCATAGCAAGCAATTATGTTGAATTTTGTAATTTAATGTAAATACCATTTTGTGTATTTGTATGTTTGCGCTAACACGGGACAACGGAAGTTGACATGGGTGAAAAATGCTCGTGATGATGTAACCCACTACCGGAGTTACAGATGTGGCTTAAAGCTTCTTTTGTATTCAAAATTATTATATTTGTGAGTAAATATTTGACGAGCGGTCCGATACTCTAAATGTGACGATCCCGTAAAGTTTTCTTGTTTAATCGTTTTACGTGTGAGATAACGACGGAATGTTCCAGACTCTGTTTACTGGATTTCCGATGTGTTTGATTCGGTGGTCATTTAGTCGGGAAGTGTATAAGAGCACTAGAACGTATCTTCTGCTGGTGTGTCCAGTGTGATCAGATCACAATGTAGTAGTATTTGTCGTAAATGTAATTATATTTAATTCAATGATATCTATCATCACTAATAAAAAGTCCGTACTGTTCAACAAAATTTGTGGTACCTAATGTATTTTAGACGACTTAATTTCACGTTGAAATGAATGTCAGTAATCCACATATCTTTTAAATGAATCAATGACACTATCATTGTTCTATATAAAATAATTTTGCAACATTTTTCAAATCGCCTTCTAGTAATCCACTCTGTGACATAGTGATATTCATACGATCAGACTTGATCAAACAAATGCAAAGTAAATCATTTCAAGCGACAGTAATGCACTAAATCTTGTATAATTATGAACATTTTTCAGTGGATTCATATCAGTAGTAGTAACCACATTTCAAACATTCAACAAATTGAAGGTCAATATTTAGAACAATTTCATCACAAGAGTGTATAAAATTGGGGGTTCAAATCTCAGGCAATGGGGATATAATGAAAGTGTTTCGTGACCATCAAACCAACAGAAGCTGGCATCACTACCCTTTACTGAAGATTGTTTATTGACTTACATCCTACTGCCTCCCCCAATAATCATCACCTTTCATTAAATTAGAAAAATTACATAATATATAAATATTCTTATAAACTGCCATTATTTTTATATTGCATAATAGTGGAAACGTACATAATGAGTGTTTGTCATTACATAACAAACCGATTTGCTAATAATGGGGTCAAAGTTTAAATTAATCAGTTTAAAAAACTAGGTCAATGCTAATAATGCCATAGTTTGGAAAATAGTTTTCAAAACGCTCATTGACAAGATGTCAGTGTATATTACTTTAGCTGTCAGTAGGTCATGCTGCTGACCTAAGTCTTTCATTGTTTTTCATGAACCGAATGCATGTCATAACGTTTTAGTATTTAATCAAGGTAATACATTAACTAGGTCCGTGTTATTTCAACATAGTGGCTCAGTAATTTCATATGACACAGCGAAATCGAACGATGAGGTCAGAGTACAGGCCAGGCATTATAGATGGTTCAATTGATATACTAATTCACTTAGGGGATCGTAGGATGACTTGCAGTTTTATCAAATGTTGTGTTAAAATGTGTTGTGATACCAAGAGGTCAGTATAAAAAAATGACATACCGTCTAATATACGAATCGTCGCAGTAGACAACTCTGTATTCTATGTAAATCGAAGGTCCTTGTAGTCGTTACCTTTTTATGGGCGGACCCACATTGTGAATTATAGCCACCGTACATCATTTCACAAAGCGATTTCGCTTAGTGCAGTCGTAACATACCAAAAGAATCAACAGAGACAGGTAATGATTATATTTCATGAATTGAATGCAAAAAACGTCGGAATAGATGACCTTGACCAGAAAATGTATTGCATAATTTACAAAATGTGGCCAACAAACGAATAGCGTAAAATGTCAAATATACACGAACGGGCGCATTGTCAAATCTGTACAACAAGAAGGTCTCGATATAGTCAGAGAGTTTAACTGAAACAGCAAATTGTTGAGTTCACTTATGTTGTGTGATTGATGCAGTTTAGTCAGAACACGGTTTGGAGGAGGTCCGGCTATCGCATTACAGCTGCATACATAGGATTGCAAGTTTGGACCGTACTTCTCTAAAATACAGGCCACAAATATATAAAATTGTGGTGAAAATAAATATGATATAACAATGGAATCTTAGGCCTATAAATATTTTCACAAATTGCAATTTCCATTAATTTGTCAATTTTACGTATCGTTTTATTTACAATGACTGAGTCAATAGCTCATTACAAAATTCATTTTGAGAAGGATTATAATTAATCAAATGTGATTCACGTGGCATTGTTGCCTCAACTCCGTGGAAACGTGAACAGGAAAGAGTATGATGTTTTTTTAAACTGATTCTGAACTAGTACTGCAAAATCCGAAGCTACTGTGGCAATGTCTGAACTGCCTCAACTGATCAGCAGGTTTCTAATTCAGGCCTTGTGAATTGTCATAATATGTTTGCCTTCTGATGAATACTTATACATTAAATGAATTGTTCGTATAAAAATATTATAAACCAAGCATTTTGTATTTTATGGAAAGTTTACAATTTTGGTTTACCAGGGTTTATCATACTAAAAATTTGTAACATGGCGATACTTTGATATCATGAAGACAAGTTGCTTTATAATAAAACCATGTACATTATTACTTAATATTGGAAATCAATCATTTGCTAGACAACCACAAATAGTGACGTACTTTTGTTTTGATAAATTTTATCACTTGCCCAATACCGCAATACAGAATAGTATCAAAATTTTTCATGATTTTACAATTGAATAAATTGTATTCTTTCGATTAGAATGGTAAATTCAAATCAATAGACTTATTCAGAGTGTATTAACCTAATTTAAATCGCGATGTGCACTGCTTTACGGGCACGCATGTGTCCAGGTGGATATAAAGATTCATAATCATTTTGTTATGTGCAAAATTTGCCATTTCGAATTTTGTATATTGTAATTTGAATATATTTGTTATTTTATTCGAAACACTTTCAAGTTTACACATGTTCGAAATAAACCTAACAATGACTAAATGAATTTTTCTCACAGTTGTTAACTAGTTACCAGTCACTTAGATTCTTAGAATATGATAATATAATTCTAACGGAGAAATACCATCCGAAACAAAAATGTCGAATGCCACCTGGCTAACTTCATATTGCAACTCTTCATTTTGGGTGAGTAACTGTCTTCAAACAAATCCAAAAAATGTTTTAGCTCTGTTAAAATTCAGATTTTGAATAAATTTGATGATTACATAAGGAAAATATTAATTCGTTGTCGTGAACTGAAACCACAAATTTCTATGCTGCAAAGTCCAATTCCTTTAGATATTTAAATTTAAAAGAATGTAAATTTTAATAAAAATTGTATAGTTAAATGGCAGTATATAATATTTATATAGGAATATTATTTATTATTTTAAATATTTCTTCTTTCTAGTACTTTAAGGCATATTTTTAAAAAATATTTAAGGTCAAACTTGGATTATATAAGACGTATATATATTTCTAGCTAAGACCTAAAATATCTTTAAATTTTTATCATATACCCATTGTGTTGCAGGATGATGAGCTTATGAATAGACCATCTCCAGAATTCACACCATGCTTCCAAGAAATTGCGATGGTTTGGGGACCATGCTTTTTTCTTTGGTTATTTTCAATATATCAACTTCTAATTTTAAAAAATTCAAAACAAAAATCGTTGAAAGTGTCGACACTTCATATCTTGAAACTGGTGAATACGATTTTCATTTTTTTTAATAATGCATACCGAACCTTGAATTTATAGTCCGCAATACTGATAAATTATTTTCTAGAGTAAGACTGAAGCTAAGCCAATATAGGCTTCTACTGTATATCATGAGCCAAGGTGGTAGGCAAGATCACTCAAGTTTATACCTAAATACTTTCATGTATGCTTTGTCTAGCTATGTACACTTTCCATATTTGTGGTGATGATAGTCGAACTTGGATACCGAGGATCGAACGTAGCTAACAATACTATTGAAGAATATACTCAGGCATATTTTGCCACTCCAGCAATAATTGCTGCCACAATGGTAAGGTTTATATTTTGTTATATATTTCACTTGTGATTCTCGGTCACGTTCTAATGCCTACATTAGTAATGATTTAACCCCAATATATCTATGATTCTTCAAATGTGAATTGTGCTTCGTGCTGGCATATGTTCGACCATCATTTATGCATTATTTAAAGCTTCATTTTTCACAGCTATCTTCATTATTTTTGAAAATAAAAATAGTGATAAAATTTATATTTAATTTCTTTCATATGTTGTCCATTTTCAATATAATTTAAAACATTATTTATTCACTCTTCAGATTCTCGCATTTGTTTTACAAACTTACGTTCGTTTGAAAGGCGAAACGACGTCAGGATTGTTGTTTCTATTTTGGTTTGCATTCACCATTTGTCAGATAATTCCATTTGTATCAATGGTTTATGCTGCAACGCCAGTAAGTAACATATAGATATCTTGAAAGGATATTTTTGTCTATTGATGTTGAACACTAAGACTCAATTTAAAAACTTTCTGGCTTGATTGTGAAGTATACATTCACCTATTTCAGCGATTAAGTAGCCTTTACATGGTCTTTTTAATTACGTCCTTGTTTACAAACTTTGGCGCTGTAAAGCATTGAAAGTCTGAGTCCATCTATAATCAGTACAACCGCTGTTTAAAAATCGTATTTCCCTGATTTTACAACTGGAAACATTTTCAACTAAGGTTTCAGCTAAGCTGCATTTCTGTTTTCTAGGAAATTGAAGACATGGTTGACTTTGTTTGTTTCTTCGTATTTTATTTCTTTTTGTTGGCTTCGTTTCTCCTGTCAGCATTTGCGGAACCGGTCCCGAAAAGGAATAAGGTTTTAATTTTACATGATATATAGATAAAAATTTAATCAAAACAAAAAATCAGTCTAAAATCATTTTTTATTATTAAATTACTTACTTTCTCGTAAAATCGATGAAAGGAAGATTGTTCAACTATAGTGTGTACATCAATAAAATGTCGTTATAATGATGTGTGGATATCACTTTTTGTTGAGATGGATAAATGCATTATAACCATTAAAATCAATAAAAACCAAAATGATGTGTGGATATCGCTTTTTGTTGAGATGGATAAATGCATTATAACCATTAAAATCAATAAAAACCAAAATGGAAACAAAAATTGTCACTTTTTAATATGATCATTTTTATCACTATTTCAGAAAGATTGTCCAGAATTGGTGTCTTCTTTTCCAAATCAGCTGGTATTCTGGTGGTTCAATCCGTAAGTACATGTATTGTAACCAGTTTGTTTTATATTTAACCTCATTCGATGGTAATATTATGCGTAAGAAAGTGCCGGAAATGGTAATACCAATAATCAGTTTATTGCAATCCTGTTTTGTAGAATAATATGGAAAGGCCATAACAACCCATTGGTTCACGAAGATTTGTGGCGATTGAACGAAAGAGATACAACTGAAGTTATTGCACCAAAACTAAATAAAAATTGGGAAGAGGAATTGGAAAAGTCAAGGTAATATTAAAGTGCATTACCATGTTATTTAAACCCAAAAATATCTGATAGGAAATATATTTCTTAGTTTGGATTTTAGATTAAGATAATAAACACTTGTTAAAAATAAGTTCTCATCGAAATTCTGAGTCAAGATTGTTTCAGTAGCAACTATTGACTTAAGTTTATATCAAAATTCCAAACGAATCTGTGAAATCTATATTAAAAAAAAGACAATGTGTACTTACTTGTGTCCTTTTATATATAATAATTTTGAATTTTAGGCAGTCAAAAGTCAAATTAGGACTCCAAGCATCGAAAGCAGATCACACAGTTTATGCAAATGTTGGACTAGATGATGTTGTCATTGAGGTACGTCATTCTATGATGTTTGCAACCTGAACCAATTTATAGAGCTGGGATAAAAGTAATGCGCTATTATTTTGAATAATGCTATTTTTCTTAGGTTCTGTATAACAATACCATTATATAACCACATTGTTTTTTTTTCTGTGAAGGCATGGTACCAGTTTATGCTCCTATTTTCGCATACATATCAGGTTGTTTAGCGCGAGTTTCCATGTGTAGATTCTGTTTATGGTGGTTAGCATAATAACTCTTCTCTAATTTATATATTAATTGAGAAAAATTTTTCCATTCCAGCCTAACGGGAAAGGATACGATATGTCAGACAAACATTACAAGCCATCTCTGGTGAAAGCAATGTTTAAAACATATGGAATGACAATGCTCGCTGCTGCATTTTTCAAACTTGGAAATGATACTATTCAATTTCTTTCCCCAATTCTTCTACGGTAACAATTCATCGTTGATTCAATGTTTTTAAATGGTTCAGAACTAACGTCTCAGAGTTTTGGCTGAGGGAGGCTAAAAATCGTAGGTGGCTTGTTCTGAAGTCGCTTTTCGTCATTTGCAATTGTGAATATCAAGAAAAACCTCATTTCCGTGGGTTTACTCGTAATTTTAAAAAGTAGCATAACATATTCAAAATGTTCATTCGCCAATGTTACTTTTACAGATCTTCATTCGCTACCCAGATAAGTTCAACAGTGACTCATGAGTTTCAATTCCAAAATGCATTGTCATTATTGTTAAATAGTGTTAAAACATAATCTGCTTTTTTAAATCCTTATTTAATATTAACTATTTAGTCAACCGTGCGAACGTGCCTTTTGTAAACTTTAATGTTTCACGTTTTAAGTGTGCAGCGCTATAATATTTTATTTATAGTTTAATATGAGTGCACAAATATCAGAAGAATGAATCAATAACCTTTCCCCTGGTTTTACACATTTCATGAAGTAAAAAATACTGTTTTGTTGTATGCTAAATTTAAACTCGTCGCGACTTACTTCCATAGTATCCGGATGTGAACGCGGAAGTCGATTAATACGTCTCTGACGTTCCCTTGTCTTGACTTGAAATACATTCACAATGTCATGTTATCTATTGTGATCGCATCCAAAAATTTTATTACGAAAATAACTCAACGAATATATTACATTAACCAAATTAGACCAACTTTAACTAAATAGGTAAATTCAAATATATATATATTAGTATTCGAACATTCAGTATTATACCAACCAACACCAAATGAATTTTCAGGTTTCCCCACCTATTTTACATAAGAAGTAAAGTAATCTACATTTTTTTTATAATATTTTAATCGAACTCACGGCATTTTGACACAATGTTTGCTTTGAATCCCACCCCGCATAGTTCAACAACATCCAATTTATTACACATTAATGAAAACTAAACATACCACCTTTATTTAAACATTCTAGACAAATGATGGCTTTTACTGAAGATACAGATATCTATGAATGGTATGGATACGTCTATGCTACGGCCATGTACGCTGTCACGATTGTACAAGCGCTGTTTCTCAATCAATATTTTCATAGATGTATGCTTGTTGGTATGAACATCAGAACCTCAGTCATTTCCATGGTTTATCGAAAGGTAACAAACATGGACAACTAAGCCGATAGCAACACTAAACGTTTCTTAGGAGAAGACGTACTGCTTTTTATATATTTGTTCTGCAATGCCACAAAGGCCTGTTAACGAAGGCTGCGCATTTTCAAATACCTGATGATTTTAGAATCGAATCAAATATTTTGTTTGAATCGAATCGATACTTGGAAAATGCGTAAATTTATGTATTATTAAATATGTTACTATCGCATTACAAAAATATGTCTTCATAAAATAGTTGAAGGATGGAAGCAAGTTGACGGCGATTCGAACCTTTGGATTCGATCGGAATATTTGATTCGAAATGCCCGGTTCTACCTGTTTTTTTGTCAGATGTGTAGAGCGTTTACTCCTATTTCTGGCTACTTGGTCAGAACTACTAGAAGCTACTTAATCTGTAATCTTTGCGGCCCTGCTTCGACTACCCAGTTTAATAATCCCTGGGTGAAATGGTGGAAGACTGTTCGGTCAGGGTACAAACTTAAAACAGAATAGTCAATTCAAAGCATTTCTATTTATGTTCACAGTCATTGCGAATATCTAATGCAACAAAAAAAGAGTCCACAGTTGGTGAAATTGTAAACTTGATGTCAACGGATGCTCAACGTTTTATGGATTTGATGAGCTATATTCATATTATATGGTCTGGACCTTACGTCATAGCTATTTCTCTATATCTTTTGTGGCAGGTAACAGAATTTGTGTTTTGCGACATTCAATATATATATATATAGATATATTCTTGTTGTTTTGAGAGCTTTTCTCGATTTTAACAATATAAACAAGTGAGATTTCCTGTTCAGGAACTTGGACCTTCTGTCATGGCTGGTTTTGCCCTGATGGTTCTGCTGATTCCACTAAATGGATGGATAGCTTCCTACATGAGGAAATTATCAGTAAATAATATGAAATTAAAAGATAAACGAATTAAACTTATGAACGAGATTCTGAATGGAATTAAGGTAAGATTGACTTTCTAAGTCATTTGATATATATATTATTTTTCGTATGACCCGAACTTTCTCATCAAGAACACACTAAAAGTAAGATCTAGAATGTCTAACCGACTATGCTAACGCTGTTAATCCAGCGCATTACCCACCCGCTTATCGCCGTCACTCAAATACAAAATGAGAATGGCTTATTCAGTAATATTATTCACATATCAATATATTCGCTTTTTGTCGGTGATATTCTTCTGTAACAGACCAATTCGTAGTATCAGGAATCAAAATAAACCGAAGAATTGTACTGACCAAAGACAGTCTATTCAGATATAAAAAATACAAGTCGCTAGGGTTTCAGTCTACTTAATTAGAATGGTTTATCCATTTTTTTAGGCCATGTAAAGTTAAGAGCACAAATTATTGAAAAACTAGACTTCGAATCCATATATACCCATGATGCCAGCATATTACTAGATTATCATACCTACCAAATACACAAATAACTAAGATATAGCTTGGAGCGACTAAATAATTTTTTAAATGTGGAATATTAAACTTTTATGATTCTTTTGTTAAACTAGGTTTTGAAACTTTATGCCTGGGAGCCATCTTTCGAAGAACAAGTCGGTGAAATTCGAGCTGCTGAATTGAAAATTGGGAGAAAAATTGCATATGTCCGAGCGTTTATGAGCTTTTTGTGGACTGTTGCACCATTCATGGTAGATATTACTTCTTCCAATAAAGCACGTATTGTTTCCAGATAAAGGAAATACAGGAAAAGACATTAGTCATAAAAGGATACCTTGACAAGTCTTGAATCCTACAAGTTGTATTGAACATGCTATTACGTAGAAGAAATATCTATATATATTTGTTCCAACTTAGCCATTTTGGTTTTCAGAATACGGGGAAAAATTTTTTGTTAGATTTAAAAGTCATTATATATCATCTTGCAATGAGCTATTCATCCTTTTGAACACTTGTCAGTTTAAACACTTGTTTGGTGAAAGAAAATGTTGAGTGTCCATTATCAAAGTTTTGAATTGTTGTTCCAAATTTTTTTGGCCCTCCCCTAACTTCATCCATGTTATGACCTGCAAATTAAATTTTGAATACAATTTCACTTTTTTTTTCAAATAGGTTGCTCTCTTATCATTTCTTACGTATGTTCTTGTCGACGAAAATAACGTCCTGGATTCACAAACAGCCTTTGTATCCATTTCTCTATTTAATATTTTGAGATTCCCGCTTGTTGTTTTTCCGATGGTCATATCGTCCGTCATAGCCGTAAGTATATATATATATTACTATGTCAATTATTTGGTGAAATAAAGCTATGTGCTGGTGCATAAACTGACATAATAGTTGACTTTATAATATAATTTTTTAACATTGCTCATTTCAACCAATATGCAAGTTTTACATATTATCATGAATACATCCTGTATTTCGCGTTACAGGCACAAGTGTCGGTCAAAAGATTGTCGAAATTTCTCACTGGAGACGAATTGGATCCAAATGCCGTTACCAGAAGTTTCGATACGGGTGAGCACAAAATTTCAAAAGTGTGAATCATATTATATAGGGTTGCGTCAAAAAGGTATTTTTTATTTCCATGTTTTGTTATTTTTAGACAAAGAAAATGCGATCGAGATAAACGAAGGCAACTTTGTTTGGGAACCTGATCACGAATGTGATCTGAAAGAGTAAGTAAAATTTTGGTTCAATAGTCAACATAAAACGTATCATTTATACCAGAAGAATCGATGAGAAATGAAACGTCCGCCATATTATAAACCAAACTAAATTGTTGATGAACATTTAGACAAGTAATACTGTGAGTAAAAGATGATTGTGAGATCGCAATCAAACACGGCTTATCTGGTATGAGGCAAAATTATCTATGGTGCATAGCAAATTGTTTAATATTATCTAGAAGAGGGTAACTTCCTGATCTACAAGAGCTTTAATGTTCAAAATTTAAAAATGATTACAGTCAATATAGTAATACCAATCCATTAGGAGGTAATCTGTACAATTCAGCCATTCTAAATGTATGTGATGATTGATTATTATTTTTTCCTACTCATTGTTTAGAGTAAGCATGAAAGTTAAAACCGGATCATTGGTCGCCGTAGTGGGACATGTGGGCAGTGGAAAATCGTCATTAATTTCAGCAATTCTTGGTGACATGGAAAAGAAGAATGGTTATGTCGAAGTTAACGTAAGTTGATAACATATCAAGCCAACTTTTGTACTGTGAGAAGCATGGTTTGGAATATGAATATTTTGCTATATATTTATACAATTTACTTGCAGGGGTCAATAGCATATGTACCACAGACGGCTTGGATTCAAAATGCAACATTACAAGATAATATTTTGTTTGGTCAAAAGTATGTCGGAGATAAAACGAAAGAAGATCATGAAACAACAGAATTTCACAGTGCGAAGGGGCCAGATTCTAACATTGTTACAAAAGCAAAATACAAATCAATTTTAAAAGCAACAGCTCTTGGTCCAGATTTAGAAATTTTGCCCGGTGGAGATCAAACAGAAATTGGAGAAAAGGTGGGATTTTATTTTTATACCCGAACGCATTGTTTGCACAATCCGATCATTTATACAAAACTATCCCAATTCCGTTCTTTTTATGGATATTTACTATATATTGCAGTTGCAGTGGTGATAAATTAGTAATTTGCCTCTGGGCTATGCTTGCTAAATCTAACTGTGACTAAAACCAACCAACCAATGAGTGTGGTCTACCCCAAAAATTCCTGGTGGATAAATAATGGAGAATGAGTTCCAAATTGTTTTTCTGGACACAGTGTTTATGAAAGATCGTCCTGGTATGCATCTCAATGTATAGTTTGCACCTAACTTGATGTCTCCTAATGTATAATCGGGTTTATTTTTATTGCAATCCCAGGGTATTAATCTTAGCGGTGGACAAAAACAACGAGTTTCTCTTGCAAGAGCAATATGCAGCGACTCTGATATATACCTTCTTGACGATCCGTTATCTGCTGTCGATTCACATATTGGAAAGCACATTTTTGATCACGTTATTGGCAAAGACGGAATTCTCAAAAACAAAGTAAACTTTTCAGTTTTTCAAAAAACTTCTCTATTTACTTGTTCGACTGTGTCTACATTTTTTAACAGCTACAAGATTTTTGCATGAATTATGCTTGGGGGGTCTATTCGCTGAACTTCGTAAAAAGCCCCCACTGGGTTTCTCGCGATCACAAAATTCTCTTGAAATTTTATGCACGATTGTCGCTGAAAAAAACTCTGATCACTCATCCGTATCACTCGGTTTCGCCACCGTCTGAATGGGGCTGGAATATATATTCTGCGAATGCCAGTCGTCTTCCTCCTCTTCCCAGTCGTCTTAGCGAACGGCCTCTCTGAGACGAAGGATCTACTTTGTAAAATTTACCGTATAAACCCGAATACGCTTTTTTATCAAATATGTCTAATATAGATATATATATATGTTGAGTTTGGGTAGCATTTCCGGTATGTGAATTTTTTGTGCAGACTCGTCTTCTAGTCACGCACGGTATCCAGTACCTACCAGATGTAGACAACATTTTTGTAATAGATGATGGACAAATCTCAGAGACTGGAACTTATCAGGAGCTTCTAAACACTGGGGAAAAATTCTCCAAGTTTCTAGAAGAATATGCGAATAAACAAGACGAAGGCATAGAAGATGACACAGAGAGTAAGTTTATAAATCATAAAAAAAAACTAAAAGAAATATCTACAGTTACAATATTTTTCTATAAAAAGGAGTTTTTCTAGTTTGTATGATACAGCTATATTTTAGCAACTATTATAATAAGACTTCACCTTTTATATATAAACCGTGAGGTTTTGAAAAATATATAAAAATACAAATATAAATACAATTTATATCGAACATTATTCTCATGTTGACCCTAATGAAGACTCAGAAATCGTATCCCACAACATATACCAGACATTGCACCAGGCGAGATATGTGGCAACTGGCACGGTAGACACAGCCTTTTGCTTGTTAAATATTCGGCTCCAACTGGCCCAATATACAAAGTTTTATATAGGCTCATCACAATGAAAAATATTTCACCTATAATAAACTAGGCAATTTATTGCATTTCATATCACAGTGGTTTTGATAACCGACGATGATCTGTCTTCGATACCGGAATCAAGAGACTCTGTGACAGATGGCAGTTCTGATTCTGCAGTAGGCGATGTAATGAAAGATGATGACGTGACAGAACTCCGGAGAAGAGCTTCACAGTACGCGTTTTGTGCAAATATTCTCAAAGATATAAAAAAAAAATAACTATTAATAAAATAATAACGTTTTCTTCCCATAATTCTAATGTTGCACAGCATAGCAGGGTGTCCAAAAAGTTCCGACCGAATTTATAGCATTAACAATTGCAAATTTGAATAAATTTTGTTGTATGATAAATGGGGACTATTTCATATTCGGGCGAAATTTTTTGGACACCCTGTATAGTATTTTAAGTTACATGACTGTCATTTATCATGCATTTTATTCGTTCACAGACGCGGAAGCAAGAGGTCAGTTGGTTCAATTAGAAAGCGTACCTTGAGTGCAACAAGCAACGGGGCAGTCCAGAGAAAAACGAGAGAAAGTGTCACGAGTAACTCGAAAAAGAGAGAGATGCGAGAGAGTGTTACCAGCAAAACAAACTCGATAAAACGCAGAGAAGCTATGAAATTACAGCAAACAGATACAAACAAGGGAAAGTTAACTGAGGAAGAGTCGTCGGAAATAGGACATGTAAATTTTTTATAATTATATCAAATGGAATCATAAACCTCTTCTCATACGAGTTATATGAACATCTCTTTACAACCCCCTAAAATTATGACTGACTCGTAAGTAAGGAAATTGATAGTAATGAAAACTGTGGGATAAATAATACTGCCGCGAAGCCTGTACATCGCCTATCAACGTGAGACTTTGTGCTCGCGATACATACATATGCAAGAACTAATATTTTCGGCATATACCTTATATCAATGCATTTGGTACATCCGCCTGATACAGTCTGAGCACTCATAACTGTATAATCTTACGCACCTTCACGGCATTTGTGTTTTCCCGCTATGCATTCGTATATTATACCCACCTAGTTCCAGCAGTTAATTACAGCGTTTTCAGCAGCCATGTGAATATTATTCGAGTTGATCGATTCCCGTGTAATATTTGTTAATATATGATTCTACGTGTGCTGATAGTACATTAATCTGTGATACTATATTTCAGGTCAAACTTCGCGTTTATTACGAATATATCAAAGCGATTGGTATTGGATATTTTTCTTTAGTCATACTTGCTTCCATACTTTATCAGGTTGGTATATATCTACTTCTGGGTTATCAAGTGGTCACAACGAATTTGTTCACTAAACCAAAAATAATTTTAAAACAGGGTTCAGTCATTGGAGCTTCAATCTGGCTTACTTATTGGACAAATGAAAACGATAAAGTTTTACTTGGACTTTCGAATGAAACAGCCGTTACTACTGGTGTGGGGATAGGAGTCTATGGATCCTTTGGCTTTATACAAGGTTAGTGTTTAGTCTAATTAAGTCAACTACACCCCGTGCAGTTGCAGTTCATTCTGCAATAAAAACTAAAATAACGACGGAAGCAAGTGAAGATGCATTTGCAATTTGTGTTTGCATTCAAACTAAGTTCAAATGCTATTTTAAAAAGCGGCGTCCCATCCCCAAAATATTCCCAAAGCAAATCTAACACGCTATAGGACTAGGAGATATAAAAAATCGTACAAAAATTAGTTCAATTATTTTTTGTGATGTCATTTATAATGACTTCATATAGCAAATTATATATAATTAAAAATTGTTTTTTAAACCAACATTGCTAGGGGTCAAATTCAGTTGTTTTGAATGGCCACGATTGTGCCAAAAGGCTTATTGAACAATTCAGGGAAAGGCGGTTGGAGACTGCCTTTTTCAAATTAGAAGAAGTTTATCTTACAGCTTTACAGCTTTAATAATTCCATACTATAAAAATGTTGTTTCATTACCAATATTACCTACAGTAACATTGGTATAGATTTGATACTAAAAAAAATCTTCAAATTAGATGACATGAAGTGTTCATTCCTTTCTCTCGGAAACCAGCATATATATATGTGTAATTAAGGTTTTGCAGCTTGGCATTACGGCAGTGAATACTTTAAAAACATTTGAAGATCTTGATAGCAAGCTGCATGAAAAGGCAACCTATCTTGCTCAAATAGTTTTCTTATTAATATTTTAGCAATATTCATTCTTGGAAACGGAATTTTCCAAGCGAATGGAACAATAGCTGCTGCATTGATGCTTCATTACTTTTTACTGAAAAATATATTTCGAGTACCGGTAGGATTCTTCGATACAACACCACTAGGAAGAATCGTAAATCGATTCTCCAAGGTAAAGATTACAGCATATTCGTTATATATATAATGCATAAATTGAAAACTTTTATAATAGCGTAAAGCTGCAACGTCGAAATCTTTTTACATATAGGCTAGGACCAACACGCATAGTCAAAACGAGTTTGATTACCAAAGAAGTGTCATTAGAAATTGTTTCAATAACTCACGAATTGAAATTGACTGGTAAAATGTCATTTTTTGAAAGCCCAATAACTTCATGAAATGCTGATTTTACGAACTTAGCAAAACATGTATGTTCCAGGATATTTATATCATCGATGAAATTCTACCTCAAACTGTGAGAATGTGGTTGCAATGTGCCTTCAGTGTAATTTTCACATTGATTGTCATCATTGCTTCAACTCCAATATTTGCAGCTGTGATCGTTCCTATTGGAATTCTCTACTTTTTTGCTCAGGTTTGTTAAGATTTGATTTTTATAAATGCGATTAGCGAAGCAACAACTTTTAAATAGCTTGTCCTTTTTTTTATAAAAAGCATACAACATAGTAACATAGTAAGGTTGTATTCGAGCCAGTTGATACTATTTTAAGCGTTTTCATACCATGGAATATTCATATATATATATACTACATAACAATCCAGATATTGAGGTCGGGTGGAATTTGGCTGTCAAAGTTAAATTAAGTTAAATTGAACAACTAAGATAGCACCAAACCCTCATTGCCAACTGGTAATCATAGAAAATATACATATGGTATTCGGTATTGGTGTGAATTAAGCGATTTTGCCTTATTTTATTTTATCCCACTTTTGACTGAAACTCGAACAAAATGTACGAAAATGGTTTTATTTGATGCATTATTATACTTTCTAACATTCGTGTTGATATATAGTACTACAAATACTACCAATTCATTTGTGTACATTCTAATTCACAGCGATTTTACGTTTCAACATCAAGACAACTGAAACGATTAGAATCGGTGACAAGATCCCCAATTTATTCACATTTTGGTGAAACTGTCTCCGGAGTGTCTCTGATCAGAGCTTATCAACAAAGTGAGAGATTTATACAACAATCAAAAGATAAAGTGGACAAGAATCAAGAATGCTATTATCCCAACATTGTTTCCAACAGGTTTGCTTATTTTCAACTTCAAATTGTTTGTATTTCCGCACTTTGTAAGGATGGTTTCATGTAGCAGAATTGATGATGAATTGTCTATTGCATGCATTTTTGTTCAGATCAGGCAACTACAAAACACAATGCTGTTTTGTCTGCTTTGCTAAACTAAAAATGTACGGCCTAATTCGAGAAATATTTATTCATTGTAATTATCAAATTTTCAGGTGGTTAGCAGTACGACTTGAATTTGTTGGAAACGCGATCGTATTTTTTGCTGCTTTATCGGCTGTATTGAGTCGAGAGACATTGAGTGGAAGTGTCGCTGGATTATCCATCTCATACGCTCTAACGGTAAGCAAGCAAAATGAAGCGCGTTCCTTTTCCTTCGTATATATAATGCAACTGTATTTGCTAACTTTTAATCTATGTTTAGATCACCCAAACGTTGAACTGGTGGGTTCGACAAATGAGTGAAATGGAGACAAACGTTGTTGCAGTTGAGCGGGTTCAGGAGTATGCTAAAGTGAAGAACGAGGTAATTTATATGCTGCCTTGAGTGTTGCCTTGAGTATTTGGAACATACTCATTATTCAACAAAATGTTTAGCGCTCTATAATTGTGTAACTTGTGAGTTGTTTATAAATACTTTAACCAGTATGTTCTTCGTCCTTATTTGCTTCTGACCTGTTTTATATATCTCTAATAAAATTTGTTAGAGAGGTAATACTGACTTTGACGTTCTGCAAATTAAATGGACATATATTTTGCAATTGTGTTTAACCCTGGTTTCCAAATCGTAACGTTTTCATTGTGTAATACTTGATTTATTGGTTTGATTTTTTGCCAATAGTTACAATAGGTATTCAAAACTATATGCTATATGCTGCTATTTTAAAACCAATGCATAAAGGAGAATATTTTGCTTATGAGCGATTTGTTTTATTTTGTCAAGGCTGAATGGGAAGTAAAAGAGAACAAGCCGAATCGCGAATGGCCTTCTGAAGGACAAATTGAGTTTGAAAATTATGCTACAAGATACAGAGAAGATTTAGATCTTGTTTTAAAGAATATAAGTTGCAGCATAAAACCAAAACAAAGGGTAATTATCCTAATATTGACGCTCAAAAAATGTCCCTCTATTCCGACGTGTGTAATTTTTCTAATGTATTCAAGCAAACACGTTTAAAACATGCGATATTGCATTTTATTTTTTACTTCAGTATGTTTTGATTCAACTAAAAACTCTATGTTAGACAAGGTCGTGTGCTGTGGCCAACTTTCTTTTTGCTTTTTATACAAAGTCTGTGTTAGACATGTTCGTGGGTTTAGGCCAATTTTCTTTGTGCTTTTCATACGTGTGTTCGCGCATTGCTGAGATTAAAAAAAACGTATATGTAAATATCACTTATATTTTATTCTCATAAAACGTTCTTACGTTTAGGTCGGAATAGTAGGTCGCACTGGAGCTGGTAAATCATCATTAACTCTCGCATTGTTTCGTTTGATCGAAGGATCAGGTGGAAAAATTAAAATTGATGGAGTCGACATTTCTAAAATTGGTCTTCATGATTTGAGAAAGAAACTAACGATAATTCCACAGGTAAAATTTTCGAAGCATAAATTATGAATCAATGTGTAAAAATAGTCAACATAATGTTGAAAACAATTGTTATCATCACGATAGAATTAAACTATCCTGAGTGTTGCATGTGTATATACACACGCGTTTGAACTATTTTGCTAACTATTGGTCTGATTAGGTGTGATTTTAATGTTTTATACCGTAGGTGCTATTATAAAAATCTCTTCATTAGTTTTCTAAAATGAACAACCTACCATCGTGAATAGCGGCAACGTACCCGAAAACGCGCGAAAAAAATTTCATAGTTTTCAATTGTTCAATATTTTATTTTATTAGGATGGTACTTGCATACTACACAAATTTATACTTACCACTTCAAATATAACAAGAATGTGTGCAAACGATATTACCATACATATTAATTTTCTCAAAAATACATATTTCAATGTAACGTTAATCTTTTGAAAGGATCCAGTTCTCTTCTCTGGAACGATGAGATTGAATCTTGATCCGTTTAACTCGTACACAGACGAACAAGTATGGAATGGACTTGAGCATGCTCACTTGAAGGAATATGTCAGTGGATTACCAGACAAACTCGAACATATGTGTGCCGAAGGTGGCGAAAATCTTAGGTTGGTTCATTTATTTCTTCTTAAAAATGAACTCGAAATATAAACATCTTCCAGTGAAAACATTAGAAAAAATATATTTTGAAAGTACAGACAATCAAAATTGCTGTTCTGTGAAATATGGCATTAATAGAGAAAGTCAGATCTGAGTCAAAGTGAAATTTAGCATATATCATGACTATATGAAAATACTTCACTTCCTCAATTTTAATTAAGTGTTGGACAACGTCAGCTTGTATGTCTTGCTCGAGCTTTACTCAGAAAATCGAAAATTCTCGTTCTTGACGAAGCAACAGCTGCAGTGGATATGCAAACTGATGATCTCATACAACAAACTATTCGAAATGAATTTGATGATTGCACTGTCATAACTATCGCTCATAGATTGAACACTATCATGGATTACGACATGTATGTTATATATAAAATCGTGTGAATAATAAGTAATTTTAAGGGGGAAGCAATGAATATTTGAATATTATTTCGGTTTCTAATCTTTAGTGATGAGTACTTCCTCATTACTGCCTCATTCACTCAACCACACGAAGATGATCGCGGAACGACTACAATGTTCAAGCTTAGGTCACGTCTAACTTTACTCTATTTTAACAATGCCCCGAATAATTATACCAACGACTGCCAGACCATTCTCCAAAACTTTTAATCAAACTTTTACTATAAATACTTGTATAATTTCTGTTAATTTCAATCAGTACAAAATAAGAGAGGAGCGAAACCATACATTTAGAAAATAAAATTCATCTGATTCCTTCATAAGTAGATTTTTCTCAGCAGCTAAGTGCGATTTTAACTAAGAGAATTGCGATATTCTATCATCAATGCAAAAAATATAATAGTCATCTAAAAAATAATAGCAATATTAGTAGAATTACTACTGAGGTTGAAGAGGCAACCGTCCTTCCGAGGTCAGTTTGAAGACCACTGTCTCCTCTATTCTGACATGCCAAACAAACAATAAGCAAGTATGTCATCACATCCTAAAAATGTTATTGCAGTGAAATTGCAATAAATGCGCTGCAAATCCAATCCAATGGTTATTCCTAATGTTTGCAACAAAGATATAAATGTTTATTTTTCTATCAGGATCATGGTATTGGATACTGGGAAAATTGTTGAGTTGGATTCACCGACAACTTTGCTAGAAAAACAAGGAGTATTCTACGGAATGGCAAAAGATGCTGGATTAGTTTAATTGTTTTTTTTAGTATTTGGCTTTTTCAATAATTGACCTTTTTTCTATTTTTATTATTCATATTCGTATACTCGTGTTTACTTTGCTGTTTTTTTTTTGCCTAGAATTGGATGATAAAACGAATATTATTTCGAATTGCCTGTTTTTCAGTTAAAAAAAAATGAAAAATAAATAAACACTGTATACTTTAATAAAGATAAAAAAAATTTCACAAAGAAGCGTAAATTTGCTCGTTTGAGCTATAGATACCTCTGTTGTATGTTCCATTTATTCCTACGTTCAAATTCAACTTGTTCCATTCAACACTTGTATAAACACTTAATTCTAATTTATCATTTCATAAAATTACTGCAACTGCAATAATTTTTTTATGTTATTCAATAATTACTGTGATTTGTTGGTGAAAAATTAATAAAATATAACCTTTGTAAATATTATGTCGATTTTTTTAGAGGTTTTTTAGATTATCATTTACGCTCCCTATCAAGTGACGAAATTTGCTTTATCGGCAAAATGATCAACAAGAATTTTTATCAGAATTTTTAATTGAGCCAGTACTTCAACCAGTACCCCTACTGTTACCATATCGGAGAGTATTATGGACAAAAAAACAGTGATTCGTTGCCGATACGTACGCATCACACGCCGAACTCCTACAAAAGCACGTAAATACAAACAAAACATCTCAATCCTTATCGTCGTAAGAAGTTTCAATAATTCTAAATTATACGTTCAAAAAGATATTTTTATATGTATTCCAAGAGTCTTGCTGCACACTAAAACAAATGTATTTTTGCAACGTTTCGTTTGGCCAAATCAGACTTACTCAGACAAGCAGTTTACAACAATAACTAATGATATTTATGTTAAAATATTTTGTTGCTATAATATTTATGTTCATTGCATGTTGTCACCACTGGTATATTTCCTTTCAAAAACTTTGTCTGTGTAGTATCTTATATAACAACAAAAGAGCTATGCTCAAATATATGGACACGTATGATAATTTATCATCGCTTCACCGAAAACCATAGGTTATCCTACACGAAGTTGAACAGTAAAACAGCTACATGGCTATGGTAACGTGACTTACTGGTACCGTACCCGTACCCAGTACGGCACAGTTTATCTATTTCAAAAAAGCCCCCATAATAGACGGCATCAATTATAACTGTGACTGTAGGCCCCGCTTTCAAGAGACTGTTTGGGCTTCCCAATGAGCATATATACAATGAGTGGAAACTTCCAAATATTTGCTCATTAATCCAATGTTCCCCTGCATTTTTTGCGTCGTCCAGCTGAACAGTTCGTTGCATATGGGGGAAGCATATCGCTCGCTGCAAAAATCCCTTGCTTCGGCCGCGCCGGTTGCGAAATTGGCCGTATTGAGGCTTTTAATTTTTCGATTCGTGTTCGGTTTTGGGTTTCGAATTATGGTACGTTGAAAGCATACTAAATATAAGCATATGCTTATTGGGAATGCATATCTATTAACTATAGCACAGAATATGGAGTCAAGTGCGGTTATTTCTAATTATAGCATGGGATTTAGGTAGGCTACATATTTATCCATCAAATCACTCTGGCAGTCTGGAATATCTTGACAATAAAAACGAAGACAAAAATTAGAAGAATAGCAGGGAATCGGCTTATCGGCTTCCCTCTCCACATGAGTAAATATGTTAACCCCATCCTATATCAATGAATACAAAGCCCCGCGTCCCCCTTTACATGAGTCCTAACGAGTGGTGGGATTCAAATTTTTTGTCAGCTGGTTCCATCACAAAAGTCATAGTTTTCGGCCGGTTCTGTTACATGTTTTTTTAGTAATGCCGACCGATTCGCTGATCTCATTAAATTCAGTGAGACGGTTCTATAGAACGGGCTAAATCCCACCACTGGTCCTAACCACCCCCCCTTTGGTTTGAGAAAAGATTTTCATGCGAAACTTCTTCCACAAAAAAGCAGCACCGTCGTTTTACGGTCGCGCATTATGGATTCGTCAAAACGATATCATTCTGCGTATTATCACAGCAGCGCAATTAACACCGCCATACTTTTTTATCTTTACGATATATATGTTATTTTTTTAGTTGGCGCTGATAAAGACAAATAAGAATGCGTGATTGTTGATTGTTATTCAGTAACGCGTATGTAACCGCCGTTATGGCCGTTCAAAATGAAAGAAGGGTTATGAGCTAATTTCAGGACATTCTCTTCCCGATTTATTTTATTTTGATACAAAGCAGGGCGCATTGAAAAGCAAAATAGAATTTATTAACATAAATTTACAACGAGTTAAGTAAAATTTACCGACGGCTATCGCCAACAGACATAAACGATGAATGTGAGAATTTTTTAGTTTGTGTCATTTTTGCGACATCATATTTTTCAATTTCTAATTTTGCGTAAATCGCGTCAACATCGTTTTTGTAAATTTAGAAACGTTGAATCAGATAAGCAAGGCATGTGAATAATGTATTCTATGCAAATTTCCCGAGATATTGCGGAGAAATAATATTTTGACCACGTAGAAATGCCATTATTGCTGATTTATTCACGTGTTAAGTATCAGTGTTTTAAACCAAAGCTGAGTTACTTGAATACTCAACACTAAGTATTCTAGAGATTACCAATTTGCGGAGTTTTTTAATTATTATTCAATATGAAAGTGACACGGAAACGATATAAAATTAAAACATAAAAATGTCAACTATCAGCTTCACAAATATCGCATCCCGGGGCCAGTAATGATAATATTGTTTGCTCAAAATTGGGACCGTAACTGTGGTACAAATTCAACACAGAAGATAAAAATCAGAATAAAATTAATTTTTGTTGTGAAAACATTCCTTAATAGTTGTCTTTAACATCTTCGCCGATGTTCGTTAACATATTCGAATAATTTTATATAAAAAAATACGATTTGCCCACCACTAATCACGGCGCATGTAAATAATAATCAATAAATGGCAATAAAAAATCAACTTAGTTAGCAATAAATTCCAAGTAAAATTTACACATTTCATGCTTCGATCGGCGCTACACGTGAGCATGTTTTTGTATATATTCACCAAACACCGTCAAGAAAACAGAGGCGAGCTACACGTGACTGTGGGATTTCGCTGTGAACGACGCATTGTTTTGAATTTATTACACGCCTCACGCCGTCGTGAATTGTACTTTTGGCGCACTGTTTTAATTTGACCGTCGGCCCCCCACCCCGTTGGAAATATCCTGGCATCGGCCCTTGTTCAAATTCTATATCTCAGTATTGATTACAAAAGTATAATTGCATCCAAATCAACAGTATCTATATAGCTACTAACCCCCAAAGGTACCCCATTTCATTTTGAATCATCAAAACAAAGTTAATTTTTCCCAAAATTCGAACAAAGACTTTTGTAGGAATCAAATTACACCAGTTTTAAGAACACAACATGTTCCACCTATTCATTATCAAATTAAAATTTATATTCCCAAGACCTTTGGCACTGATTGAAATAATTATATCTAAGTTCCCATCCGTACGATGTACATAATTACCCTTATTGAGATAATAGGAGTTTCTGTTTATAACGTGAATCACGAGCTCACGTTTACAGTATTTAATAAGATTTATGATCGACGTATAAATACTACTCCGATATCTTTCAATAGAGACGATGTAAACCATTCAAAGCTAGTCTGGATAAATGATATAAGATGATTTGTATTCTGTGTGTCGTGGAAATCTGAGAATAAAATCAAACAGAGTTTTCTAAAGTTTCTTCATTAACGTGGGCATTGAAGCTGAAGGGCAGTTCTGGGACAATATACGAAATAGCAATATACGGTAATATTACATTCATCTAACAACCATATATGCTATATCTATATATGACTATATGAAGGATCGTTAAAATCAAATAATATACATGCAAAAATCATAATTGATAACAAAATGTACTCTAAATATTAAAATAAAAAACAAACTTTTTTGTGTAAATTCACAAGACATCGATTTCACTGGCGAGATATCCCAGAGTAATTTATAGTTAAAATCAGTATTTTTAATGAGTATACGAATAGCTCACAAAGTCCAGGCAGCCTGGGGGTTCATATGAAGCACAGAGCTATTTGGAGAGGCCGTGGTTCGCCATTTATTAGGCTTTCGGCTTTCCTCTCCCCCTGGATAAATATGTAAGTCCCATGTTATATCAATGAATAAATACAGCAATAACCGCACCCCACGTGGCGACTGATTCATATTCTGTTCTGTAACTACGTTTTCTGCCTAATAGGTATGTATTCCCAATATGCATATGCTTATAGTTAGTATGCTTTCAACGTACCATACTTCGAAACCCAAAACCGAACACGAATCGAAAAATTAAAAGCCTCAATACGGCCAATTTCGCACTCGACCCAGCTGAAACAAGGAATTTTTGCAGCGAACGATCTGCTTTCTTCATATGCAACGAACCATTTAGCTGGACGACGTAAAAATGCAGGGCACAATGGATTAATGAGCAAATATTTGGAAGTTTCCACTCATTGTATATACTGTATACTCATTGGGCTTCCATATCGGCAAAGCGGCACTGTTACAGGTACACAGGTTTTCCAGTTTCTGTGACGATTCTGGTTCAACGTGAATTGAAAAACCAACTGATTCGAGTTACTGCGGTATCATGACAGTAAATACCGCAGTCTACAAATATATGGACACTAAGCGAAGCAGTAGTTTACAACATTACGCGTACCGGTAAGCTCAAAAATCTTCCGAGATTTTCAACAAAAATTTCCAGAATCGGCCGTCACGCTTGGCGAATTAGAAAATTGTGTTCCCAGGATTAAAAAAGAAAACAGTGAAGTTTTTGATGGAATATTAAATCCCATAGGATTCACACAAAAGTTTGAAAAGGTAATGGACCTTTCCCCGATCTTTGACCCCCGAAAATTCTTCCTATACTTTACCATTGCAAAATTTTCGGGGCTATTTTAAGAGAGCTTTTGCGAGTTGGCGCCTGTAAAAGGGATATGTGTTTCAAACCATCATTATGATTTATCGCATACAACGATCTGTTTTTTGAAAGTACCGGTTAGCCTAGTCCAGTGGTTCCCAACCGGTGGAAAATTTCCCACTAGTGGGAAATTTGGAGGTTGCAGGTGGGAAATTGAATGCTCCTCTAAAAATGTACGCACAACAACACAATTATTAAATATTACACAATGAAAATCACGATATATGCCATGAAGCGGAAAAAGATTCCCCATTCAATTAATCAAACTTATAGTAAAATATCACGTTGTTGGGCATGATATTCTGATCGTGCCACGCAATTCATTTTGATCCTTAGTCGGCCGATAACAACCTCACAGGCATGTCTCGAGCGAGCACCAATGCTTTAAAAATTAAACGTTACGCGAGAAGATTTACGTTGCAGAGCCGCAAAAGAGAACAGTTTTTATTCAAATGTATCGGAGATATTGGGTAAGCACGCGCTCTGATGAACAAATATTTGACCCGTCCCTCCATTCTGCTAAATTCTTAATAAAAGGTAATAACTTATGTAAAAATAAAGTACGATCATAGTCATCTCGGCTACGTTTCACGTTTTTAACGAAAATTTTTGAGCAACTGCCGCAATGCGTTTTTTGCACTAAGGCCATTTCCAATGGGTCTATGTAGCCCCATGCAATGAGGCAACATATTCGACAACATGGGCAATTTCAAATGAGTTCAAAGGTGATATTTGTTAGCGAAAATCATAACGTGTTCCTAATTTGATGACGTTTTACGTTGTTACGCAGACGTTGCAAACGTATCGACGCAGCATTAGTGCGACATAGTCCTGTTTGGGAAGTTCCTCGATTAATCCCGGGAATTCTAAATTATCGCCACGCTGCTTCGATGAGTTGGCACCTTCTGTCTTGTATCCAGTGTAATCTATATCGCGCTAGGAGTTGTTTATCGTGTTTAATATTGGGTTTACTCTCTGCGGTTAGGATAAACGATTCGGATTAAAGTTATTAATTGGGTTTAAAATTAAGAGGTTTATACTAGGACTGAAATATAATGCAGGGATACAGGTTAGGGTTGTATTATATTCCAAATAAAATGATAACTGCTGTTCTTTGTATTTAGTCACATGAGTTAAGTTGTATTTACTTTGGATTATAATTTGTTGAATAGAGTTGCCTGGAGATCCTAAACATTCGGTATGTAAATATTGTTTTATTATGTAAGATTTATTCTGTATTTTAGTATTGTGAATGCTATTTTATCCTATGTGATTTAATCTGTACATAATTGTGACATTTGGTTATCTGCTAATTGCTGTGAATTGTTATTGCTTGTAAAAATGGTAATGCTGTTATATTTGATTAATTGTGCCATATAAGCTATTTAGTTTTATCTATTATTTTGGCAGAAAACCGTTCCTTTACGTTCCTTATACCCGGTATCAAGATTTACGTTACGTTCCATTAACAACGTTCCGTTTCTCGTACACGGCAAGTTCTATTTTCCTGATTCATGTTCGAGATTTGATTTGAAGTGTCTGTTGATTGTTATTAAAGATATTCACCGAATTCAAGTTGAATTATATTGGGGCAGCACTTGGAAGGCACAGAAGAATCTGGGGGCACTTTAACCGCTGTTTACAGACTTTAATTGCTTGAAAGCATGGACTAGTTATAACAATTAACCGATATAAGTTTGGGGTCAGGACTGGGTTATTGGGACGCGTTTTTGAAGTCTCCAATCTCTTAATGTGCGTGAGAAGTAATCAGGCTACATAGAATCGAGCGCAACAATATTAATTGCGTCATTTGTAGATGTCCTGCGAATAGCAAAAACCAAAAGTTCCATAACATCGGTGGGACATAAACTTTGTCCCGTGAAGTGTGATGATATTCTGCCGAGTAAGTCTGCTCCGTCAAAGATGAACAGATCTCCTTGTCCAATAGCAATGCGCATTTTCAAAAATAGATTCAGACTTCCGGTCTATCATACTAAAAAAAACAGCAGAATTGATGTGGACGGTGTAATGTTATGTAAACTCTGATGCGTTTTTTGTAATTTTGAGCGTTGAATTGTTCTGTTCGATGGATAACACTGATTTTCGTTACACGAAGTTCATAACCTTCTAGAGAAAATTTCCACCTTCGACCATCGAAAATTTTAATGCAATTGGTGCAGTATTCGAAGAGAGAAGCGATTTTATAATGATAATAATGACGAATGACAATAACAACAACACAAGAGAGCAGCACTCAAATATATGGACACGTGGACCATAGCGAAGCAGTCCTCTTACCTTTGACGTTGCCGGTACCATACACTCAAAAACTTCCGAGTTCACAGTAGCAAGAATTTTTACAGTCAGCCATCACGCTTGGCGGATTAAAAACCGTGTTCCCATAATTAAAATGTAAAACAGCGCAATTTTGGTTAAAATATTGGATTCATAGAAAATTTAGGAAAAAATAGAAGTAATAGCCCTCTGGAAAAAAATCAATCTTTAACCACTGAAAATGTCAAAGCAATTGGTCTAGTATTCGAAGAGAAAAACGATTTTATCGAGACAAAAAAGAAGAATGTCAACAAGAACAACAACATAATATCAAAACGATCCATAGGTCCACTCATGTGTCCAATAATATTGAAACGATCGTTATGTCCAGTGACGTGTCTAAAAACATTTTCACATCGTCGGGACAACAAACAATAGTTCATGAATTTACGACCGGTACTTGAATAAACATGTGAATAACAAGAGAGCTGTGCTCAGATATATGAACACGTTAACCAGAGCGAAGCAGTATTTACCTTTGACGCCACCGGTACCCACAAAAAATTCCCAGTTTGCGTAGAAATAATTTACAGAATCAAACCGGACAGCCAGTGTTCCCCCATGAATAAAATAATACAGCGAAATTTTAGTCGAAATATCAGATTTCATGCGAAATTTAGAAATAAATAAAAGTAATAGCCTTCTGGCAGAAAAAAATCAATCTTCACTCACTGAAAATTTCAAAGCAATTGGTCCAGTATTCGAAGAGAAAAGGGATTTTTTAAAAATGATGGAGACAAATAATAACAATAACAACATATTATTGAAACGATCGTTATGTCCACTAAACGTGTCCAATAATACAGCAATGCGTTGTTTTGATATTGGAGATAACAACGACATTCAATATTTCAGGCAACGATACACAACATTTATTGTTTTATTGCGTTTTTACAATTTTAAAATCTAACACAGTAATTCTGCCGTAAGAATAGTGAAATAGAAACTCAACAACATAAAAATATATTACAAATATGTACAGATTAGATGTGGTTCAAAATGAACCATGTTCCATTAAATGATACGTTGTGTTTCAAAAAGGTGGATAAAATATGCTTTTCTGTTCAAATGTATTTATTTTGGCGCTCCCGAAGTATGTGCACCAAGATGGCGCACAACCTGAACCCTAACCTGGTACTACTATGTTCAGGTTGTGCGTCATCTTGGTGCACATACTTCTAGAGGTCCTGTATTTTACTACAAAAACAGTAAATAGCTCCTAAAGAGATGTGTTTACAAATTGGTTAATATTCTAAATAGTGTTTGTCCAAATTACAAATCTGAGATTGTAAAGTTAGTGAAAATAAAAAATAGAATAGTCATGTGTGGCGTAAAATAGCGATAAGGTTGAAACAAAAGCATGGTACTTTAATATCGTAGAGACGTAGACCACCTACTAGTATAGTATATACACAATTAAGTAGAAGCAATTAGGCTAACTCCAGGTATTTACTACCCATCTTTGACTCTTCCCGACAAAATTGGTGTTCATGTGGTAGATAAGTGCTGATGAGAATGAGTAATTGAACTTTCTTTACCACTTAGCCTGGAAAATAAGAGAACACAGTAAGAATGAGTGATAATACAACATAGACTACATTTCATGAAGTTCGAATTCCTGTATTGCCTCTCAAATAATATTCATTATGAGTGATGAAGTTGACATTGAATAATCAAATCGACTAGAATACTAGATTATACACAGCCTTGTCCGGTTTAAAGGTGTGAAAACAGCTCATGAGAAAAAATACACGCTTGAATAAGAGATGGACCTGAAGCGTTGGTCGCTTAGCATGCCTTCTATTTGTGGTTTATTAAATCTTTTGAAACATTCCCATTCTATGAACGTAGCCACGTGCTCAGATAAAAAGTCACGTGGCTCGATGAACCAGAATCGGGTTGGAATCGGCCGCCCTACATATTACCACTTGGCTAGGCGGTGGAAGTGGCCTCACCAAGGGTCAAATATAAATTGAACCCTGGATATATAAATTGCGAAAACAAAATATTTTCTAAGTGCTACCAATTAACTATATATATTAATACTTATAGAACGCTTAAATAAGCGAATTGGAGAAATTAATCAACTGCACAAATCAAAGAAAATGAGGGTAAACCTATAGGTATTGCATACCGTCATTTTCCACTAAAAAAACTCACCACAATAGGAAGAGAATCAGTAGTAGACTTGAGATAAGTATCTGCTGATTTGCCAGACTGGCTGGAACCAGATGTAGAGTATGGACCAATCGACATGAAACTTCTCCGATACTTCTTCAGGAACGCTTTTCTGACTTCATGGTTTCTCGCGCAGTGGAGAACAAAGATACCAAGTCCCTGTTAGAATTCGATAGATCAAACAATATACAATATATTTCAAGTAACTCAAAAACTTTAATCGAAAAAGTATATAACATCAAATACTTTTTAACTGTTCTGTACTAACAATATATTAATGTTTACCTGTAGGCTGTTACAGATGCAGAACAAGTAGAGGAACCATTTGGTTGATTCGCCGACAGCAAACAAACCAAATATCCATGTGATTCCAAGTAGAGGCATCAAGCAAGCAAGAGCTTTTGCAGCACGTTTCGTTTTCTCTACTTCATTTTTCTTGAGAACCGATTTCAATCCGAGAAAAACTTTCATTACAAAAGTCAACAGAATACAATTGATCTGAATAAATGTTACACTTTTACCTTTAGTAACAACTGAACCTAAAACCATTCAGCGATGAAGATAATGCCTACCACAATAAACCCAACAGCAGGCCCAATAAATGCCCAAATCATTCCATTTTCCGTCGAGATCCAACATCCCCTACCATTACCATAACCGTGATATCCTGCACCCAGGCTAGCGCACACGATGATGATTGGTATAGTCCATCCAGCAACTGAAAATACGGTTTTAAAACACTAGGAAGGTAAATGAAATGGCAATAATTTTATATCGTAGACAGCGAAAACTATCTTGTTCAACGTTTAGAGAAATTTGGTAATTTATTTGATTAGCATCACTTACCAATGAGAAAGAAGACGAATTTATACATTGCATTGTCAAAATCAATTATGAAAAATTATATTATCAATATTTTCTAAGGCAGGGGTATGCAAACCGATAATCTAAAATAAACAAATATACCTACACGCATTATTTAGGTTTTCGGTTTTTGGACTTTCGTATGTAGAAAATCTTACGTTAGCCGAAGCAATATTTTTATGAGAAGAATTTTCGCAAGCTGGATTTTTCTGGGGTTCTGGGGTTTCTAGGTGCGGCCCGCGGCTCCGCCCAGTTACTCGTATCTGGCCCTCCTGTAATACAGGTTGAACACCCCTGTTCTAAGGGGTTCTTAAATCTTTCGACCCAAACAAGGCTATGGACACGCGGTCACTGACAGTGAGCAAAACTGTAAGTTTGCAGTCTACTTTGCATGGTTTAACAGTTATAAATGTAAGCAATATTTGAATTTCACCTAAAACAACTTTGAAGTTGTAGCCTCCTTTTACAGCACGAACTGCTTTGAAATATAGCTGGCAACCTTCCATTAACATCCACGAGAATGCAGCCATGAAAAAGAAATGTAGCAATATTGCGATTGCTTTGCAGCTCGCCTGATGAATTACAATAAAAATAAGGAATATTTGTGAATGAGGTTGTGCTGTTCGAGATACTATGTCCAAGAAAAGATATGTGTAAAATGAAAACGCCAACCCTAAAGCGTCTATTTTCTAACTCCAAATTGCTTATAATAATTATACATACGATATATCCTGGATGAAACAATACTTACAATCCCATAAAAAAGTGTTGTTCAATAATAAATTAGTAAGTATGATTCTTTTGTTGCTAGAATAGGGAAAAAGATATGTGGCAAATTAAAAAAGACACTAAAACAAATAACACTTACCGTGCCCACTACTGCATTCGTACCTGCTACCAGAATAAGTTGTGCAATACATAAGCAAAAACAAAGATGCCAAAGGAGAACAACACGCTGAAACATAAATTTATCTCAGTAAGTTAGTGTACTCTGGTATATATAGTTGAAGCATTGAAATTTAAATAATCATTGTAACCTGAATCAAGAATAATTAAAAAAAAAATGTTAAATGGTTTTTAAAAATATCAATAAAACAAATGCGGTCTAAATAAAAAACTGGCTAACACTGAGAAAACACACATTCAAGAAAGTTTCGGTTTTGGTTATCAAAACGCCAGCAACCAGACATTTTTTGTTGAGAATCAAATAACATTTTTGTGGTATATACAATACAATAATTTATTCGGCGAATACTAAACTAACTAACGGCTTATAAACATAATCGTGACTTATTTATCGTAAAATAGCGTCACCTCAGATTTGTGTAGTCTCAAAGCAGCAAAAGTCGTCATTGTCACTAGCAACGCTGTTATCGAAATTCCACAGCCAATGTATGTGATAATGTTAAACCAGAATTCTTCCACAGCCGAAATCTAAAAAATTTAAATCGTTATAAATATTTTTCGATATGCTCAATAAAAATCGATTACAATTACAAATCTTTTGTTCCGATAAATGTAGGTTTATATTTGGCAGAATTTAGTTACCTTGATGTCAGAATGCAAAAACAATATTGCGAAATTCGTCATGTGATTACAGGAACATCTGGTATGTGTTACATTAGTTGAAATAACACTGCATCCATCTTTTGACCAAACGTTATTCACCGCGTCAATAAATCCACATTCAGGGATGAAAAAGCCGACATCCTGTTGAGGTATACCAAAACATTGGCGATAATATCGTTTCAATTCGAACATATTTATAAACATTTACATATTAAATGAACAACAACAATACATCTCATAAATATTAGAATAGAAAAGTGTCAAATACATTATTTTCTGAAATAAATCAAAATTATTTAGGAAAACACTCTTTTCCGAGGGCGAGAAGCTTTTTCATTAAAACCTATCGCAGAAAACAATAAACTCAACCCGTTTGTGATGCATCTGTATATTGTCTATAACTCTATACCTTGAGTTTTGCATTCCAATCTAGAAAAATTCTATTATGACGTCACTTTCTATAATTATTGAATGACCTTCCACTCAACTAGATATTGGGCGCGTCATTGCCTATCATGTTCGTTGAACAATTTAGAATACCCATATATTATATAGTATTAATATTAGTTTTCCCATATGTCGGTATTACCTTTACATGTTTCAAGACGAAATTCACTGGTAACGAAATTCTATTAGAATTAATGTCTTCGACAGTCGCAGAGACAATTTGTGAGCCCACTGATGACGTCACTGAGAATTTTTTATGTTGAATGTAAGTTACACGGAAGGTAGAATCACTTATCACAGGTCCAATTTCAGAACCTCCAGACGAAAGAAGACATTTTTCACTTCCGGCATTACAGCCAACCACGTTCACCGATCTGTTATAGATGTAAAAAAATGTGTAATCAGTATATCTTTACAATGGGATTAGAAAATAAGACATTTCTGGGAACAGTGCATTGTTGAACTCAAAATACCGACAATTCTTCTTTGTGAATTTGAATAGGAATAGGGGGTAGATATATTACGGGTTTCAGGTGTTATTGAAGATGTAGAGCAGTGGCCGGCAAACCGTGGGCGCGGCCCAATCGAGGGACTCAAAAAAATTTCAAATATATATGAGCAATGATACAAAAAAAGTTCTATAAATCCAACATTACATATCTATTTTTGCAAAATGGTTTTTGGTTCATATATCAAACGCTCATACGTCACGTTCATTTCAACTATAGTACCGGCATTGCAACTAGGCCTGGTATGTTCGCGCAAGCTTAAGGATTCTAACGCTACGTTCGATTGTTAAATCTTTGTACCACCACGTAGACCGGTGCCGGTACGGTTTGCATTAATTACTATCAAGCATCGTAAAAACGTATCACGAGATCCAGCAATTCTACCGTATGTAGACAGCAGTTGGATCATACTCTTCCAGCTCTTTTGTTTTCAAAATGGGGGACGCACGTGATATGCTTCAAAGCAATTTAAGTGTAGAAAATTTCTACATACTCCAGATTCAGAGTCACTGCTGATTTTCCTCCATTCGAACTTAAGTCTAGAAGTCGTCGCGTAGATGCAACGGCGTAGTTCTCAATTTTAACGGCAACAGAGCTCAATTCTTCTATATTTTCATCGTTTTCCGTTTCATTGACCAAAGCATCGGCCAAAGCATTCGTCGAAAATTGCAGAAATTTCTTGCATTGAAACAAGAAAATATTGAATGAACATATATTTCATGACAAGTCGATTTTAGATCTATATTTTATACTCAAGATTCATTCACGGTGTAAAAATTGGGTGAGGCCAACCTTCCTAAAGCGAAGTTTGACTTACTTTTATTATCCAAAATTTGATTTAAAAAACTATAAACTATTAATGAATTTAATTTGGTAAAGAATATGGATTCTTACATGAAGAGGAGTACGGAGCTAATCGGAGTCATGATTGCAGATTTACTAACGTACGAACCAGCCAAACAAGAACTGGCGATATGAACTCAGTTTTACAGTAGACGATACTGTGGATGTAGAGTGATGTAGATTGTAGACCAGGGGTCGGGAACCCATGGCTCGCGAGCCATATATGGCTCTTTTGGTGACGGCATATGGCTCCCAGAAAAATCTAATATTCTAAGACTAAGCTTACTATTGTTACGAGATCCCAAACTCTTTTATAAGCCGAATTTGGCAGGAAATACCCAATACGTTTCAGAACACGCGCCCAGCACATGTCTATGTAATGTAAGACATTTACTAGACAGGCATTGTGACAAACAAGGGGATTCTGAAACATATATTGTGACATCACAAAGCGATATAGTTTTAAAAACACTACGGGATGCCTAAACGAAAAAGGGTGATGAGTATCGTAGATTTCCACATTGGGCTGCAGGTGAGCAACCGTTCAAGGCCCGCAGCGACTACATGCAGCATCAGAAATCAAATTAGATATATATTGACATTGTATGTGTTGACTTTTGAGTAAACATTTCAGGCCTGATTAAGTGTGAAGAAATGTTATAAGGCTCGCACGGAAATGCAATTAAAAATATGTATATTTTATGGCTCTCTTGACCAAAAAGGTTCCCGACCCCTGTTGTAGACTATAGAGCAGACCATATGCCCTGTACAGAGGAAGCCATTTTAATGGTAATTGGGACCATAATATATTCAACCCTACACCTACCTAACTGATCATTTTTTAGAAAAATTTACTTGACGTAGTTGCGTTAATCAAGATTTAACACTAACCTCAACTTTATCTTCGTCTAAAATGGAAACGAAGTTTTCAATCCGATCAAAGACTGAGATTAATTCATTTGCACTGATTTTTGTATTGTCAGTCGATACAGATACTTGTTGTTCAACAACATCCATCAAGTTTGATACAACTTCGTTTTTCTCAGATGACGTCAAGTGTGACGTTTGCAAACGATCAAGTATTGCATTTGTATCAGAAACCTATGTGATGGACGAGCAAAAATATGATTTCACAAAAAAGACTATTTAAAAAGACTGAAATACATCTGCGAGGGTAATATATATATAATGAATAACAACACAGGCAGTGCCTAATTCAAGCTATATTGAAAAGCTAAAGGTATGTAATGTAAGTATGCACTTACAGACTCTGTGTTACTTATCTCTTCAACGAATTGGGCTTGAACAGTTTTGTCAGTCGGACCTGAATTAACAAAAAATAGTAATGACAATACTATTATAGTTGAACTATGTATGTCTAAAGAAGTCTGACCTTGGTCAGACGAAACGTTACAGAAATATATTTGTGTTAGTGTGCAGCAAGACTCTTGAATCCCTTAGGATTGGTATCTCTACTCTTTCTACAGCATCCTTGCAATATATGCATACGGATCTACCGGCACAAACGCATAGAAGAAGGATAAGTAGTTAGTCTCGCAGAAACCAAATAATCAGGACAATACTATTGTCAGCAAATTTCGTTCATGCAATCGCCCTTTTCTTATCTGAAAAGTATAATGTTGCCAATGGAGCAAAAGAAAAATGTATTTACCAGATCCTGAGCCAATTGAAGTCATAGCAGTAGTAGCTTCAATGTGGTCAGTTCTAGGCACAGTTGTCAACTCATTCCCACCACCTGTAACGTTACATTAATTAAAAAATTCCATAAAAAAATCTTGTGTGTCTCGGATTCCGAAATAAATATGTGAAATCCTTTCCCGTAAAATCCTATACATAATAAAAAAAAAATTGGATTTGATCATATATATGTACCGTAGCAAAGGGAAATAATACCTTCACAAAAATCTCGTTTGTTAATGACCTTCAACTTCGTCAGACGGGTATCAGCATATCGTCGCTCAAATAAATGAGTTCGTAACCAGGTTTAGAATTTTATAACGAAGACGCACCCAAATACGGCAAATGAATTCATAAGATTGTTCAGATAATTTATTTGCCTACTTTTGTCTTGTATGTGTAACGTGTGAGCCATTATATTCAAACCTTCAACGGTTTCAAGCGTAGAAATCCAACACAACTACTGCATCGAATTTGTGCCAATACTTGAATATTCAGAATACAATATACAAACAATGAAATTTTCGAAACCATTTATTGGACACGTAGTGGACATAGCGATCGTTTCAATATTATGTTGTTGTTGTTCTTATTGTTGTTCTTTGACACGTTTTGAAGAAATCGCTTTTCTCTTCGAATACTGGACCAATTGCTTTGAAATTTTCAGTGGTTGAAGATAAAAATTTTCTCCAAAAGGCTAATTTTTTTATCATTTTAAATATTTCTGTTAGCTCTGTGAGATTTGTTTTTGTTTGCTATGACGTCATCAAACGTTCTGCGGGAATCGGACGCCATTTTGTGTCCTACTGCTTCGCTTGGTGTGAATATATTTGTAGACTGTGATCTGACGGTACGGTAAACCGTACTGTACTGCGAACAGACGTGTCCATATATTTGAGCGTAGCTCTCTTGTTAAGGTTATTATTATTTGTCTCCATCATTTTTAAAAAAATCGCTTTTCTCTTCGAATACTGGACCAATTGCTTTGAAATTTTCAGTGGTTGAAGATAAAATTTTTCCCCAGAAGGCTACTACTTTTATTCATTTTAAATATTCCTGTTAGCTCTGTGAGATTTGTTTTGTTTGCTATGACGTCATTAAACTTTCTAAGGATATCGGACGCCATTTTGTGTCCTACTGTAAGCTTCGCTTGGTGTGAATATATTTGTAGACTGTGATCTGACGGTACGGTAAACCGTACTGTACTGCGAACAGACGTGTCCATATATTTGGGCGTAGCTCTCTTGTATTTATATGCGTTTTTTAAATTCAATATCAGTCAAAATTTATCTTAATTACCATTTGTAGCAGGCTTTATTGTAGTTGAAGCAACCCACGATCCATTGATGTAGTAATAATAAGTTATGGTAGTAGTTCTGTTTCCTGAATAAGTCATGAATAAAACAAGTTGAAAGATTTTATCAATTTAAATCGATTGCCTCTATATATCATGATTGTTCTCTTCGAAATAAATACCCTTCTTTTTAAACTTCGTAGTTTAGTTTATAGTTTATATAATAAATGCGTAGTTTTGCCTATATAGTTTGCACTATAACTGCTATTACAAAATTCTTTAATGCTTACTTCTTTTCGAGGGCATAGGCTATACGTATCAGCAAAAAAATCGTTTTTTATTACTTCTGAGTTGTTCTTATGTAAGTTTCTGTGAAAATCTCAACAAGAACTAGAGATAAGGTAATTTTAATCCAAATTTTCATTAATAATATTGGCTCGAAAAACACCCATGCTTGAAACAAAAACTTACCATTTGCGCTCCAATTTTTATCATAGAACCAGCAGTTTGCAACTGTTAAAGAAAAATTCTTCTTCTTATTTAAATTCTGTACTTCAAGTAAATTTCAATCTAAATGAACTATTACTCTTAACTAGCAATATTCGATTAGAATTTTTCATTATACATATTTGCCATCTGTATTCGAAAACTTACCACAAGAGAAGAGTGCAATGACAACAAAAAATGTCTTAAAAATAGATCCAAATAGCATCTTAATTTTCATGTTACGAATAATATTTTGAAAATATTAGCAAATGCCATTTTGAAAGCGATGCTCTCCGTAGGACATCTTTAGTCCAAATGAAGTCAATTTTGATATTCAACGAAATAACGTAATCGGAATTGCAGTTTTGCGGCTGTCTTCTTCTTTTTTGAAATTTTTTTTATTTGGACCTGATCGAAATTAAAGATGAGGGGTAATATACAATATATATATTTATTACCGGTCGGCGAAATCAAATGGAAATACGAGTGCGCCGTTTCAACTGCTTTATAATACTAATCCATTAATACAATTTAATTTATATTTCAAATGTTTCTAAATCGTTCACCGACAACGTGTAAAAATATATAGCACATCTTAGTTACTGAAACGAAAATTTTGACAAAGGGGAAAGATGACACACAAATCGATATATACGCATTGGATAAATAAACAATTATTTTTAACTGAATGTCACTCGTTTTCCACCTGGACATAGATATAAAAACAAATCGATTGCGTAATGCAACATGATATTTTAGTGAAAACGCCTCGGAGAAATGACGTCAATTTTCACTCTTAAACGATGGATAGTGCTCAAGTTCAGCGAAATCCCCCGACAACGTTGTCGCACTTGTCATCGTGCATGTTATAACAGACATATATATTAGATGCAGATAAAGACGATTTTTTCACAACAATTTTGCAAAATGATCCATTGACCCTCTTTGGCCTTGGACTTGCTTCAATTTGCTCTCCAGACTACAGCGCGTAAACCTCTCCTTCCAATAATAATAGTAATAAAAAGAGAGCAATGCTTTAATATGTGGACACGAAAGCCAAAACGAAGTATCGTGTTTCCCCCAAAATAAGACTGAGTCTTATTTCAAGTTTGTTCCGAAAAATGACATTAGGGCTTATTTTTGGGGGATGTCATATATATATGACATATATATATATATATATATAAATCATTTTTTAAATTCAGGCTAGGTCTTATTTTTGGGAAAACACGGTAGCACTATTTTAAATCTTTTACAGTATCGGCTCCGTAGTCTTCCTGACTTCGACCTATTTCCAAATCGCAACGATCGCGAACGCAAACGTGGAACAGCCACAAGGTGCGCAGTTTGTTTTTATTTTGAAGACGTTATATTTCGTGAAAAACGAATCCAATAGAGCCCACAGAAATTTTTGAATTAAATAAGAGCAATAGCCGCATAGTGACAACAGCAATTTTTAATCATTAAAAATTTTAAAGCAATTGGTTCAGTAGTAAAAGACTGAAGCGATTTTTCGCAACAACTATGACAACAAGAAAAAAAATACCAATATCATCAACAACAACATAATAATTAGAAGAAGAAAACGATCTATAGGTTCACTTCGTGTCCAACGAGAAAAAAAATACCAACAACAACAACATATTAACGAAAAGATTCATAGGTCCACTTCGCGTCCTTTTACTTTAAATATTTGAATCTGTTATTGGACAGAAAACTACTGAACCCATTGCTTTGTGTGTTCTATAGTTAAAGATTTTTGTTGTCGCAAAAAGGGTATTATTTTAATTTATTTAAAAGGATTCTGTGGGCTCTTAGAATCCCCTTCTCACTATGAAGTTTTGTGCGCAAAAGTCATCAGAATTAAAAATTGAGCACCGTTTGGCGGTCTCGCGAGCGCATTGCAGTGATCTGGCGTCCAGACTACCTGTACTCAGTGTACTGTAAAAGATTTGATACTACTTCGTTTTGACCCTGGTGTCCATATATCTGAGTATGGATCTCTTGTTAACACTATCTTATTAGCTTTTAAAAGAATGATTTTCGTTTGAACATCAACCTCACTATTGTCTAATATGGCATACTCGAATATTAAATAAACAATGCGTGATATTCGTATGATGTTTCAAAATATAATAAATATTTGCACAATTTCAATACATGACAATCATTTTTGAATCGTTTTGGTATTTTGTTTTTGATGATCATCATGTTAGTATTTCTTTTTAATTCTTCTTATTATTATTCATCAACATTGATATAACTGTATTAGCCAATACATAAATGTGGTAAGAAGCATGAGCATAAACAAATATGGCGATAATATTAATCTTTTTCCCAAGATCTGATAACAATAAATAATCCGTCGTTTCAATCATATATATCAGACATAGCAAATATTGAGTCAAGTTCGTCTTTTTCGTCGTCTGCATCTGAAAGTAAAATGGGAACTGTTGGAGAAAAGTGTTAGAGCGATAAAACAAGCACCATTGCTTCTTACCAAAACGTCCTTAATTTTATTGAAATAACTTCAATTTAGATAAGATGGATATTGCCATTTTTCAAGGTTTGATATCACTTGCTCATTTTTTAATCCAATCAACGAGAAAACACTGTCTCTTGGGTCAAATTAAAAAAAACGTTCGCATTATAGGCAGATGATAATATGTAAAAGTATTTAGATATGTAAAATCGAGGTTTTTCTCGATCTTTATATACCATCCACGCCATCCCGGCATCCTCTGTCATAGTTGAAATCATCATCAGTATCATTTACACATCCATCTGCCCCACCCTGTGTATCATACAGCACCAATTCCTCATCGAATAAAGAACTGAAAATTAACAATTAGTTTAAGAAAAGTATATCATAGAATTTAAGTGAAACAAGAATTATAAAACGATTTTACTTTTTATTTTATATTATAGTATACGTAAACCATCAATATTTCCATTGAATGTTACCAAAGCAATCTACACGCATTTAGCAATACGTTAACTCGGCGGCACATGTTGCAACAGGTGACTGAATATCTTATGGTCGCGAGCGGGTAATTTTGAACAATTTAAGTTTGTGACACTGAAGGCCTTTTTAAAAGATTTTCGTCTTGATAATCACTCCAAGCGGATGAAAAATCAGTTTACTGTTACACTATTAGCCGACATACTGCTGACACGTTAAGCCAGGTAAAGTAAACTCCTTCAATAGTGTGTAACCAGAATACAAAAGTATACATTGACAGCTTCAGAGAATTTGATAATTGCTAAAAAGTAACGAGCATTTGTTTGGCATATATTACCTGCAATCAGAGGCTCTCGAATCGATCGATTCTTCTTCATCGGTCTCAGTACCGGTACTATCTCCATCATCATCTTCGCTTTCTACTGAACCTTGTTCGATTTCTAGCTGACAAGACGCTTTTCCTTCTGCGCCATTGTCGGTGTCACTTCCTATTTCGAAATGAAAACGCTGCTGTAATTTTTTATTGACTTCAAAGTACTGAAAAATTCGGCCCAACCGTAGGACTGCTAACTGATTATAATCAGCATCCATTAAACAAATTATTGAAAATCTGGAACTCAATTTCTCATCAAACTGTATCAAAGTTACTTTTTTTTTAAATTTACGTTTTACCGACCTCGCTTTTAATTTAAAATTCATGCTTAATATAGAACTCACAGCATTTTAGTAATCTTCTGACTACTTGCATATTACGATACAGTATACTGATGTATCTAAAGCTGGCTTATTGAACACCGTTTTGCCAGATATTCTCCTTTGTCAATTTACCCACGTTGAATGATCCCACCTATTTGCATACAAGAAAATTCAAATTTGTTTTTCACTGCAGCTATCGCAGAATTCGTTCTGTTCAGCGAATACAAACGTAATCAAACGAGGCTTGTGAATGGTTTGTGGAATACCAACAAGCAATGTAATATATATACCTTCATCGTCTTCTTCGCCAGATGATAAATCGCTTGATTCACTACCGGTATCTCCCAAACACCCATAACAAAGGCTGAGGTATTTGGAGCTTGTATACGATGAAGACTTAATAACTGAAGCGGAAGCAGCTTTTTTCGATCGACATCGGCCTGCAGAAGGCCTGGTGGCATTGTTGTATATTTTAATTGTACGGCCGTCTTCAAATGTTTGACGGTATACGATTGTAGCAAGACGATGACTGTGATTTTTATCAGCATTGAAATTATTCAGTCGTGGTTGCTCTTTGACCACGCTATCGCTTTTGCTACGTTGACGTCTATTACGCTGGGAGAATTCAGAAGCTGTGAATTGTCTTGTAGGAACTGATTTGGCTCTTTCCAGTTGGCGCTCACTGTGGCCTTCAGGTTCGGTTGTTAAAAATCTTGATGATTTTTGATTTCTGTGTTTTTGAAATCGATTGCGCTTTTCGGAGAAAGGTTTTGAAACAGGTCCTAAATTTTTTGTCAAATTGTTAGGTACATTTTGCATGTTTTTAGTTTTAGCCCTGGACGTTTTAGATAACGGTTTATCTTTTGATAAATTTATGTAAAATCGATTACAACGCAAATTGGCTGCTTTGTTGTACGGCATAGGAATGTGTTTTTCAAGACGAGAATCGGGGACTAATTCGGGAATATGAATGTTATGAACGTTTACAATATCATATTTCAATATCGTCGGAAATGTTGCAATTCTACGAGTCTTATTTTCACGATTTTCTGGCGTTTGTTTTGAAGACTGTGTCCGCATTATTGTAGTTTTACCTCCCGATACTTCCATAAACTTCTGTGATGACGGTGCACCCATTTTTTGACTATCCGATCCACTATACATGAGTGGTATTTCCAAAACAAATCTTTTCTTATAATTTTAGCTACTACCTAGTTCCATAAAATATGTATAAACTGTAAAATGCATCTGTAATTAAATGCAGTGCTTTAAGCAACGTTTAATATAAATTAATAACTGTTCAGGAGAAATAAGCAGAAAACCTAAAAAATGTGACAAAATTAGTCAACCCAAAACTGCTAGTCAAACTTACTATCGATGTATGCAATCGTGTATGAGAGAAGAAGAAACAATTTAACAATAGCAGGGTCTAAATTGCCTGATTGGATATATTTTACATACTCTTATTGAACACGGAAAGAAAATTTTGTTATTATGTTTTTGTTAGAATTCTTTTTCATGTTCGTGTTCTTCTAGGATTCATTTTTTATTGTGTGTCATGACGTCATCAAAATTAAAAATTGCGCACCTTGTGGCGGTTCCGTGTTTGCGTCCACGTGCGAAGACTACGCTAGCCTACCGCATCGGTAATGTGAAAGATTCGACAGCGTTATACTTCGTTTTGGCATTCTTGTCCATATATCTGAGGTCGCTCTCTTGTTTATATTATTGTCGTCTCATTTCTTTTGAATAGGTTGGGATTATACTTGCAAATTCTTCTTCCCAAGGTTGGTCCAAATTATACCAGATTACAACTCTAACAAATCTTGATACAACCAGAGATGGTGGTCGATTTTGTGCACATATAGTTTCCACCTCACTATTTTAAATCAGTACGCCGCAACGTTAGGACACTTTGAATATATTAATATGATTATCTCTTGCTTATCCTAACCGTCATGATAAATAATCACGGAACATTTCACAAAAAACATAAAAATCGTTATTGAAAGTACAAAAATGACTTTTGGGCATAACGTATAGTGACGTGAAAAGTTAACTTATCTTGTCGCGAAAAATTGACAAATCGCCAATCAAAATTCAATATCTATATTAAGAAAAATGGCAACGTTCAACATCCGGCAATTTGACATCTTAGAATATAATAAGGAGGTAGTTCGATTTTTAAACTAACTTTGTCTTTACTTCGCAAGTAGATGCCCTGATATTAAAGTTCACAATAGTCACAGTACATTATGGGCACACTGTATCCGAAATGTAGTAAATTTATTTCGTATTTCCTAGCAATTTTTATGAATCCTATGACATATACCTACTGTAACTCTTTGCCTAAGATTGACTATATATATTAATTCCACTGCAAAAAAACACCATCAAAACTTATTGAACTGATTTTATACTTGAAATAAGTTGGTAACAAAAATACTCATTCACACCATTGAACCATCATCACTTCACTTAGGAGCCCACTGTCTTACTAAATAAACATGTAACGCTAAATACCCACGTAACATATTTTTCGATTATAGTTACCTAATGAACTACGAATGCTAATACATATAATTATCCGAATCTTATCGTAATTATTTGATGAAAATAGGGTTTGAAATCAATTTCAATCAATGCCGCTAATATGTTGATGTATTGAACGAACCAATGTAACAATTGTTTAATCAATGTTAAATAAATCCTCCTTTCCATATTTGTTATTGTTCATATTAGCGTTTAAATTATTGGCTTTTTGATCATAATAAAAATTAAATCAAAAATAAAAATATCTCGGAGAGTACTTTAATTTTTCTGTCAATATTACTGGGAGTAATGATGTTTATGTTTTGCGTCTAGAAGTCACCGTCCTTGAACCATGCGCAAAATTTTCTAAAAGGATTTCAGGTAAGATTCCAAATTATACACCAGAAAATATATGAGAAATATAATTATATGGTTTCACATGAATAGAATCAAAAAACTGTTATTATTGCAATGTTCAATTCAAAGAAACATACTACAGAACGAATATATAATTTTTGACAGTGAAATGTGAGTCAATGGTGGAAACTACTCATAAAGAGATTAAGAAAAAGATCCGCGCAAGGTTCAAAGTTTTTTGTCTACACAGAAGAAAGGTAATTCAAGACTTTATATACGATTATTCTTGTGAGTAAAGTAAAGTGGCCTGTTTTTTTATTGTTATTTCCACATATATGTATGCTATTACATATATAAATATATATATATAGTTTTAGTTATATCAAGACGGAATAATTTTATCAAGCACCAAATACACTCGGCTCGTACACCGACTATGCATAATCATGTGAGAATATTCAAAAAATATAATATATTTCGGTATTTCGAATGAGATTTTTTAAGACGCAAAACACGCTGATGATAGCATAAACTATGAATTATTTGAACATGACAATGTTAATTGAAAACGCCCACCTGAAACGGCTAGACGTCTACACCTTGACATGTAAGATGTAACTTATCTCGATTACTGATAGTTCAATCGTTCAATGATTTCAGTTGTCATATTTTAAAGCAATTATGCTATTTTAGGTTTGGTAAATCGCTCGGATTGATCGTGATTGAATTGTAATCAAAAGTTTTCTTTTACTTTTATCAAGAAAATAAATCAATTAGTAAAGATTTTTAATTCTCCGCAACGAAACAAAAACTTTTTGGGGACGCAACAACAAAAAATAATTGGCGGGCAGCATATGAAATGTGGATTGAATACGAAATATTAATTTCATAATAAAAACATATCTCATGTAATTTGGTATTTTTTCAAATCAGACGACGTCTATAGCAAATACAGAAAAAATATTGCTACATTGATGTTAAACATTTGGTTCAAAAAACATTAATCCTCGATTCAGACATCGTCTCTCTTACGAGGCATTAAAAAATAGAACGAATACTATGATGCACTAAAATAGATAAATCATCGTTGTTTAAAATCGCATCTGTACTCTTGTTGCTTCCTCTAACTATTCGCCTAATACGGTATGTCTATATCAACCTGCGTTATACAACAGCAAAATATTTTAGGAAAAGAGACTGCTTTCACTGCCACAGTTGACTCTTCAGAAAGTAACCTTCTAATTCATAGGAATCACGATTCTTTGATGGTTCACCGATTTCACTACCACGAAAACTCTCAAGTCTAAGATTCAAACAATAAGTGGATTAAAGTCCAATGACGTATAAAAATTAAAGGCTTATCATTTATTGAAAATAGAAATGACAACAACGGTAAAGTCACGCAGAAAGAAATTTCTATATATCGAGAATCTTGTTCTAGAGTCTACAATCTAGCTAGACGATAATAAATGACATTGGAATGATATTTTAAAAATTATTTGAAATTCAGTAAATTGAACACACATCCCCATGTAAGTTGGAGATTTGGTTAACCAGCACTCTAAAAATAGTTCTGTTTCAGCATCGAAATGTCGCGACAAGCTGCTGTGTGTCTGGCACTGTTGTAATTATTCTTACTGGCAAAAGAATAATATGTTCCGCTATATGAATTCAAAATATAAGTATTTAGAGTTTAGACTGTATTGTATATATTTTTGAAATACTAATCTTTCTTTCTCTCGCTAGAAATTGCATAACAAAATCCAAAATCCGGTATTTTTGTGCAAGAAAATATATGAAGATATGTGTATATATAATTTAAGAATGTTTTTAAAAATGCCAGAAGATTAAAAATTTACTAAAACTTCTCTTCGATTCTAATAAAAATTGTTGAATCAAATGTATTCAGTCTACATTTCAGTTGGAAAATTAGATATATTTTATTCAACTTTGAAGCGTTAACTTCTTTGAAATTCTAGTGAAATTATCATGCGTTTTTCAACAGTGCACATCAGTCATTAATATTTCATTTTTAAAGGTTCTTCTCATTGTTGTGGTCTCAAATATTTTTGATTCCTCATACAGATAGCAGATAATTTTCTTGGAAACACACCAAATTATACAAAAATATCGACCTCGTGATCATAAAATATTCCAAAATGTTTTTTTCGTCTGAAAAAGATTAAAAAAGACCTGTCATTCAGAGCGATTCAATCAAAAGATCAATAAGATACAATAGCTTAGAAATAAGTGCAAATTCCAAATAAAATGACTATATAGACAATTCTATTTAAAATAATACAGAAAATTGAGTTGTTTTTTTTATTACGAAAGGTTGTCCAATATTTAATTCGAATATGACTTTCAAAAAGCCAAATTAATGTTGGTAAATAATTAAGTTAAATCCAGTGTATAAGACTAATTGGTACACTGCAAATTCGTTTGTAGTTTTTAAGGATTAATTATCGCAATTATTTATTCAAGTTATTATCGTAACTGCTTTTCCGGAATAGATCTCATGAGGAGGAGTGGGAAAACGAATCAATGGATGTGGTATAATGTCCAACTTAACTTGTGTGCAATTTCCAATGCAATTGTTTATAGCGTATGAAATTTTATTTAACTAAAATTCAGATAAATACCATTCACTTCATTTTTTACCCAACATAACCTTTATTAATCCTGAACCAAGCGTACTTACTGTTTTCTATTCTGGTACATTTAACGATGTTGTAAGAGCAACCTAATGAAGACCTTACGTCACCACAAGATCAAAGATTAACCCATCCAAACAGCGGACACACGACGATGATCAAGAGAAACGACTTTGATTAAATAAATAAATAATTAATTGACCCCATCGATGAATATATCGTTTTCACATGGTGTTAAAATAACAGGTCGTTACATTTTGAGTATGTCATCTGTGGCGTAAAACTTTCGTGTCTCGAGTTGAACGCTCGCGTTTAGAGTTTATTAATTATATAGCATATATAGCACAAGTATAGCATAGTATATTAAGTATATATATTGTATAGTCGGGTTCTATGAGAAATAATTAATTCTTTAGATTTTTAAAACGACGTCCGTAAATGAAAGGTTCTACGTGATTATTGAATAACGTTGGAATTATCGTGTACAATGTTAAGAATAGAATCATTTTGATGATGCATTGACGCTGACAAGCTGTAATTTTTGTATGGTCAAGCAAAATTGATTTACACATTTACATTATGTTTTAGTAATACATATTTTGTTCAAAAAGATAAACTGAAATCTGGAAAAAGTAGAATAATCCATGACATAGTTTATTAAAACATCCATATAAAAGTGTTCTGTTCATGCAAGCTATGACATAATTGTAATCAGAATAAATTCCTCATTGATTGACCAAGCTGATGTCACTGTCATAAAACAATGTTTACTCCCGTTATTGCATTATGTTACGGGGGCTTTCCGTCGCGTGACCGCCAACAATGATGATAGGGGTAAATTAGAGCAAACTAATACCCAAACAAAGAGATCTTACTAAAATGAAAGTCTATATTTGACATTGATTTGAAGCAGTAATTTGGTAAAAATTAAAGTATTGCACATGGGTTTCTGACGCCTCTTGAATGTTTCGTTGGGGTTTTGCTCCACCAAGGAGGTTGAAAACCACTGGCTGGTAATAAAATTTGTTTGTGCACAAAACCCTTTGGTAGTCTTACTACCGTGATATAATTTCCGGTTACGTATAAGGTGAATACTGCATTTAGTTCCATTGTCACCTCGTAACCCTTTCTCTCTTAAAATATAGGATTTTTGTACTTCCTTTTTTTCATTTCAATTTTCTGAAAGAATGTTCATTGTTTTTTTTTTAAAGAATTGAAAAAATATTTGGTTCCATTACATTCGAACCCGTTTACATTTGAACCTACGTACATTTGAACCACGTACATCTGCACCCACGACAATTGCACCTGCATACTATTGCACCTATGGGAAGTTTTTTGTTTTACGGATATTTAAACCCATACTAACCCTAACCCTTGAGTTTTAGCACCCGCATATAGATTGAACCCGCAGATATACACATGGGTTCAAATGTACATGGTTCAAATGTACGTGGGTTCAAATGTACGGTCACTAAATATTTTAATCACAAAGACGGTATGCTAGAACCCCAAATGCACATGGAACATGACAATTGATAATACATTTCGGTTGCCGAATACTATTGTTCCCACTATCTATAATAAAAATAAAGCTCATTTGTATTTTGCCATTGGTACTGGACAATTGAATATGAATTGACATTTAATTGTTCTTACCATCTACCGACTATTGTGGGTTATAATCACTAAAAGCCGATATATCCTATTAAAAAATTGTATTGCTAGCTTAAAATTTCCTTTTATAAGTAAAGCAGTTAACAGTACTGGTAAAGGGAGCTTTACAGACTTAAATCAAAGAGATATTTGCTTGAGGCATTACACAATAAACTGGGAAACATACAATTGCAACAACTCCGTATTTCGTAATAATGAATATGTAAGAGATGAATTGCACAAATTTGGTGGTTCTATACTAATAAAACCAAGTCAAGAGGGATTTAATTTTGCGATTAAAATCAATCAAAAAAGCGACCTCGTCAACATGACCATCTACGTTTAATTTGCAACGTCCTTTAGTCTTTGTGGGTTCAAAAAAAATATGCGTTTATCGTAGCAAATATTTTCTAAAATAAGATTAACAAATAACGTGCAAACATAAAAACTTAAATCATTTCTTCCATATTCAGAAATACTAGATTGATTAGTACATTGCAAAATAAGCATTGATCTACGAGTTGTTTTGAACCAAAGCGTATTGTAATGAATAAGAACAATTAGTGAATCAAAGAAACGGAGAATGCCATGCCTTCCGTCTGAAAAAATGGCGGACCTCCTGAAGTATACACATCAAAATGGCTCACAACCTGAAGTCAGGTTGTGTTAATAGAGATGTACCGATGTATCGGTATCGGTATCGG